GGGATTCGCTAAACTAGAAAAGGTTTATGTCATGCCTTTCCCTTTTTCTATTCCTTTATACCAGCTGAGAAAAAGATTCAAACATGCCCATTCCACCCGCCTCTCAGTCAATATTAATGGGTAAGTGTTGCCAATGCATAAGATGAGAGGCATTACAAATGTCTAACCTTGTTCTCCCTGCAGCCAGAGAAAGCAGCCATTCCTGCAGAATTAATCTCTGAGCTCTTGCTGTTCACACCACGTCTGCCTTGCCACCCTTTGAAGATGATAATAAAACTCAGCAGCAGGCTTAAAACTCCTGCAAATGTAAATATCTACTAACAGAGTTCTCCGAATCGGATGCCTTCCCCATTCACATCAGAGGGAAACAAATGCAGTACATTTCGATCCTATCCTTAGCTCAGAAATGTAAAATAAAACCTCAAAGGCTCAACAGTTAGCAGTATTTTATTATTATTGTTTTCCTTTCTAGCTCCAAAGATGTCAATTCAGCCTCAACAGAAAGGTATGGCCAGGAAAGGAATTACTAGCTCAGCTCTACCCATGATCATTTACCTCTGAGCTAAGCAGCCACTTGAGAAGGTGATAGATATTTATAGATCCAAACAATCCTTCTCCAGCTGTTGCCAAACACACAGCCAACTCTCGGTTTAGGGTGTCCACACTGTGGATGGGGGAAGAAATTCAGTTCAGTGTGCGTTTTAAATGTGAGCCTCCCTAATTCATGCTTCCTGCAACAATGAGTGAACTGAAACACAGCTATCCTTCACAATTTTCTGAATTTTGTGACAAACGTCTCCACACCAAGATATGCATGCAATAGTGGAAAGTGTGCATTTAAAAAAGCTTGGACCCAAGTTTGTTGAAGCTATGAGAGGAGCAATGAGAGACACTATTGGGGCATAATCTTCCGCACCCCCTCCATTCCACAGACTTCCAGGTGTAAATATGGCTTTACACCTGATTTAGATTCTCAGCTTTGAAATTTCACACTGTCCAGAGTTTACGGTTTAAGCCGTGCACATGCCAGCACAGCTGTTGTTTAGGTAATGGGCTGCAGATGAAAGGCTACATGAAGTCCTTGCCTTGTGGCTGCGCCAACGGCAGCTCCTGGCTGGGAAGCTGACACCGCTGGAACTTTATTGCAAGGTAAGTGAAATGTGGTGAGAAGCACATAGGAAACTTTGCTGTGCGTTAAGCTTCCTGCCAGGCCACTCTCTGTGCGTGTAGAAGCTAAGCCGGTTAGCCTTGCAAAGTGGATCTGTTCATGATAATCCAGGTTTAACCCTTGGGCTGAGGCCACGACAGTAGCAATAGTGAATCCAGGGCAGTGTGTGTTCAATCGAGGAAATATTTTTGAAAAGGCAGTTTAAAAATAAAAGACAATCTCTTAAAAACAACAACACGGGTATAAAATGAGATTGACTGCTGCTAATTCTTGGGAATTTAACTTCAACACATGGTCACGTCCCCAGCTGATTGATATCTAGCAGGAGGGGGTAGCACACCAGTATATATAAACCTGCAAACATAGATCTCATCACTGAAGCCAACTCCAGGGGGTGGTGGGTGCTTCGGCACCCACAATAATATATTTTGGGGGGCTGGGCCCCCCCAAAGTCAATGGGCAAAGTTGAAGCCCTTTGTTGCGGGCACCCAGTCTTTGGTGCAAGATGGCACCTATGGATCTCAGGGCTGGTCTGCAGAGGGTGGGCTTATATATTCTGATTCACGACTTTGTCTCCCAGCACCTTGACTAATGTGGCCATCTTTTCCCTGGCCTGTTGATCCTGCTTTGCCTCCTCACCTCTGTCCAGCACTCACATGGCTCAGACCACGTGATTGTCATTCAATCCCTGTGCTGGCTTCCTGCCTGCTCCCAGAACCAGTACAAGATCCTTGCTTTAAATCCCAGTGTATCTTTGCCTCAGTTGCCTGTGGCAATTGCTTACCTGGTTGCAACGCTCTCAGCCAGCAGTGGCCCCCCAGTCATGGTGGCACTGCATGGGGCAGGAGAAGGCAGTGGTGAGGTCAGGGCAGTTCTGCCTTGCCTGCATTGGTGTCCTGCAAGTGTACACACAACTGTGGGACCCCAATGCCACCAGCTTGGAGCTCCCCTACTCTTGCCATTCCCTACTTTATCCTGATGAACATGGGCAGCTGCCTCCAAGAGAGTACTACTGCTTTTTGATCACCCCTTACATGCTACTGCTGCCCTCAGTCATATGAAGTTCTCTTCTCCATCAATAAATTTCACTTGTCCTCCTTTGCCGCTCCTTATGCTTTCAGACTGCACCTATCTACATGGGCTCACCTCTCTGGCTTAAAAAATGTTGCCCTGTTTTCTGTTTCTTGGTAACACAACAGCGTGATGATAGGGATGTGACAGAAACATGGGAAATTGCTTTTCAGTATATTGTTGCTCCATTTAGTAGCACATATAGGAATTGACAGAAATCTGACCAACATACGACCACTGAGAAACACGAGGAAGGTATTAAGGTATTGTCATGTTTGGGGAACTGCAAGATTTGCAGATGTACAAAGATCTATTATGAAACCCAAGGAGGCAAATCTTTCCAAAATCAGGCCAATGAAGAAGACCCATGTTCAGCTATCTCCAGGAGTTTGCAACTGGAGACTGTATACAACTAAACAGTTGCCCTAGCAGAAGTTAGATCAACAATTCCAGCTAGTGCAAAGGGACGTCCCCCCCTCTTCTCCCCACTATGCACCCTCCCCAAATCTGAGAACCCCCAGAGCAGTGCACAACGGGGTGGGAGAGGAGATTGTTCCATCAGTGCTTGCCAATTCTGCTTGCCCAATGGAACAATCTTCTTAACACTACTTTGAATATAACCCTATGATTTTAACTTCAAGGTTACAATTTCTTGGTATAAAACCACAAAAGTACAAATGCAATATAAAACTCTGCAACTAAAAAAAAGAGAGAGAGATAATTTATTCCATGGCAAGGTTTCTCACCGTGGTTTATAAAGCGAAGAAATGTAAGTTTTGAATATACATCACTGTAATTCATATTCACAAATATACAGACTTGGTGAAAAATGGAAATGGTATTTACACAAATATACATAGCAGTGTAACATAACTTTAAAAAAAATACAGAAACTTTTAAAAAGCCATTAACCAACATAGAGTCATATAAAGCTGGTTGGTAGCAGAAATGTGGAATTTATGTGCTTATGTAATTATTCTTTAAAAAATACTTCATAAATATATTGATGGTCTGCCTTCAATCTCAAGTGTAGCCTTATATTTAAGCCAGCCTTCTCCTACCTGCTGTCCACCAGACTTTTTGGACTACATCTCCCATCAGCCCCAGTCAGAACACCTGTGATTGGGGACAGGGAATGGGAGTTGTAGCGAAAAACATCTGTACAGCAGCCGGCTGGGGAGAGCCATTTTAATCCATATTAATGCAGGAGCGAATAAAGGACTCCTTTCTCTGGTGCCACCTTATGAACCAAATGAACATTATCACAATGAGAGAAATACTTGGTTGATTGGGCCCATGATCCCGTTCCATGAAATATGCAGATGCTTTTTGAGTGCTTCTAAAAAGACCTGATTGGGCATGACACATTTGCTCTCATCAGGAATCAAGATGAAGCTTTTCTGTGATACAGAAGCAATGAGATTACACAGTGGCTAAGGCTACATCATCTGGGAGGGGGAAAAAACCCCCAGACCTTGGAAAGAGAGCCTTATCTAATTCATTATTCAATTTCATTTATATTATTGTGCATTGGCTGGCTGCCTTTCGTTCTCTTTTTGAGTGAGCCTATGCAAAACTGAAATTCAGAATCCATTAGAATTCCCTGAGATGCCACCTAGTTTTATAGTCTACCTGCACTGTCCAAACACAGAGTGGCTAGCAGGTGCAATATCTGCTCATTGCAGCTACCTATGCCATACCTTCTGCTCTGTTATGTTCATTTGCACTGTAGGCAGAAGTTATTCCTGATATTGAGAGACAGTCCATACTGGGGCAGGAATAAAGTGGGCTCCCTTTTTTTTTTTTTACTGCTCCGGGAAGAATAGTTCTTCATGCTTCCATTTCCTTCTAGGGGTGAAAGAGTGGAAATTCTTATGGTGCAAACATGCCTTTTAGTGTGTTCCTATACCTGTGGGATGCGGGTGGTGCTGTGGTCTAAACCACTGAGCCTCTTGGGCTTGCCGATGAGAAGGTCAGCAGTTTGAATCCCTGCGACAGGGTGAGCTCCTGTTCCTCTGTCCCAGCTCTTCCCAACCTAGGAGTTCGAAAACACGCCAGTGCAAGTAGATAAATAGGTACCACTGTGGAGGGTGGAAAGGTAAATGGCATTTTTGTGCACTCTGGCACTCATCCCAGTGTCCCGCTGCACCAAAAGCGGCTTAGTCCTGCTGGCCACATGACCCGGAAAGCTGTCTGTGGACAAATGCCAGCTCCCTCAGCCTCAAAGCAAGATGAGCACTGTAACCCCATGGTCGGCTTTGACAGGACTTAACCGTCCAGGGGGCCTTTACCTTTACCTTTTTATACCTGTGTACTTGGAAGTAAGGCCTATTGAACTCAATGGGGCTTACTTTCAGGAGAGTGTTATGGGGTAGCCTGCTGTACAGAGGTAAAAATCACATTCATTGCTCCGACTGTGCTTGTTTTTGCCTCTGGCCCCACCCAATGCTGTAAGGTGTAAGGTGGCCTTACAGATCTGCTCTGTAAGTATTTCCTTGCAGTTCTCACACACTCTGTAGCTCACAGTGGTCCAGACTGTGACCATGCAGGTTGGCGGATGATCTCTCCTCTTGGAGGGGAAAGCTGGTCAGGATGACCTTCAGAACTCAAGTTCCAAAGGTCTGTGATGCTAAACCAGGAACCAGTATTCATTCTTCTTTGACATGGTGAAGAAAGTGAAACATTGCAGCTTGGGGCTACACATGAAAAGATTCTTGGTCCTGGGCCACAGCTTTCCAGATGCCAGCATTATCACTTCCACTCAGTCCTTCTGGAGTCCTTGACCCACAATGTAGAGTTCAGGGTGGGAAGATGACTTGCCTGCTTTTCTGCCCTCAGAAGAACATGGACTGTTCCAAGAGTCCACCTCTTTCCTATGGCTCTCTTCCATTCTGCAAAAAAAGAAGACGTTTAAGACCAAAGGCTAATGACGTATGACCTTTTAAAAGCGAAAGAATGAATATAACATGTAAACTCATGATAGAACACCATCAGCAGCTATTTAGGTGTTTATTATTCTGTACAATCCAGTTTTGAATTCTAATTGCCTCATACCAAAATGAAGCTCCATTACATAAAAATCTATCACCATTTGGGAGCTAAGAATTATTAGCACAAGTCATCAAAGGTAACCCAAATTCTGCATCAAGAAAAGTACACTTCTGTCATCTGTGTAAAGTATGCAAATAAAAAAATTAAAGCGAGGAGGACTATTGGTTTGTTTTAATTTTTGTTTTATTGTGTATTTTGTGTTTATTTATTTGTATTTTTATGTTGTGAAGGAAAGTATATAAATTTAAAAAATAATACCAGTAATAATTATAAAAATTAAGCAAATGTGCACATGGTTTCATAACTATGAAAGCTACGATTTTCAGAATGCTGAATATTCACATGAAATTCACATTCACGTGTGTTTCTTCATAGGTATATGTTTTATCACAGACTTTACCAACCTGGCACTCTCCAGATGTTTTGGACTACATCTCCCATAAGCCCCAGGAAGCACCTCTGGGTAAAGGACCTGTCTGTAGTGCTTCTCACACTGATGGCACGAGTATATAATGTAACATATATCTGACTACTTCCCATAAATTAAGTAATTGCTGGACAAGGTAAAAAATAGATTGTGCTATCTGCATCAATATTTCATGTTCAAACAATAAAAGATAACATGATTTGGTACAAATGCATTTAATGAAAGAGCACCAATATACATATTGTTATGAGTTGTGGGTGGCCAGGGTTTGCGGGTGCCAGTTTCCCCTAAATTCCTGGGTCTGATAGGTGTTAGAATTTAATCATTGCTTAGAGTGTTAAAATGGGCTACCAGACAGTTCTACGAGTCTGTATTACATAAGAGGTGGGCCATTAACAGAAAATAAAGACTGTGCAAACTGGCAAATAGGTGGAGCCCCTCCTTGAGTTCTGAGATAGCTAGCAAAGATAAAGCAGAGTAGAGTTTAGGATTGCAGTGATAAGAGAAAATAATGGCCGTCTGTAAAGCGCAGCAGGCTGGGGAGAGGGGCAGAGAGCACATTTGAGAGCAATGGTTGGGGTCAGCTTAAATCCAAGGCTGCTGTGGCTATTGGAGCAGCCAGAACCTCTTGGGGGTACTGATGCTGTGAACCCCTCCATTGTAGGCTCAGGATGTATATTTGTGCAAATAAACCATATATCATAAAGATACCTGTGCCTCATTTTCCAAAAGGAAACACAGACCCTGTGTTAAACATGTCAGGAAACCGTGGAATCTTGTACCTTTCAGAGTTTGGGGTGGCGTTTAACAACAGAGAGTTAGATTTAAGTACTTGAATATACGAAATCTGTACCTGGATTTTGTGTGTGTCCTTGATCTTATCCTCTTTTAAATTTTGTCCTCTATTTCTGTGTATGTTATGAGCCAAGGCACCATTAATGGAAAAATAATGTGGAGTGTTTCATACACCTTACAATCCTACACATGCCTACTCACACGTAAGTACCAGGGAGTTCAGTGGGTTGCTGTCTTACACCCTTAAAAGAAGAGTAAGAATAATATCCTGATGAGGTCCTGATCCAATACAAATTTACCCTGTATCTGGAAAGATGACCCAAGGCTTTGCTTGGGGTCTGAGTCATTAAACCAGCTTTGTGGCCCTGAGTTAAGTGGAATATTTGAACAGTATTTGTTCAAAGCTCCTCTCCCAGCTGTTACCCCATGGAAAGGCCTTTAATCTGATAGCCATCACTGGACTAAAATAAACTTTTTTTTCCTATTACACATGCACAAATCCTATTATGGATTAGCGGGATTTGTACGAGCAGAGCATCCGTGCTGTGAAAACGTGCCCCTCAGCTAAATTCCAGTAAAAGGCCAGCCTCATAAGAGCAAAGTAACTCCCTAACCCCCTCCTATTACGTGAGCAGATGGTTTCTGGTTCCCATAGCTGAAAACACCGACAGGCCATTCCCCTGGTACTTATGAAGCTACAACAGACGCCAGAGCTCTCTAATTGGGGCCAGTGACACATCTCTCTCAAGAGAGAGCCCAGAGTAAAGGGAAAGAGCAAACGCTTCATTGGAAACTGATCCTGGGCCTGCGTTTACATAATCAGTTATTCTGGGATAACAACCCCCAGGCCCTCTTTTGCCTCTTTATTGTTTTGTTTACAAGTTGAAAGACTGAACCCAAGGTTGAAGAGAGCTGGTTAAACACAGAAACAAAACAAGGGATTAGAAGATCAGAGGTGCTCGGATAGCTTCTTTTTCTTCCCAGAATACATATTCCTGTGGTAAATCAGCAGGACTGCAATCTCTGCTGGTTTGAGGGCTTAACTGGACTCTCGCAGAAGGCTTAATGTTACAGGACAGGAAAGCAACAGTCCCATTCCACTTCTTTCTCTTTTCTTTGTAATGCAAGGAAAATAAAATTATTCCAGGAAAGGCAAATGATGATACGGATCCTGTAACGTCAAGTTAAAACCTGAGAAATGTTGGACAAATGTCTCAAACTGTTCCCAAGTTGCAATGTACCATGGCGTGTTCATAACCACCTGAGAAACAGAATGTACCGTCCTGTCAAGTGGTGAGGGGGGGAAAATCTATCATTTGGTATGCAGTTGTGGTAAAATTCTTCCCACCAGGAAGGCCTCAGTGCAAAAGGCCCTAAATTTGGTGGTTTGGAAGTATCTCCTTTCTGAAATCCCATGCTCAGTCATGCTCAGCTAGATGGACCAATGGTCTCACTCAGTATAGGACAGCTTCCTATATCCCTGGCCGATACATGTAAGTTTTTAAAACTTTTTTTTTTAACATTGTATTTATGGTTGCCAGATTCTGTGTGCAGATTTGCAGGTGCAGATCACCCCTCAGAAATAAATTAGTTCGCTAGGAAAACAGCCGAAGTCGGCCTCCAGGGTGTCAGGGCCAATTTGTATGGTAGCCCACATTTTTAGGTCTTTATGTGTTTATGCGCTTATCTTAGATTTTAATCGTTAAGCTGTTGTTGTACACTGCTTTAAATGTATATTTTATTCTTGTGAAAGCTGTCCCAGTTGTGCTTTTCGAGCTGGTCTTTGACCGTAATAAATTATGCTGATGACATTGTATTTTTAAATTGTTGTAACCTGCCCTGGAATCTTAGGGTGAAGGGCAAGTAAGAAATATAACAACAACAACAACAACAACAACAACAACAACAACAATAATAATAATAATAATGATGATGATGTTCTGTCAAAACGCCCAGTGTATGAAGCTGTCTCCAGGACACAACTGAAAACTGAAGGATGCTTCTGAATCCTCATACTTCATGCTATGAGCTAGTTCTGTAAACGAGTCATTGCAGTAGGTAACTCATGGAAAGGCACATAGGCTTTTAAACTGCAGTGTGAAAAGTAGCCTATCATGCATTTCTTACATCAGTATCCTACGCTTTGCAGGGTGGGAAAGGGTCGCCATTCAGTGGCAGAGCACCTGGGCAGAAAGTCCCAGGTTCCATCCCTGGCATCTCCAGGTGGGGCTGGGAGAAACCCCTGTCTGAAACACTGGAGAGTTCAGAGAGCCTGATAGCTTCACTGTAACTTTGTGAAATAAGATATCTGAGGCATAAGGGCACTTAGGTGTCACAGGTGAGCAGGGATTTCCCACACCCACGCCCAGCATGGACTCTCATGATAGTACTACATGGAAAGCCAGTCAAGTTGGCAGCATGGCTGGTGGTGCTGATGTTGGAGTGGTTCCTTAGCTGTCATATGGGCAAATATGGGCAAGAGAGGAATCGGGGAAGGATTTGCTTCACTTCACTGTGCATTTTCAAAACCCATGTGCAGACGTAACACAAGGGAACAGGTTTTTTAAAATTTAAAACCATATTGTCAGGAAAGCATTTAAAAACCATATTGTCAGGAAAGCATTGTTTAATGTTTGGATAAGATACAAGGACTTATTGGAAAATAAAACCCCAAGGTAGCTGTCACCGATGGAAGCGAAAGCTCTGAAAAAGCTCAATATGGAGGTCAAATGGCCGAAATATTGGGAAATTTTGGAACAAGATGGAGATAGACTGAAATTGCAGAGTTTTGAGAAATTAAAAAACAAAGTGCGAGACTGGCTTCATTATTATCAGATAATGGAGGCATATAATTTGGACAAGAAAATTGGCTTCCAGGTGGAAAAATCAAAATTGGAAACAGAACTGTTAGAACCCAAAACTAAGATTTTGTCAAAGATGTATAACTTGCTGTTGAAATGGAATACTCAGGATGAAACGGTGAAATCTGCTATGATTAAATGGGCACAAGATGTTGGACATAACATAATGATGGCTGACTGGGAACAGTTATGGACCACAGGTATGAAGTTTACGGCATGTAATGCCTTAAGAGAGAATATTATGAAAATGATATACAGGTGGTACATGACACCAGTCAAGCTTGCAAAAATCTATCATTTGCCCGATAATAAATGTTGGAAATGTAAAGAAACCGAAGGTACATTCTTTCACCGTTGGTGGACGTGCCCAAGGATTAAGGCTTTCTGGGAGATGATTTATAATGAAATGAAAAGGGTATTTAAATATACCTTTCTGAAGAAACCAGAGGCCTTTCTCCTGGGCATGGTCGGCCAAATGGTGCCAAAGAAGGACAGAACTTTCTTTATGTATGCCACAACAGCAGCAAGAATACTTATTGCAAAGTATTGGAAGACACAAGACCTACCCACTCTGGAAGAATGGCAGATGAAGGTGATGGACTACATGGAATTGGCGGAAATGACTGGCAGAATCCGAGACCAGGGAGAAGAGTCGGTGGAAGAAGATTGGAAGAAATTTAAAGACTATTTACAGAAATATTGCAAAATTAATGAATGTTAGAATGATGTTGGAATGAAGCTAGGTGGTTTAAGCAGTAATGCTATAAAGGTGTATGTAAAAAAGGATTGATAACAGATGAAAATTTAAAGTTATAGTATATTAAGTTAAAGGATCATGAGAAAACAAAGAGGGAAAGAAATTGCTGACTTAACTAATTGAACTGGAATACAAAAAAAGGAGGTATGAGGAGGTCAGGGAAACAAGGATATGAATGTAAGCTATGGAAAGATTGACCCATTTTCTTTTTTCTTTTCTTTTTAAGTGTCTTTTATTCTTTTATTCTGTATTTTGTATTTTTCTGGTATTTTTACTTTTTGTTTTTGTGTAATTCTTTTTTTCTCTGAAATTTTAATAAATATCATTTTAAAAAAAACACACAAGGGAACAGGTTTTTTATTTTTACTTATTCCTCATACAAATCCTACTCGTAGGAAAGAGATATTAGTGACAGATATCGGTGCAACGAAGTTACTTGCCTGGACTATAAGGCTAACTATACATCTAAATGCAACTTAAAGGCTTTGAAAATACTGACTCTTACCTTGTTTGAATTAGCACAGGTTCACTACCAGATGTGGCAAAGAATGGTAGGGGACGCTGAAATCCTGGCCTGCGATCAGAGGAACTCCTCCGTACAAAAGGTTGGGGATTGGCAGCACTGAGGGACAACCTCCTCTGTTGATCCCCACATTGCCTGAGATGTTTGCTGTTCCTCTGCGCAAATGCTGACCCTTCGGGATGGTCCGCCGTAGCCTCTGTTGTGGAGCTGTTAGGTGGCAACACCGGCTTGGCTTCAAATAACGAGGAAGTGGCTGGACAAAATATTGAGCGTGTATTGCTGACAATCTTCAGGATGGGAGTCTGCTGCTCATTCCCAGAGTCCAGGTGATTTCGTAATCCTTTGTGCAACCAAGATGGGGAAGTTGGTGGGGATGGGGTTGTTGAGAAAGGAGGTGGGCTTGCTTCTCTGCGGAGTGCTGGTGGGCTGGACACTTTCCGGTAGGTTGGTGGGCTCTGCTGCTTGCGTCCCAATGGTGGGCTAGACAGGTTTTGTTGGGTTGGTGGGGAAGGCTGCTTCCTTTGTGTTGGAGAGCTTGATGCCCTGGGATTAGCAGGGGGGCTTGGCTGCCGGTGGGTAGTGGGGGAAGAAGCTTGGTTTATGTGCCTGTGATGTAGTGGTGGGCTTGGGAGCCTTTTCTCACTGGGGGGTGATGAAGGTGGTGTTCTTGCGGGGGACACCCGTTTGGTAAAGGCAGTCATCTTCTCACTTCCACTGGGTGAATCAGGAGAGCTTCGCTTTTGAGCTGAAGCTGAAGGTGTGCTACAGTCTTTATTTCCTGGCTCAGGTGCATCCTGTTCTGGCATTTCTTTAGGATTTTGAAGAGGTATGAGCTTACATGTCTGCTTATACAGATCTGTAGTTTCTTCCACTTCATGTTCCTCTGGGGATGCTGATGACATGTCTTGGTTGTTATCAGACACATAGCTGGAATTCAACTCCAGGGAATATTTTCTTGGTCTGAAGTCCACCCTAGCGCTTTTTGTTGCTTTGTTAGTAATGAGACTGGGACTGTTCAGATTCTTACTCGGTAACAAGTCAATGGAACACAGAGAAGCTTTCATTCGCTGAGAAATGTGAGTAACTTTTTTAGCGGTGAAATGCTCATTTGTTTTAGCAATTTCTGAATAGTTTTCTCCTGTTGTTGCATCTTTTGGATATGTAGCTGAATCAGGTGAGATGTCCATCAACATGTCAGGAGGTGGGGGGGGCAGGTCTTCCATGTCATCACTGTCATCGCCATCATCATCAGAATCCCCATTTGTGCCACTTCCGCTTGCAAATACAGGCGACCCAGTGGTACCCAAGGTACAGTGTGCTGGATTGATGTTTCGACAATTTATGTCTCCTATTGGTGAAACTCTGTGTTTGTGATTTAAAGGCGCAAGTCCTCTAGGAAGTGGGAGACTGGGAGTGATGCTTGGAAGTCCAAACTTTCTGACGCATTTTATTGGGCCCAAAATTCTTAAACTTGGAGGTTTCACAAGACTTTCAGCGGTGCTGAATGTTTCAATTAACTTCTTTACAGATTTGCGGGGTGGAGCACAACCAACACTGTTCAGCTTCTGTGTTCCAGGAAGCTCATTTTCTTTCTTAGATGTTGAATCCATTGGGGGTGTGGTGCTTGTGACAGGCTTTCGACATTTCCTTTCACCAGTCTGTTGGCTGATAGCATTTTGATCACGCCTAAACAAAGGGACTTTATCTTGATTAGGCAATATGCTGAAGTTTTTAGCAAGAGATGCTTTCAGTTTCTTAGTGGAAGATCTATGAATAACATGCTCAGAATCTTGCAAGTTAGATGGCTCTTTGGGGTTCAGTGATGCTGTCTTATCGTTTAGATCCTTGTTTCCATTAAGTGTGTAAAATATTTCCAGCCTTTTGTCAAGCCCCTTCTGAGTCCTTTGAAGTTCTAAAAGGGTTGGGTCCTCGGCGTGACTTTTCAGAGACTCCTCTGACCTAGACCTTTTCTTTTTAACTGGTGCCTTCTGGCTTCCAGCTGCTGTGCTAGGCCGCCGCAGCATCTTCCCATTTTCATCTTCCACCCAATCCCTCTTCCCAGATTTAGCAGGGACAAACTTGATCTTTTCACTAATGGCATCTTTCATCTTGAGTGTAATTTCCTCATTCTCTGGGCTCTCTATCCGTTTGGTGGAAGGCCTCCGTTTACTGTAGGTTGCTGCAGGCGAAGATGTGGGCTGTTCTTTAGTTCCCTTTTCAGACAGACTTAAATTGTCACCTTCTTCAGAAAAGCTACTATCATCACTGTCTTCATTTGCAGTTGATTCACAGTCTTTGAAACAACCGCCCTCATGAATGACGCCACAATTCATAGAGTTAGGAGAAGAGGTTTTGGAGATGTTTTGATATTGCAGAACAGTGCTTCCTGGAGCTACAGCTGAAGAAGGCATTACACCCTTGGTGGGTGCAGGTGGGTAAAATATATCCTTAAATTGTCTTTCCAGGGCACAGTCGTGGGATCTGCCTGTGGCATGTAGTGAAGTGCATGACCACTGGATTTCACCTGATGGCCTGGCTGGATTTAAGGATGGGTGGTCATGTGAAGAAGAATCACAATTTTTTTGTATTCCCTGTTTATCAAGAAGGTTCAGGTCTTTGACCGATTCGCTGTCAATCCCAATCCCACTGTCTTCAGAATAAAGAGTCATATCATCAGGATGAGAGTGAGAGGGTTTGACTGCAGATGCTTCAAGGAGTTTTATTGTCCTGAGCAAGCGCTCATCAAAAGCTTGTTTTGCTTTCAGTTTTTCCTCCAAGCTGCTACCTGCAGACTGTAGAAAGCTACAGGACTCCTGCAGGGCATCAGATGTTAAAGAGGCCACAGTGCCATTTAACAGCTGCATCTTATTGACTGTGTACTGTAGTAACTGCTGCAAGAGATCTGGTTGTTCTTTCAGGTTCCCTTTGCCAGCTGGCCAAGCAAGATTCCCTCCCACATCTCTTAGTAGGCCTTCTCCATCTTGGGCAATTTCTCCCAAAAGATGGTTGATTTCATCAAAACGAAGAAGTAAAAAGCTCACCATCTGCTGCATAATTAGTTGTGTTTCTGTGGCCTGGTTGGCCATGCACAAGATAACCTCGTATTTGGAGAGGTTGGGGTTTAAATATGCATAAGCATTTTGATGGGCTTTAACAAGCAACTCTGGGAAATCCACCTTCTCCTCTGCCTTGCATTCGGGTGGGTTGGGTTTTTCTTTAATTTTGCAATGACGGCCTTGTTTTCTCTGCCTGCTGCTCTTTTGCTTTTTCCCTTTCTTTGGATTTTGCTTTTCACTGTTTGCATCGTTGTCTTCCAAAGCAAAGCCAATTTCTTCCGATGCAGAAGAGTTTTGCTTTTTGACCTTAATATCCTCAACCATATGGGTGGGAGACACCGTCAGTTCAGATATGGCTATCTCAGTCTCTGAGATTACCCTTTCCATTTCCTTCTCTTCCTGGTCAATCTCAGGCAGAGAAGGATCCTCAGAGGAGGAGCGGAAATTAACATTTTTGTCCTCATCTGATGAATTTTCAAAGAAGTGATCTTTATTTTGAGTCTCTCCCTGGCACAACTCCTCAAGATCATATGAAGAGGAGCATTTGATTAGCATTGGGAGCTGGGAACCTTCACCCTCTGGATCAACTGGCAGGATACCCCTGTTCAGTGACTTGATTCCATGGGTCACATTATGGTTAGCAATATCACTATGTGAAGGAGTGCAGCCCATTATGCTCCTCTTCCTATCCTTCTTTACTCCTGAAAAATATCCAACTGATCTAGGAAGGAATAAAAAGGCGGGAAAAACTTACAAGTTCAGTTGATGTTATGCTTCTGATGAAGCTTTCATCTTGAACAGCCCACAGTTTGGTAGGTTGCCTTCTTAGCTATTACGAACTTCAGCGTTCCCAGTGCATCTCTCCACAAATGTGCACCGTGCATTCTTCGCCTTTGCAATTTCCCCTTTGGATGCAAAGCAGCAGCTCACAAGCTCCATCGCCTTTAGCCTGAGCTAGTGGATTAAGCGTGCTTGTGTTGTGTGTATCTTGCTTTTGCCTTGACAGATGTCTACGAGAAATAAGATTTTAAGCTTATTAGGCTAAGTAGCCCTCAGCTAGTTTGTTGCATTTATAAAAGGACTTTCTTGTTACATGCTGCATTTGACAAATTAGGTGCTTACACATTACAATACATTTCCCCACGATGTCTCATCGCTAAGGTGCACTTGCTGCTTTTGCAAAATCCTAAAAAAAAAGAAAGGGTCAGTTGTAAGGCAGTTCTTCCAGGAAATACCCATTTGAATGGCAAAGTACCACTGCATGGACACGTGCAAGGGCAAAGCATGACGTTGGGAGGATAATGTCAATCAGGAAGAAAGCACAGCACTCCAAGTCAAAAGAGGTAAGAGATGAAAAAGCCTATTTAGGCCATGCATTCGAGAGTGTCTCCAACTTTTCTGACCTGCAATGTCAAAGCAGTTTTCCTTCTGATGCGTCTCACACGTGCTTCAGCCACCCTTTCCTTCCCCAAACCTATGGTGCTACATTGCACGAGATTGTAAATGTCAAGAGTTAATTAAGTTTGATTCAGAGAAGATCTCTTGAAATTAGTGTAGCAAAGGTAGTCATGCCTGTGTGAGCCCACTCACAGTAGGAATAACATTAGGTGCAACCCTAAATAATTATTCGAAAGCAGTACCTGACTAAAGTTATAAAATTATATGGTAAGTAGCATAATCTTGTTGTGCTTCTGTGGCATTGATTTCAGGTTTTAGATGGTGCACCAGCCCCCCACTTCACACCGTTGCTTGGCTGTGGCCAAGTCACTGTCACTCAGTCTAACCAACCCCACATGACTGCTGCAAGATTAAAATAAAACAACTAATGGTTTAGGATACTGTTGTGATGATTAAAGGCTAAAGCTTTGTTGCAGCAAACAGAGGAGCAGACAGAAGAATGGAAGTTTTGAAGGAGGGCTGAAGTGGTGCAGAAATTTTAAAGAAAAGGATGAAATGGTGCAGAAGGAAATGAAAATGTTTGTTTGCTCACCTGTGCAAAAAAATACAAGAACATATTTATGCAGCAGATCTTCTCCTTGTTTTTCAGATTAAATTTTGATGAGTTTATAACTCCGCATCTACCAAGAGATGCACTGATGAGTTCTTTGAATGATACATGGATGACAGTTTGTCTGTCTGAATACTAATGAGGAAGATGACGAGGCTATATTTTTAAAGAAAAATTTGGAATAGCCATGGTTATCCACAGGCAGTTGGTATCGGCTTAATAATCTGCAAAAATGACTTTTGCACATGTCATGCTGCCTTTTCTAGTGCCATTGAACATAATTTGGAAGGACGCTGTTAATTTCAAAACAGTGGGTAATGCGCTGGTGAAGCTGATCCCTTCCCACAGGTCAACTCTGACAGGTGGGTGGGATCACTCACTTTTCAGTCACCTGGCATCATCATGACATCAGATGATTAACAGATGGGTAGGGCCAGTGAATCGTCAATTCCGTTGCTACCCCCGATGGCAGCCTCATTTCCTGTCATGGTGTTTCCTGAGTCTCAGATGGAAGTGAGCGTTTAATGTGTGAAGTAGGAGATGGAAGTAGGAGGGAAGATGTTAGTGCACACAACTTCATGCCAATGTGGAAGTTACTGTGAGCTGTCAGCTGTGTAATATTAGGTAATGCATGTTCTTGGTACTTTTGTCCATTTACTGTATTTATTTTTTCCTGATTTGAACTATAAAATGATGATTTTCTTAAGTCAAAAGGAGAGTACCCCTAAACATTTTTTAAAGAAAAAAGGCAATGGGTAGGGCTGCCTACCAGTCAAAGTTGACTTACAGGGTGGGAGGAGATAAGAATATAGACCATTGGGCCAGAAATATTTCCCGCCTTTGGTCTTGCATCTTCCCAACACAAACTTAATATGAATGTTTGTCAAATACCTAACATCCTCAAAAATAAAAAGTTATGCAACAGCAAAGTAATATTTTGTTTAATCCTTTAATCTTCTTTTTGTCTTCTTGCCTCCTATAGTCTGGCTACAATATCTTCTTTTTGCCTTTAACTTTGACTTGGCGTACAAGAATACCTGCAGCAGTTCTTGGGTGGCCTATGAATTATTCACCAGAGTTGCATATCTCGGCATCATGGTTGCATTTACTAATCTGTTCTGTGCCAAGAGCTGGATGAAGACAAGCTGGTGCAGCTGATTAGTCTAATGAAAATGCCCTTTAGGTAATTTTGGATGGGTTCCATCTACTTTACATCCAATACAATCCAGAAATGTAATCTGTTTACATATTCTAGTCTCATGAACATTTTCACAGGGCATGGGAGATTTGGTATTGTGTTTGTTTACAACATTTATATACCACCTTTATGAATTATGTATCTATCACTTTTTCAACGTATGCATTATTTTTTACAGTTCTCATCCCATGTAACCTTGTGAGGAAATTTTTTTACAGTTCTCATCCCATGTAACCTTGTGAGGAAAATTTCCAGTGTGAGAGAGTATATTATCACTTACTGGGTTGGAAGAGAATCCACAGCTCATATATCTAATCTAAGTCCCCATTTGCACCATATATTTAAAGCAGCAGGGCTCTCCCCAAGGATTCCTGGGAACTGTAGTTTTTAAGAGTGCTGAGAGTTGTTAGGAGATCCCTATTCCCCTCACAGAGCTACAATTCCCAGAATTCCCTGGGAAGAGGAATTGGCTGAGCAGAATAAGGGTTTCATAACAACTCTCAGCTCCCTTAACAAACCACAGTTCCCAGGATTGTTTAAGGAAAGTCATCCTTGTTTAAAGGTGTATGTTTAAATGTGTAGTTCAGATGGGGTCTAACACATTTATGTGCTGTGCAAAATAGCATTCTCAAACGGAGAGGCAGGTATCTTTCTGGTGCAGTATGCAGGCAGTTGTTAAGGAGAGAACAACTTTCCTGACCACTCTCTCCCTATGCAGGTTGTGTCTTTGTGTTGATACACAATATCCACTTTTCCCTATTTTGTACAGGACAAAGATAGTTGGTGTTGAAGCAAATTTTACACACCCTACTTTCTTAGGATCTCTCCCTTTTGGACCTTAAAACATACTTCAGAATCAAATCAGATGGAGTCTCTTTCCTCCTTATCTGCTTTCTCTGTGTCTTCCAATATAATTGGGTCACTTTTGTCCGCCCCATTACAGGTACACCGCTTGTCTGTAGTACGAAGTGAAATAGATTATCTATAAAACCCCCTGAGATGAAGACTATTAGAATGGCGATACGTTTTAGTGGTGTTATAAAGTGTGCTGAAAGCAGTAGGAGCCTCATGTTCTCTTCATGCAGGTCAGTAAAGGTCTACAATACTAGTCTTTAACTAGACAAAATCGAATGAGGTATGCTGAGATGTTTTACTGTGAAACATCTTCACGGTGTGTACAAGTACACATTTAGAGGCTGATTCAGGGCATCCGGCCAATTAATTCGGCATCCCACTTCCATTAGTTTTGCATGGAGTGGAAGCGATAGGAACTTAGCAGCTGCAAGCTCATGTACAAGAGTTTGCTTCACTTAAAAGCAAATCAGCAAATCAATGTCAATGTAGATTGCGTGGAACAAGGAAAACAGCTGTGTTTTTTTCTATTTCTCATGTGTTAAACCCGTAATTATCTGATGATTCATCACAGCACAAAAGAGCCTCCCTGACAATGGAACTGTAGCAATATCTTGAACGCTAAATTTGCCGCTTTTTACATAAATAAAGGGTGAATCACAGCTGAGTGACAATCTGGTTGGGGGCTTAGTGGGACACCCAGCTTTATACATTACACCAGTGTTGAGAGATCTACACTGGCTGCCTCTTAGCCACTGAGCCAAGTTCAAGGTGTTGTTGTTGACATTGAAAACCCTGAACAACTTAAGGCTTGGACATCTAGCAGACCACCTCCCTGGGCAGAGACCAGGATGATCTTTAGAATCTCCCAAGGAGACCTTGCTGGTAAACCACAACCAACAGACTGTCACTTGGTGACAATGCAGAAGCAAGCCTTCTCAGTTATAGCACCCACCCTCTGGAAAGACCTTCCTCATGAGGCTGAGACAGCAATTACCTTTAGATGCCTCTTTGAAAAGTATATCTTTACCGAAGCTTTCCTGGATTTCAGTTTTTAATTTTTAATTATCTGTTTTGTACGCTGCTCAATTTGCTTTGTGATGTATAGTTTCGATCTCGTTTTTAGGAAATTTTACAGAATGTCACTGTTGTGTTTTTATTGCTTTTATGTAAACTATTAGATATTTGTATTACATCAAACTTTTTTTAAATAAATAAATAAATACTCTAGTGTGATGTAAGTATTCAGATTACAGAATCCTACCATTAGCCTCCAAGTATTTTAAAATTCTCTCATGTTCCCTAGTCTGGTGCTACTGCTTATTTAGCTGTTCATGTCTAAACACCCTACCATAAAACTTAGTTTCAGAATTAGCAGTAGATTTTGCTAAGTGTGGAGGCCCAACCCTTGTTTTCTTACAAAACAGTGCAATCAGAAGTCAACACTATTTCCAAACACTGTTCTGCTCCAACAAGCTATGCAAGTTACCAGTCTCATCTTGCCTTTCTTGGGGCGCCCAATAAAAAAATCTTGGCTGGGCAGGTAATTTTATAATAACTACCTGGCATTAAGGCTTCTTTCTCATGGGTGAGATGGTAAAATCTGTCTGACTATACCACTTCAGACTAAGATTGGAGCTCCTGCTGTTACCGTAATTATTACGTTTTTATCTCACCCTTTTCTCCAAAGAATTCCAAACAGTTCCCTGAACACAGAAAACTTGAACGTCAGGGTGTTCTTTTAAAAACTCAGCTGCCTCCCTGTGATGGTGGTGTCTCAGCTGGAGGTATTCAATCATACGATGTCCGTGCTTACAATCTGCGGGTGGTGCGTTCAAGACCCAAGGTTGCCATTCCCATCTGCTGTACTCGTGCAAAGTATTACTTCTGGCATAGGCTTCATTTAAATCTAACATAGTCTGATTCTTAACCTGTCTTGTTTGTGCACACACCCCTTATCAAATGTAAATAGATAACTTGGTAATGCAACACTCAGGAGGTTGTGGACTCTCCTTCATCAGAGGTTTTTAAGCAAATGTTGGATGGCCACCTGTCATGGATGCTTTAGATGATATTTCTAAATTGCAGGTGGTTGGACTAGATGACCCTCGGGATCCCTTCTAACTCTACAATCCTATGCACATTTACCCATAAATGCCAATGTTGTCAAGGGACTTAGATCCACACCACACATTTAAAGCAAATGTCCTCTCCCAAAGAATCCTGGGAACTGTAGTTTAAGGGTGATCGGGACAGTAGCCCTACTAGGGGAAAGCCAAAGTTCCTAGGATTATTTTAGGGAAGTAATGTACTTAGACCTAACTTCTGAAACTCACATCATGCATATAAAGCACAACCAATGCACATTTGGTTTCAGAAGTTAGGTCTTACTGAATTCATCTTATTGAAGATTCTTACTCCCAGGGAAGTTGGGTTGTAGCCTGTTTGCATATATAGCTGTAGTTCAAGGATAAAAATTTAAAATTAGCTGAGAGAAAGCACCATTAATCTGAATAAATATGCACATGCACTATGGAAACTTACTCATTTTTTTGTATTGTTTGTAGCTTTCAAGGCCAGTATTTTACTTTTCATTGCAATTCTACACTTACTAGGGAGCAAGATCCAATGGCAGATTCTGCTAGAAAGGTGTATCGCAGCACCAACACTGATATGCGTAATTTAATAATGGAAAGTCAAAATGACTTGCTTTAAAATCAGTTTGTTTTTCAGCAAAAGACACTGCAGTATTATGTAAACATTCCACTGTCAGCTTTTTAGGCCACAAGTGCTGGGCACCATGAACAACTGCGGACATTTCCTGAATTAAAACTTACACACCGCTGCCTGCTTTGAGCAAATGAACCATTACTTGCAGCGTTCTAAGGGACTGTTAGTGAACACACACAACACACAACTATACTGCTTTTTGTATTTGTTGCACAGGATGTCATTCTCTCTTGCCGGTTTTATCTGCGTTAGATTTTAAGTTTTCCTTTCGGTATGACTAATTGAACAAATAAATAAATAATTCGCGGTGCTTCAAGGTGCTTCTTGCACTGCTTCTGTGACTGCGACCCTGTGCACTTTGCGACGTTTGTGACGCCTTTGAAGCGGTTTCCAAGCCAGGCTTGCTGCTTTCACCCAACCCGCCGCATTGTCATTTTTGCAAAAAACCACCAAACTGCGGAGAACGCGGCAACGGTGGCCGCGCGAAGCGGCGCGCGCTGAGCTCCGAGCCACTGCGGGCTGCGCGAGACTCCCGCCCCCACTCGCCTCTCATCCGCTTCATTAGCGAGGAGAAGCGGAGGAAGAAGAAGAGAGGTGATGCGCGCAGGCGCAGGCGCACGAGGCCCGCGTGGGGAGGGAAGGGGGGAAAAGAGAGCCAAAGACCACACACACACACCGAATGTGGGCGTGGCCTGACGCGCGGTTTCCTAGGAGCCGAAAGTGGAAGAAGGTCGAGTATGTAAAGCGGGGGGGCGGAGCCAAGGCCGCTCACTGGCTGAGAGTGAGGGTGAAGGGGCGGGGCCTAACGCCTCAACCTCTTGCTGCGCCTCAGGGATGGCGGATGATGGTGATCGACGGTGGGGGGGGCGGGGCATGGGAGGCGAGCGAGGGCGGGGGCGGCGCCTGGAGGGAACGGGGATTCATCCTTCCCCTCGCTCCTCTCCCTTGTCTCAGGGAGCCTCCGTTGGGCGGAGAGGACAGGTAAAGGCGTGGGGGGGGGGAGTGTGAAGGAGCCGCTGTCACCTTGGCTTGCTTTCCTTTCCGGCTGTCTCTGGGGAGGGGGGGCGGTGTGTTGCTGAGGGGGGGGAGGAAGGGGGCTGGGCAGGCGGTGCTGCTGCTCAGCCCCAAAGGCGAGGGGGGGGGAGATGCTGGAGGGGGCGGCCTAGGTAAGCCTACCTTTGTGATGTGATGTGGGGGGGGGGCGTGGCGCGGTGAGGGGGCCGGGGAACGTCTGAACGGCGCACTTTCTGGCACGCCCACGTGGAGTTTGTAGGCATGGTCCTTGGTGGGGGGAAATAGCGCTGCCGGTGGATTTGTGGAGAGGTTTTTTTGGGGGGTGGGGAGTCAAGCGGCTCTGAAAAGGTGACTTCTAGTGGGGGGAGAAATGAAGGGCAAAGGTGTGTGGGTTGCAGCTGACGGGAAGGACGCGGGAATCCTCCGAGAAGAGTGGGGTCAAATGCAGAGAGAGAGAGGGGCTTGCGTTGCTGTGCGCGTGGGCTCCGGAGGGACCCATTGGGGCCTGAGCTTGCAAAAAAGGCATTGGCATAAGATACACACCCTTAGGGAGAGGGGAGGTTGAAATGTATCCTTTGCTCTAAGGGAGGTCACCCCTCCAATCTCTGTCTTTTTTGTCGCATAGAACTGCTGCATTCTTTTGGTGAACGTTCCCCTTCAGAGTCTCCCCTTCCCACCTTCCTCAAAGCAGTTTTGCAGGCAGTGTTACTTGTTTTGACTTAGTTAATTGTGAGCTTGGAGTAATGCCAGTTTGTATGTGTCAGGTCTCTCTCTCTTTCGACCCCCCCCCCAACCTCTTGTTCTTTGCAGCAGCAGGGATAAGAGGCTGGCTTGCATAGAGGGGCTTGCATTTAAGCACCACTTTAAAAAACAACATCAGCTTTTCTCAGAACTTCTGAATTGGAATGGAAGTACTGTAAGAGGAAAAGAGTGACACTGCAGTTGCTTGTAGTTTACTGTTGAAGGGAAGTAGACTAGGTGGGAATGTTACTATTTACATTAAAAAATAAAAACAAAATAAGGCAGCAATAACAATTTTTAGCATGAATGGCTAGGATTTCATGGAGATACTATCCAGATATTCACAATATAATCCCAATACCAGTTAGTTTCTCTCATGGACTACCAAGTTTGGCTAATTATTCCGGAACACGTCAGTTTTCAGTCGGTAGTATCTCTAACTCTTCTCTATAAAATCACTTTACTTACTGTGTATGCTTTTACTGTGGTACGACTGCTCTCTAAACATGCACAAATATCACATGTTCATTAGTAGAACAAGAAGCCTTTAATCTGTCAGGTGAAAACTAATTAACACTTTCCATGTCAAATTAGACTTCTAATTTTAAAGGACATATTAATCTGTGCTGCTCATGGCTCTGTAGATTACATGTGGTTGCCTTCTCGTGTTTACTTAGATTACTATGCAGTGTAATGTAAGTGCTATTTAGTTTTGATAGTAAATCACATTTGGCAGATACATTTGACATTTGAAACTATAGTGCTGAAACTTCTATGCAGAAAAGTTCGTTGTGGGATGTACTGCATTCAGTGGTACATAATAACCCAATGTTTTTCTTTCATAATTTATTCAGAAAGCTAAGTTTTTGTTTCTAATAGCATTGACTTCTGCAGTCACCAAGTCATAGAAATTGATTCAGGCTATGTAGTTTGAGGGAATCCAGGAAATGGAATCTGTGATCACCACTTATTGAGCAAGCCAAATAATTGAAACTCATCCAGTAAGTGCTGGCTATATGCTTGCTTACTTTTTCGGCATCTTCAATAACATGCTTTCAGGTGGTGATTGTGAAAATCAAAACTTATTCTAAAAGATGGCCAAGGGATTGGGGAGCAGGACTGGCTGTTACTTACTTGTGTTTGAGATTCAATACAGTTATCTTCAGTTCATCTTATGGATCCAAAGCAAGCAGTTCTGTACTGAGAAAAAAAAGGGAGCTTCAGATCCCCTTTGAAGTTTCTCTGTGATATAGTCAATTTCCAATCTCGCCATCATTTTTCTTAATTTGTAAAATATGTAAATTGTTAGCATAGCACCTCTTGATAATGGATGTTCTTATTACAATTACTTCATGCTTCATGCTCAGGTAACTTTCTGTTCATGAATTTCATGGCTGAATAATGTTCCATGGCCTATTAAATGTGTTCGTGGGACAGGGATTATTCGTTTGTTTTTGTTTTATTATGTATTTTGTGTGCTCATTTTGTATTTTATGTTGGGAACTACACTGTGATCTTCAGATGAAGGGCAGTTATTTCCAGATAAATAAATGTGGTGCTTTTTCAAGAATTCTGAAAATGATGGAAGACCTATGTGTAGGCATGCTGTACCACAGTCTATAGATGGACGGATACTCCAATCGCGTAATATATGAAGTCCTTCCCATTCTATTCATAATCATTTGGTAATAAATCAAGCTCCTTCTACTATAGTAAATGGAAACAAAAATTCCTGCGAGGTAGTTGTGCCTGCAGTGAGGATGGGGTTTACTGGCAGAAATAAATGAGGCCATCAGACATGTCTATCCTTTCCCTACTGAGTGATGGTATAGGTAGTATCACAAGGTGAAGCAAGTGAGAACTTTATGGCCTACCCTGCCTCTTCATGGCTGAATTATCCATTTCCACTATGCTTGTGGCAACATTTTTCTGTAGGTTGTTATAGCCACTCCTTAGGACCTCTCTTTAGTTGTTCCCATATCTAGGTGAAAGATGCCAAGGAAACAGCAAAGCTATACAGTTGTACCTTGGGTTAAGTACTTAATTCGTTCCGGAGGTCTGTTCTTAACCTGAAACTGTTCTTAATCTGAAGCACCACTTTAGCTAATGGGGCCTCTTGCTGCCGCCGTGCTGTCGGAGCCTGATTTCTGTTCTTATCCTGAAGCAAAGTTCTTAACCTGAAGCACTATTTCTGGGTTAGCAGAGTGTGTAACCTGAAGTGTATGTAACCTGAAGTGTATGTAACCCAAGGTACCACTGTAGTTGTCATAAAAAGTATTTAATTTTGTTTTAACATTTTCACTCTTTGCATGTTTTGCAAATGTTTGCAAGATATACAGTGGTACCTTGGGTTACAAACGCTTCGGGTTACAAACTCCGCTAACCCGGAAGTAGTACCTTGGGTTGAGAACTTTGCCCCAAGATGAGAACGGAAATCGTGCGGTGGCAGCGGGAGGCCCCATTAGCGAAAGCGCGTCTCAGGTTAAGGACAGTTTCGGGTTAAGAATGGACCTCCAGAACAAATTAAGTTCATAACCCGAAGTACCATTGTACTTTATACTTCATAGCTGATGTACCGTTGACCTCATTTTCCTTAAATGCTATTTACTTTCCTGTCCTTTTTTCTTACAAGTTCACAAGTTCCTGACTGTTTTCTACATGCATGTCTTTCTGATGTTCTTAATGAATAGGTTGTTGGGTTCCTTCCAGCATTGAATGTGATTTCATTTGACATGATACTTCCTAATTGGGGAATGATTTGTGGATGAGGGTACTGACTAGAGACAGAGGCTACCTATAGGCTGCTGAATACACTCCTCATTATGACAACACTTAATTTGCTTCCTCAAGCTTTGTCCTAAGCAGTGAAGTAGCAATGACAAGTTCTGTAACAGCTTCTGCTATAATATCAAATTTCCCCTCTCACTTTTCAGTAGTACAGTAGTATGGTAAAGGGACCCCTGACCATTAGGTCCAGTCGCGGACAACTCTGGGGTTGTGGCTCTCATCTCACTTTATTGGCCGAGGGAGCTGGCGTCCATGGCCAGCATGACTAAGCCGCTTCTGGCAAACCAGAGCAGTGCACGGAAACACTGTTTACCTTCCTGCTGGAGCGGTACCTATTTATCTACTTGCAGTTGGTGCTTTCGAACTGCTAGGTTGGCAGGAGCAGGGACTGAGCAACGGGAGCTCACCCCGTCGCAGGGATTTGAACTGCCAACCTTCTGATCGGCAAGCCCTAGGTTCTGTGGTTTAACCCACAGCGCCACCCGTGTCCCACTACTTGTTCTTACTGCTCATTTGGGTTTGAGGGTTAATGATACTGAATATATACAGTACAGTGTTAATCTGGGGCCATGACATTTGCAGCATGATGCTAAAGCTGAAAAGTGCGTTTTAAAAAGATAATTATTGCATATTTCCCATGTCCATCTTCAAGAGGTCAGGGTAGTTGGACACTATTAAAAATCTGCCCAAAATTTGTAGAATAAATACAAAAGCAAAATCAATCACTCTAAAAGCAATATCTTGTTAGGAAAAAAAGTAAGAACAATTCAGCCCAGTTTCAAGGTTTCTCCACCCAGGCAAGTAAAAGCAGTTCTAAAAATGGTATATACATATTTAAAGTCTTCAAAGATAGATTCTGGAAGCCTACCTTTGGTTCTATCCACATGGGGCTACCACTGTGTGTTGGAGATCAGTGTTCTTCCTTTCTGACTTAACCTGGCTAGCATATGATAATTTGATAAAACGTTCCAATAATTCCTTATGATACTTCAGATTGCACATGAGAAGAACCATGCAAAGCATGCAGGACTCAAGCCATTTAGAGTTTTAAAGGGACAATAGTCACCAGTTGCCTTGCAGAATTCCAAAACACACTCAGGCTGTGAGCCTGAGTGACAGGCAAGCCCTTTTCAGTTTAACTATTATTTTGAATTTGAAGGGGTGGCTAAGGTAGGCTAGAAATAAATGGAATAATAAGGGCAAATATGCCCTGAAGTTAAATGCAAACCAGGGAGAAACAATTTTCAAAGTCAATATCTCACAAAGTGTGCCCTCCAGTCAACCTTCAGCTACGTGCGCTGAAATAGCTTAGTTTTTGCATGGGTTTACCTTCTGAGATATGTAGTATAAATAATTGTGCACACACATTCTTAATTAAAGAATTGTGACCTTCCATATTCTTCCAGTGGGAACTTGACCCAAATAAGTTATGTAAGAGCTGATTTGTCTTCCTCAAATTTCAAAGTGTTACTGGGAGCCAAATCTACCAAAAATAGTAAGATGAAGACTAGCTTATTTGTGTTTAATGGAAATTTTACAGGAATTTTAGGGGCTTGATTACTATGCTCAGTAGTAAACAGTGATTCTTGGTAACCCTACTAGATAATGTGTGAAGCTGTGCCATTCATTTACATGAGAACTTCAGGTTGTGTTCTGAATTTTTACATACATATTCTACCCCCCCCCCCCATCCTAGAATGGCAAAACCACCTGCTATATATTAACGAAAAATTCCCATAGGGTACTTTGCTTCAGAACATTTTCTGATACAAAGCTAAAAACTTTGAAATTGCCAGGCTTTGAAATGGTAATGTATTTACAACTGATTACCAATTAACGTACGAAATGTTTCTTTTTTCCTTTTGCAGGCAAAAAATGGCTTAGAAAATTTGGAATATTTTCCACCCATCCCTAGTTAGTCAATTAAGACTGCTTTCTGGAAACACAGAGAACATACATCCTAGTATGTTTTCCATGCTTAGTTGGCATTACTTTGAGCAAGTGCTGCTCAAATGCACTGAAATTCTCTGGCTTTGTAAGACCTAATGCAGCTTTTGTGTTTAAAGGGAAAGAATTGCAAGTAAACCAATTTAACACCAGGCGTATATCAATGTGTGGACATACTGAATAAGGTTAAAAAAACACACCTGTCTGCTGATGGTTCTGCAGTACCATTATTTCCATTATTCCTATCCTACATCACTGCCCCCTTTTCTGTCTCCTCACAAATTTTGTTGCAGAATTCTAGTGACCTAGATCACACCTGCACCATCCATTTGAAATGCTATTATACCACTTGAACAGTCAAGGACAATAATGGGAACTATAGTTTGAGGGTGACCCCACAGAGCTGCAATTCTCAGCGCTCCTAACAAACTAGCATTCTGAGGATTCTCCATGACTGTTGAAGAGGTATAATAGTGCTTTAAATGTATGGTGTGGATGTGACCTTGGAGTGGTGAAATAATTCCTGAGCTGATACAATTACTTTGGAGTTCAGATTATTTTCCATATATGTGGAATGTCTTAATTTTGGCAACCCCTGAGATCATGGGGGGCGGGGGGAAGGGACCTGAAAAGGGGACCTTTCCCACTGTTGTCCTGCATTCTGGAATGTGCTTTTTCCTTTCCATACCTGAAATTTCAGTTGTTTTAGTGTTTTGGGGTTTTGTATTGCTATATAGGACTTGGAGATTTTAAAAATTATATGTGGTTTAAACAAATAATAAATTGTACTCAGTATTTTAGCAAGTAGTGGTAGTTAGTGCTGTATAGCTAGAGAGAGTCTTTAGTGATTACAGTCTTGTGCATATTTGGCAATAGAAGTATAAACTGCATTGTTGAACAGATGTTATAACACACCGTTGAGGAAACTCTCCTTTTTGTTTGTTTGTTAAAGGTGGCTTTCTAGAAGATGACCATAGAGGATCTTCCTGACCCTTCCATAGAAGGAGATCCATTGACTAAAAGATACCAGTATCTTATTCCGGGTTCTGAAGATTCAATCACCTATTCTGTTTCTGCAGCACCAATGCCTTCTGAATGTGGTAAGTATATTTATAAAAAGGAATAACTTGTAACAACTGTTTTCAGAATGTTAAGTTGAGGAAGATACATGCAGATGGATTTCGGAATGATGCACTCAACTCGGAAAACAAAGTTCATTTCGAAATGGTCTCATCTGTCTCCCGTATCTAAAATGTGTCAAATCAGCATCAAATCAATGTGCTAGATGCTGTAGAATACAATCAATTTTACAGTCTCCCCAAGCAATCAATTTATTATGCAAATAATGCATAAACAATGCAGATTTCTTCTCCCAAAGTAACACACTTATTCCAAAATGACGTTTTCCCAGCACTCAGACAGCAATATTTTGGTGTGAGGCATCTATATTATTTGGAGTGCTGTGTGAAATATTTGTGGAAATGTCACAGGAGCCTATTGGCTAGCGTTCATGACACTGTATGTGTGAAGGCGTTGTGTGATGTAGTGAATAGAGAGACTGGGGAGATGCCTGCTCAGAAAAAAGTGCAGTGGGGTGACTGCCTCAGCCAGAGCCCATTCATTAAGTTAAAATTTGAGTAGGGGCACATTGGAAACTGCATATGCCTCAACATTTTACAGATGGGGCACTTTTGTACAGTGGTACCTCGGGTTACAGATGCTTCAGGTTACAGACTCTGCTAACCCAGAAATAGTACCTTGGGTTAAGAACTTTGCTTCAGGATGAGAACAGAAATTGTGCTCCGGCGGCACGGCGGCAGTGGGAGGCCCCATTAGCTAAAGTGGTGCTTCAGATTAAGAACAGTTTCAGGTTAAGAACGGACCTCCGGAACAAATTAAGTACTTAACCCGAGGTACCACTGTATACTTATTGGCTAGTCATAGCCTGCATTAAGGGTCTGTTTGTGTTTTTCATGTGAGCGCACACGAATTAAGAATGCTTCAAGCTGGCCCTGTATGTGTTCATTTTAATCCTTACCACAAATACAGCTCTGTGATAGCCTGAGGAAAAACAGAAGTTCACTGACCTTCAGTTTCCATCACTTGGCCAAGTGAGGCATCTAGTTTCCATGCCTTCTAAAAATAGCCCCAGCAGGCTTTATTTCCCCCCGCCTTTCCCCTATTTCCCAAGGTTTTGTTAGTATTCTCTTAATGGGGAGGACGCCATTGGTGCCTTCTGTGTCATCGTCCTAATCATATTTTTCTCTTCACCTTCTGCATCCTTGTCTAATTACATCAAAGTGAAATGTCCACACAGGGCCTCAACCCTTTTCTTATGCACACATCCCTTCCCGCAATGCAAGTTATGTACATGTTTGTGGGCCTGCGTGTCACAGGTTCATGCCCAAACTTACTTTTCCTTTTCCTAGGTGCTGCAGGAGACACAATATCATCATTTGGGCCAGCCCCATTTCAATCAGGGTTGATGATGCAGGGTTATTTGAATTACCCATGAGCACAACAGCTATCTTTGCAGTATGCTGCTAAATTTTAATCCCTTCTTAAACCCACCACTTGGGAAGAATGTGTTCAGTCCCCACTGGGAATGCTTGTTTGCTGCCTGGATTTCTTTAGAATTAAATCTCTCCTGTAGCGACAGAAACTATGACCGGTAACATTGCTTTAGTAATGAACTCTCCTTCATGTTAGGCTAGGTAGCCTCCTAGGACATGCTACTTCCTTACCAAGCTTTTGTGGGCTATGATTGCTGTGTATGACAGCAGCAACTGCATTATGATCCATACCTCAGCAATTATGGTATGACTTTTACAGGTGGCTCCAATTCACAAGGCTGTGTGGGAAAACAATCTGTATAATATGGACCACTCTGGTGTAAAGAAAGCTGCTCTCAGGCACCGATGTTTACTTTAAAACTTCTTGCAAAGATCTCTGACTGTGCGTGGTATTAAATTTTTGGATTTGGAAGAAATAGTAATTCTTGGAATCCATTGCTAGTGCAGTCCTAAACATTCTTGCACAGATATGAGCTTGAGTGCCCACAGGCTGTGCTTCAGTCACATTGAAATTCAGCATACATTGTCTCTACTTAGCTAGAGACTTTATTATAGAGTTGCCTTATTTTGTTTTGTCAGTTCCTGAATATGTTTCAGTGAACTGACAGACCAGGCTGACAAGATGGCGAACCACCTTGACAATTCATCACACAAAGATCTTGTTTAGTGATTTCACCCTGTTCTTCAAAATCTTAATTGATGGCTGTATAGCAAGAACTGTGGGGAAGCCAGAGCACTAACATGCGCAGACTAATATTTCATGCATGGCCAAATTCATCCATCAAGAACTTGCAAGCCAAAAGTTATCATGGCTTGGTTAAGGATTGTACCCACCTGAAATAAATAGCATGCTGCCAGGTAGATTTTCACTTTGAAAAGTACAAGCGTTAATCAGCGGTGACAAAGTGACGTGTTAGAACAAGTGATCCAGCTCTTAATTACTGTAGAAATCTCAAGTAGTGACTAAAAAACAAAACAAAACAAAAACCTTTCTCCAAATTATATACATTGTGCTTGCTTGACAGTTGAATAGCCTGTTTGCTTTCAAGTGAATGTTTGTAATGCTCCCTCTTTTCTGTGTTGTGCAATCACTCCACAATTCTAAGAACTCTCCAGTGCAAGGCTCTCTGTGAGAGGCAGTTCGACTCTAGCTCATCCTGAAGGAGATGTCTTACTCATGAGCACATTAACGGTAGAATGCCTTTAGTCAGGGTAGTAAGAGAAACTATATAAAAGGGCTTGTCAGTCAGCTCAGTATTTATTTCAGTGATCCTCTGCAGTGTGCAGGGCTTTCCCAGTAGGCACAGCAGTATATCTCAATGTTGTTTCAATTCAGCATATGTTCCTTGAATGTCAATTTTTTAAAACATCAATTTCTCCCCACAAGCCCGCTTGATCTTCAGCATATGAACCTTCTTTCGTTTGCTGGCAAATACACTGATTGGCACACTATTAATGCATTTTTAAAGCTAATTCTCCTTCAAGTTCTTGTGGGAATAAATGCCTTAGTCCTGAAAAGAAAGTTGTGCATCCTGAGTTTATCCTGATTTGCTTGCACAGTGGTTGTATGTTGCCTTCTTAATCATTCATCCCATACTTTTCAGTGAATTTCCCTGTCATCTCCCTACCTGTGGAGAGTCCTAGTTTTTTTTTTATAAAGTATATTTGTTGTACCAGGGTGACAGAGTGCTTTGATACACTTTCATTGTGCAAATCTTAATTTCCAGTATGTGCCTGAATGCGTCCCACAAAATACTGCCAGTTTGGAGACAACCTCTTCCTTCACAAGTAGCATGGAAATGCAGTGGGCCAGCAGAGAGCCGATCCTTCTTGCACCAGTCTGCTTAGTGGAAGGCTTTCCACCCTCTCAGCCTGTATTTCCATTCTGCCCATTGAGAACGAGACTCCCCCCCTCCCCTTGTGGGAATCATGGAAGTGCAAGCTACTAATAGAGACATGTTAAAAAATGAAAGAGAAGCAGGCTAGTACCGTATTTTTCCGTGTATAAGACGATCCTTTTTGCTAAAAAAAAAAAGGCAAAAATTGGGTGTCATCTTATACACAGATAGTGAATGCAGAGGGGGGACATGTGATTAATGGCAGCAGCAAGCAGGAGATTGGCAGTGGCAATTGGGCAGGCGATTGGCGGCTGCGGCAAGTGGGCGGATGGGCTGTTGGTGGCGACGAGCAAGTAGACAATTGACTGCAGCGAGGTGTGCAATCAGCAGTGACTGTGGCAAGCAGGTGGGTGAGCGATTGGCGGAAGTGACCTCCCCCACCCCCTAAAAAAGCTAAACAATTTAATTTCTTAATTTTGGGTTAAAAAAATTAGGGGTCGTCTTATACATGGGAGCGTGTTATAGACAGAAAAATATGATACGGTAATTTTCACAGACTTATTTACAAGGCTGTGATATATGTGAGTTTTCACCTGCCAAAGACAGAATTGGGCAAACCAGAGCTTGAATCATCGTGGTCAACCTGCCACTGCTCCACACAAATCCTCATCTGCTTGCCTGCCCATATCAACCAGGGACATGTGCTCTTTTCTGTAACGCAGATGCATATACCCCACGTTGCTCATCATTCCTTGTCTTGTCACTGCTTGGTCTGTTCTCATGCTTGCAAAGAGATTTTAATATAAGCCAGCAGCTGCTGTTTTCTCCTCTATTATTGCTCATGCCCCTCTTTTCTATTTCTTCTTCCCTAAGCTGACCACATTTGGGAAACTGCATATTATATACTCGGGTCGTTCTTTCTCTTCTTGTATCCTCAGCACCTTACCAATGTATGAAGCTCTGCTTCATGTTGGGAAGAAGGCAATTGTCAAAGCTAATCTGTTTTAATTAGAAAAACCTTCCTTGCGTGGCCAAGGATAAGGGTGGTTAGCTCTCAAACTTTACCTGTTAATAGCCTTCCTGATGACTGACCTAACTGTGCAGTCACTAAAAATGTTTAATTGTGCCATAAATAAAACCAATTCCAACTGTACAGCTCTCTTAGTGCCAATAAATTGATCTGTTTATCCACTCCAACGTTGCATACATCAATAGGTTTTTATTTAAACCACATCCTTAAATTTTCTTAACTGACAAACAGATGCAGTTAACTAAGAAGTAAGGAACTGCTACTACTTATTCCTTATGCAAACTCTGTAAATTCTCAATAGCTAGCAAAATGTTGATTAATTAGGCTAAGCTAGGTTTCTGATGAGTGGCTTCATTTCTGATGCTAATTATTCTGGGTTATATAAGTTAACTTTGTGTGTTAGATTTCCCCCGTAACCCCCCCTCCCGCTCTGCTGCTGTAGCCCAGTATTCCAGAATGATTGCTGAATTAAACTTCACATTTTGCAGGGAGACACACAACTCTTACGAGGATCAAACTACTTGTTACATGCAATTTCATATATATATTTTCCTGAAAAGATTCAAAACAAAACAAAACAGCTGCTTGAGACTAAAGCCCAGAGCAAAAAAATTGGGAGCAGTGCTTAACACTTTCACTGCAAAATATATTTCATCTTAGAACTGCCTACCCCAAACCGTTTCACTTTTCTTCCTAGATAGGAGGAACTACTTTGAGGGCTATTTTTAGAGGAAATAATGTCCACAAGAGACATCATCATTGCCTCAAACAGTTACTTTTTCATTAAGCAAAAATTTGTTCAAGGGAATGTTACACAGAACTCAGCCCAACGGTAGTTTGGTCCAGAGTTTATTCTTCCTGTGAAGTAATTTCTTTTTTTCTGAACTATGCTGTGTAGAACAATTATGTGTTGATATGTGAGGCTTCTATTTTGTGGATATTATTTATATTTTGTCTATTCAATAATAAAGCTACAGTGTTTGCCATCAAGTCAGAGAATTTGTTACTATTTGTTTGTATGTATATCATGTTCACAAATTTGTTGGGCATTTCTTACTGCAAAGTACTTTAGAAACTCAACCTACTTTTTCTTATTCCCATAGAGTTCTCCTTTTTTGATCCTAATGATGCGGCATGTCAGGAGATTCTGTTCAACCCCAAGACATCTGTGTCTGAACTATTTGCTATCTTAAGACAATGGGTCCCCCAAGTTCAACAGAACATTGATGTTATTGGGAGCGAGGTGAGAAATATATGGTGATTTATAACGAAAGGTATTTTTTGTGTCTGTGCCTTGACTTCTTTGTGGAACTAACTAACTCACTCTGCTTTTATTTGAGAGCTAATGTTATCAAAATAGCATCACCTCTGAGGTGCTTTGGCCTTAGAAATTCAGCTGTTAAAATAAAAACTTGAATTCTTGGTATTATATTAAAAGGGAGTGAGCACCACAAAAGTGATTTTATCTTGTATTTTTATGCTGTGAACTGTCCTGAGATCTACAGATGAACTTTATGCTGTGAACTGTCCCGAGATCTACAGAGATCTACAGATTTCATAAAAAATAAAATAAAAAGTGTATTGGGTGTTAGCATATATTCCTAGGCTTTCATAAGCCTAGCAGATAACAAAATTCCCTGCTGAAACCTGGAGAGCTACTGCTATTCAGTATAGACAATGCTGAACTTGATGGACCCAAGAGTCTGGCATTGTGTAAAGCAGCTTTCTGTTCCCAAGATAGTGCTAACAGAAGCATAACGCGAATGCATTAAAGGAGAATATTTTGTTAATGTTGATGTTGTGAACCACCCTGTGATCTTTGGATGAAGGGCAGTATAGAAATGTAATAAATGATAATAATGACAACAACATGACAATAAGCCATTAACTATCCCTTTGTTGCTGTGAAATGTATAACCAAATTGGTCTGATAATGTACTGAGATGAAATTTGTTGGCAGGTATTGCCGTGAGACTGAGATCTTTTTAGGTTAAATAGCTGCATCATATATGGTTCTGTTCTATCGTTTCTGCAGATCATTAAGAGAGGCTGCAATGTGAATGACAGAGATGGATTGACTGACATGACTCTCTTGCATTACACATGCAAATCAGGGGCTCATGGTATTGGTGAGTGAATCAACTTGAGACCTTCACTGCCAGCCGTCTTTCTAGCAGAAGGAGAGGTTTTTCTACCTTTTCCACTGGCTGTGCTGCCACTGTGCTTAGATTGACGGGTTGAGGAGGGCTGTATCCTTGAGGCTATCCATGTACCCGGTGGGAATATTCTTTAGCTATATTAAAACTGCTAAGCTGCTTCTTGATCACAGAAGAGTTCTCAAAGATGCATAAGAAGTACAATCTCATGAACATGTCAAGTAATGGTTAAGCAATAACCTTTTAGCAGCTGAGAAAAGCATGTACTGAATCGGCAGAAAGTCCAAGCAAACAGCCTTTTGAAAACAGCAATGAACAATGCTGTTGAAGGCTTGCCATAAAAGGGATGGTTTTCATTAGTTAATGAAAGATTATTAAGGAAATGTGCCTGATTCCTCTTTCCATTCCTAAGTCTCTAGAGATTATTGAGTATCTGCATAATCACCCAATCTTCCATAAAAGTGGAGCCTGGAAGCTATATGGTCACGTCTCTTTGATTGTACTCAGTAGTGTGCTTGTTTGTGGTTTCTTCTTGCCAAGTCTTCTAAAGATAGCAGACTCTAAGATGAAAGCATCAGATTTTCACTTCCAGGGTTGTTGTTTTTTGCCTGTTCTATGTCTCTATAATTTTTGTGACCTTCTACATAGCACTTTTTGATACACATTTTCCCCTACCAACACCGTGCAGGTGATTAAACGCAATGCAGGTGATATCATTTGAATTGGAATTTGATTCTTTATCTTGAAACATGATTAATAAAACTATTGGAAGGACGCAGTGTGGACACATGCTTTCTAAAATCACCTGACATTCAAAAACGAATGCTTTAAATTCTAACCCGGTCTCTGTTGGCTTTGTGTATGTGTGTCTATACATGCTTTAGAGCTGCGACTCATGATCCACTTGAGGTAGAGCATTTGCTTTAAACCTGTCTTACTCATATTCAAGCCAACAAGCATATCTCCCTTGGCACAAGTGTTCTGGTTTGATGTGCTTTGGCATTGTGCCGCTGAGTAAATGACCCACTCTGCCTGGGGTGGTTGTGCATTAGCCCTGTGCCATCATACCCAGTGCAGGGTGGGGAATATGATTCATTGTGAGTCAGCTCATGTCCCATCATTCCTGTTTTAAGATACAAAGGATATTTCAGCCCCTTCTCTTACTTCTACAAACCAAGACTTAATTAAGCCTTAAATCAAAGCATTTTGAGCTGCCTGACGTGTCATAAAAATCCTACAGAGAAGCCACTTCTATGTAGAACTGAATGCAAAAGCCACATATAGGCTTTCCCCATGCAAGTGCACATAGGAAGTCCTGTAAAGCTTACTTTCACTTTATTTTCCTAACTGTGTTCAAAGGCAATAACTGCCTGACTAGTCCTTAAATCTGTCTTGTCAAGGAACATCTTGCTTCGAATGCCTTGGCTTCATAACTGTTGCTGTAAAGTTGCCAACAATCTTTGGACATGATGTCCAATTATCTAACATACTGATACAGCCTGTTAAATAACCACAAAACCAGTTATAAAGTGCCGTTTTTAAAAATCTGCTTTGCAGGGGATGTTGAGACTGCCGCCAAATTTGCCTCCCAACTTATTGACTTGGGTGCAGATATCAATTTGAGGAGCCGTTGGACAAACATGAATGCTTTGCACTATGCTGCCTACTTTGATGTTCCAGAACTCATTAGCGTCATTTTGAAAAATGCAAAGTCAAAAGGTAAATATTGCCAAATGTAATAGCAATAGATGCTGTATTTCTTACCTGTGTTGATACCTTCAGTGTCACAAAACGGCTTTCCCCCATGTTATTTTTCTTGACACTATGAAACTGACTGAAAAATGGAGAGTGATTTGCATCTTAAGGCATCTGTTGTGAGAACATGGTCCAACAGTCCAAAATGGCATTGCAGGTCCAGTTTGTCTCTTCCCCATCTGTGCTATGCAGTGAATCTTAGCTGTGTCTTGATGCAGCTCTGTCTTTTCTGACTTTGGTTCATCATCATTGACTGTTACATCATTGGTTGTGGGTAGGGGCATGGAGAACTTTACATGTCCACAGTTTGTCCTTTACAGTGTCCAGATAGTCAGATGCATATTTACCATCCATGTCCATCTGAATATGCTGACATTGTTAAAAAGCACATTTCTGCCATTCAAAGCTGCATATTTTGAACCTTACAAAGGTAATGCATCTTATGACAAAGTATGGAAAGCAACGTCAGAAGTGAACGTATATGATGTGCAAACTTTTCTCTAATCTAAATTTTTGTATCTTTGTTTGGAATTCTTCTTTCACTTCGTCATTTTTTGTAACTCAGTGGTAACATTCCATGTCAATTGCATTCCACGTTTTAATATTTTGTTGTAAGCCGACTGGAGTGGCTGGGGCAACCCAGTCAGATTGTTGGATGCTATTGTTAATCTTTTATTTGGCCAAGTAATAAATATATGAGAGCTGAAGCCTTTATAAATTTCTACTGGGATGGGTGGGAAAATGCACATGTTTTGAGTTGGTTCTCTGAGAATGCTGATTAAGTAATGGAACAGTGAAAAAACAAAGGCAAACTTGTTTCAGTCACTGTTTCCTGACTTTTTGATCCCTCTTATTGGAGAAGTAGTGTTGGAAAATCTAGCAAATTCATTCTGGAGAATGTAGGAAAAGTTGTAGCACTTTTCATCTTGCCCTTTGGAGCAGAATCAGAGAGAATTTGAGGCTGTAACTAAATACTGTCACTAAAAAGGATGTTGCTTATAATGGTGTTCCTTGTTGAGTTGTTTTTTCTTTCCCTGATAATGCATCACTTACCCATTTTGTGACCCCCCCCCCAATTGTGTGCATTTCCTTGTTCACATTCCATATTGTTACCAGCTGCTGGCCTGAAAATAGAGTGTAATGCAGAGAGGAGAAGGAAACACCTGACATTTCTCCCCCCCCCCAAAAAAGCATCCTTGTATTGCATGCGATGTTTAGTTCTTGCTTGAATGTAAATGAACACATTTCTTCACTGGTACTGTTCATATAACTGTGCTGCTGACAAGCAACTCTATTTGAGTCAGGAGAGGCCGTGCAGGTTGTGGATCAGAGTCTGGATGCAGTGGAGGGATGAATGAAGGCCAATATGCTGGTGCTGAATTGTAACAAGATGGAGGCTTGGTGGTTCCTTTGACTGGGAAATGGAGAGAGAGCATGTTTTTTATGGTGTTGTATTCCCCCTTAAGCAGTGTCTTTGTAGTCTGTGCGTACTCTTTGAACCATTTGTAGCGATGGAGCAACTCCTCTATGAAAAAAGGCTGCAGCAGTTAGCGCTTTTTAATTTAGAGAAAAGGCGCATAAGAGATGACGTGCTAGAAGTTTATAAAATGATGTATGGTGGGGAAAGAGCCCCTCCACCCAATAACACTAGAAATCATGGATATCCCATGAAGGCGAGTGTTGGAAGATTCTGAAGAACGTCCTTCACGCAGCGGATTGTTAAATCATGGAACTCTCTCCCACATGAGGCAGTGATGGCCATCAACCTAACTGGCTTTAAAAGCGGATTAGAGAAATTTGTGGAGGAGGGGGTTATTGATGGCGACTAACCATGATGGCAAAGGACGCGATTGGCGCTGTGGGTTAAACCACAGAGCCTAGGACTTGCCGATCAGAAGGTTGGCGGTTCGAATCCCTGCGACGGGGTGAGCTCCTGTTGCTCGGTCCCTGCTCCTGCCAACCTATCAGTTTGAAAGCACGTCAGAGTGCAAGTAGATAAATAGGTACTGTTCCAGCGGGAAGGTAAACGGCGTTTCCGTGCGCTGCTCTGGTTTCGCCAGAAGTGGCTTAGTCATGCTGGCCACATGACCCGGAAGCTGTACGCCGGCTCCCTCGGCCAATAAAGCGAGATGAGCACCGCAACCCCAAAGTCGGCCACGACTGGACCTAATGGTCAGGGGTCCCTTTACCTTTACCTAACCATGATGGCTATGCTCTGCCTCCACAGATTGGCAATGTATCTGAACGCCAGTGGCTAGAAAGCACAGGACGATATTTAGTGTTCTTGGGCTTGTATCCTGCTTACTGGTTTCCCACAGGCATCTGGTTGGCCACTGTGAGAACAGGATGCTGGACTAGATGGGCCATTGTCCTGATCCAACAGGCTCTTCTCACATTCTTGTGACCATTTTGACAGGACAGAATCCTTTCTTCCCTGTTCCTTACCCTCGTTTTGATTTCAGCGTGGCAGGTGAAAGGCATGTTTCTGTTTCAAAACAAGTTCCCAGAGAGATTTCTCCACCCACGCTGATCCTGATCCAGGGATGGCAGCTGTTTGCCTGCTTATCTGCAGGGTGCAGTGATTTATGTAGTTAGCTTCTCATGGCACATTTCACCAGTTTTGTGGGCAGGGGTGTGATGAGGACTCGAGAGGCTTTCTGTCCCTCCCTCAATGGACGATCAGAAATTCTTTCCCCCTCTGGAAACAGATGAGCTGGACAGTGAGAGGCTGATAGCATGAGTCAACCATGAGATGGCATTCACATAATTCGGGAATACTGCACATGAAACTTGACTGCTGGACATTCTAACCTTGTTGCTAGGATCTTTTTTTCCTTTCCCCTGAAACATCTTTATGCATACAGAGATAATCAGGGTGATTGCCAAAAAGATGGACAAACAGCTTCTGTTCAGATTGGCAGTCAAATGTTATATGATACTCCTAGCCATTAGGATCTGCAGCAACATGTTCTGTTCTCTTTGGTGCTAGGCAAACTTGTCTGCAGCTTGTTGGATATTACACGCCCGTTGTAATCTACTTCAGGAAAGTGAAGGGCTTACATAACCCTGAAAGGGAACTGTCAGGGAACTGCCATCAGTGCCGGAGGGAGAGAGCAAAATCCAGAGGGATTCCAGAGAGCGTCCCGGGATTGGGAGAGGCAGCCCATCTTCTGGGGAAGAGACTCAGCGTAGCACCAGTGGAGAAGGGGGGCAGATGGGGGAAGCGGCGAGGCGGTCCCATGACTCCTTGCCGGGGACCAGCGGGGAGAGTAGGGGTCCTCCGCTGCCTACGCCCTCCTTGCGCAGAAGGCTTTCGCGCAGAGAGAGTAGGAGGAGACTAGGCGTCAAAGAGCTTCTTTGCTGGAAGAAGTTTAAGAAACGCCCACTGACGGATTCTGCCAGCGATTGAGACAGCCACGGGTGAGTGGCTGTCCGGACAGAAAAGGTTCATTCAGGCAACCCAGCCAGGTGTTTGCACCGGCTTACGCACGAGCAACCCCTAGAACCATTACAGGAACTTTACTTGGTTGACTCCCAGAAGACTGAAACTCTCAGTTAAGGAAACTGAGATCAGGACAGTGTTGCAACAGCTGATTTGATTTGGCTCATGACATGTATTCCAAAATTTTCAGGGGTTTGATCTACAAATGGAATGCAGTTTGTGGAGCAACATCTCTCTCTGCTAATTAATCCATTGGAGTGCAGTTGTCAAGTTGCGTTGCTGCTTACAGGCAGGGATTTGCAGCTGTTATCTACATGGAATCATCATATTTGATAAATCTTCATGGGGGACTGTGGATGCCTTATTTTGTTTATTAATTTACTTGTGTGTCAAGGTGACTTGCAAACATTTAACAAAAACAGCGGAAAGACAGTTTTTAAAAATGTAACAGAAAATAACTGGTAATAAATAGGTGTTTATTTTCTATTGTTTTTAAATCCTAAGACAGAAACCTTCTCATCCAGCTGGAAAAGCTTGTTAAAATGAAATGTCTTCAATTGTGTCCGGGAAGTACAAATAGTGGTCGCTTGTCATATCTCAACAGGCACCTTGATTTTTTTTTTTTTAATTTGCTTTCATAATTGCATCCAATTTGGAATGCAAGTTGTAGATGTGGGAATTGACATTTGGATATGTAAATCCTTGGTTTGTTTCACCAGATGTCCAAGGGCTCTGTTCTTTCAATGTAGGCTAACATTTCCCTATATAGAAGCATCTGGAAGCTGGCCAGTACTGGAAGCAAAACAAACCGCTCGCCCTCACTGGAAAATTGGTACCTCAGTATGTGGTAAAACAATTCATCAGTTTCTGCCCAGACGTCTGCACACTCCTATCCTATTTTGTAGCACACTTTCAAGTTCAGCTGAACTGTCCTTAAGAAAGAAAGGGTCTGGGTTGGTTTATACTTTTCTCTAATCAAAAAATGCTGTTTTGATTTTCAAAGCACTTAATTTAAATATTGTCAAGTGTGTCTTTTTATAAAATTTGGTTATTTGTGTTGGTACAGGTATGCATTCACTTGTGCATTAAACCATTGAGATAGTTGAAGCACGTGATATAGCTGGGAAGGGCCAAACTAGATGTAACTCTAATTGTGTACAGGCATACATATGTGTAAATAGCAGCTGTAGCAGAGCCTGAATAGCATTGAGGTAACATGGGTGGGGAGGAAGAGTTTAACCCTTTCCCTACCATAGTCCCAATGAAAATCCCTTTCCTCAAAGCTGCTTCTGCACTTTCCTCCTAACGCAAATAGCCACTTGGGTTTTTTACCCTTCTTGGAACCAAGGTAGGGGAGAAAGGGTTAAACTCTCCCCACCCCCCACAAGCACCCTGCAGCCCTGATGCTGCTTTAAGTCCCTGTGGCTGCTATTTTGTATTTTAAAGCACATGCCAATTGCCTTCATGCATCAAATTGTTGCATCAAATTTGGCTATAAGCACTGCTACTCTGGGACTGGTTAGTGCCTAAATGGGAGAATAAATGAATCCTATGTGTACTCCTTGACTTCTAACACAGAAGAAACATGGGATATAAATTATGCAGTTACTACTACTATAGCATTGACTGTATCATAAATTTAAAATATAACATTAATACTAATAATTGTATTTATCATTGGAATTCAGATTTTGAATGAAAACAAAACATGGTACCAATCTAGAATGTTCAAAATGGACAAATGTTTCTCAATCCTCATATCTATCTGGTTCTTAATTATAGATGTGGATGCCACCTGCAGTGACTTTGATTTTGGAACAGCCTTGCATATTGCTGCCTTCAACTTGTGTACAGGAGCTGTAAAGAGTTTATTGGAACATGGAGCCAACCCGGCCTTTAGGGTGAGGTTTTGATTTGCAACCAATTTTGGTTCATCTGTCTATATTTAACTCCCTCTTACAGGGAGATTGTCAAAATGTGTTTTTCTCTAGTTAGATATTGACAAATGAAAACTGCTTTTTATTTTTTTGCATGGGGGGGGGACAAATACTCTTATCTCTCACTCCATTTTAGGCTTGAACATATAGTAGTCTTCAGGAAGAATTCAGATTCCTAGATGCCAGCATTGACTTTTTCTGAGCTGCATGACCAATTGCCTTGTATTTTTAAGTTTCCTGTGCTTTAGACATTTAGCTAGAAAACAATTTAACTCCTGACCACGGGTTATTTAATACCCAATTATCAATGTCACAGCTCTGTTTTTGAATCCTGTTCATCCTGTATCTCATTATCATAATCAAACTTGTTCATATTCTGCTTTTCCAGTTAATGCTCCAAGTAGCTTATATTGTAAGCTGCCCCTGTGATTCCCAGATAAAGGGTGGTATAGAAATTTAATAAATAATAATTATTATATGTCAGAAAAACAGTTAATCAATATATAGACACATCAAAGCTAGTAATAAATATATCAAACGCATTACATAAATTTTGGTTGATATCTGGCATTGAATTATGCAAGTGGAAGAAATGGGAATTCCTCTCCCCGCACCTGGGCGCTCCCCCATGTGCTCTGCAAATCTCTTCTGGAGGGTTGCCCAAACATCTGCAGCAGATTTGGAAGCTGCAGAGGAGAAAGAAAGGAGAAATCCTTTGCAAGTGGAAGTCCGTTCTTCTGCGAACAGACACAACTGGATGTTACCCGCAGTATTTTATACCTATATTAGGTATAAAATACCTAATAAAATAAGAAAATGTTCACATTAACATTCCCTTAAGCACCTAAATCCACTCCCTTACTACTACGTGTTTTGTTCTACAGAATGACAAGGGACAGACTCCAGCAGATGTGGTTCCTGACCCGGTGGACATGCCACTAGAGATGGCAGATGCAGCAGCCAGTGCTAAAGAAATTAAGCAGATGCTCTTAGATGCAGTGCCTCTGTCTTGTGACATTTCCAAGGCCCTGCTTCCAAACTATGATAATGTCACTGGCAAAGATATGCTTGGATCCCTTGGCCTGAAGCTTGGAGATCGGGTTGTCATTGCAGGACAGAAGGTATGTCGAAAAACAAGCTGCAGAAGGGAAGCAGTACGATGGGTATGAGGAAGGGCCTACTGTAGATAGCAGTACTGGCATGGTATGTATCTATAGGGGGAAGCTTCCTAAGCTTTTCACCCTTGCAAAAAGGTTCAGTAGCAAAGGGTTCTGCAGGTTTTAACTCGGGCCTTATTCAGCTTGTCGGGTATATTGTCCTGATTATATCTTGGCCCACAGTTATTGCTCTTCACAGTTGCTTCTGTTGTAATTCAGCCATATATATATATATATATATATATATATATATATATATATATATATATGGGTTATACATATATATAACACATTTGCTTCAGTGCCAGTAAGATTCACAGTAATTCTGTGCAAGTGGGATTTTTAGATGATGACAAACCCTGCTTCTGCTCTGAAATGTAATAACGTATAAAGTCATTTCCACAGCTGTGTAAGCAAACAGGAAATGAAAGCTGTACATAAAGCTTTGTTTCCACTGTGAATCTTCACCACACATGATGCAGGAGGAAGAATCAACACTGGTTAGTGAAGTCTACATTTGATTCTGGAAAAGTTTCTCAGCCATTTGCTGTAATGAGCCAGTGGAGATTAGTTTTTAAAGGGCATTCATAACTCTGCATCCCGTGGATAGGTCAGCAGATCACACCCACATATAAAAGTCATAAGCCTTGCCTACACCAGGGAGATGCAGCTGTTCTGTGTCCTAAAACCAATCAACAGAACACTCTGTCGGAGTGACTTACTGGGGCTTTCAAAAAGTTGTTTTCCCACATTGTTGCTCATGTAAAACTGAAGAACTCTTTGCATTTCAAGAATTTTACAGACTATATGGATCTACCCTTGCTAGCAGAAACTTCCTGAAATTCAGTTAAATGAGTAATACTGGAATATGGGAATCTGCAAGTTACAAGTGCAATTGGTTTATTACCTTTTAATATAAAAAATGGAGTGGAATGTCCTGTGTGATTTTGCTCTTGAGGCACTTGTGATTTGTTGCAAAATACCTGTGTCGTATAACTGCTCCGGTTCATATTTCCAACAAATGAATAAAAGACAGATTAATTCTTAGCCTCTCAATAAGTTAACTACTTTCAGAGTAGCACAGTTAGTTTTTCTTGGAGGAAAATAAATCTTTAGCTTTTTACTAATTAAGAGTGTTACATTTCTGATCATTTGTAAGTGGGTTTTTTATAGTTGATGCAATTTTTGTAAAATAACTAATAAATGTTCAGAAATCTCTGGTTTGTGTATTACATTCTTTACAAGTATGCTTAATTTAGCAGGAAGTTTGAATGAGCGAGGACTACATTTGGGAAGCTGGGTATCTCTACATCTTAGACTCTGGATGTTAAAACATTGTAAGCATCCATCTCTACATAGAATCAGAGTTCAAGGGGTCTTAAAGGCCATTTGGTCTGTGACCTGCTCAGTATAGGTGTATCCCCAATAAATTGCTGCCTAGCCTGTGCTTGAAGTCCTCCTGTGACAGAGAGTCCACCATCCTCTTGATAACTGGTTCCACTGTTGAGCTGTTCTTACAAATGTTAAACCAAAAACCTACCCTCCTGTGATGCAAGCCCGTTGGAATAGCAGCAGACAAGTCTTTGCTGTGTTCAAATATCTGAAGGGTTGTCTCTTAGAAGAGTGCTTGTGTTAGGGTGGGACAGATCCATGACATAAAAAATACTGCACTTGAACTCTTCCCCTCCCCCAGATACCTGTATTCAGTCTTCACACTGCTGCTCCTTTTTTCTTTTGAAAATAACCCATTACAAAGGTTGATGCATAGTTTTTTACTCCCTCCCCTCTTAGGTTGGCACATTAAGATTTTGTGGCACAACAGAGTTTGCCAGTGGACAGTGGGCTGGCATAGAATTGGATGAACCTGAAGGAAAAAACAATGGAAGTGTTGGCAAAGTACAGTACTTCAAGTGTGCACCAAAACATGGTATAACTTTTTTTTTATTTGAGATGCATTGCCTTGCAGATGCTTTAATGGAATGCCTTTTTACTTGGCCACATATATATCATGTTAAGCAATTTCCCCCACTTGCTGGATGTTTCTCTGATTGGAAATTGGACTTTTGGGCTTAAAATAAAATGCATGGTTCCTGTCAACAATTTTCAACAACAATAGTTTTGCTAAGTTGTTAGTTATCAGTAGTGTCCCCTTCTTTGCTTGCCATACAGATAGTAATTTAGATGGATGTTTGCTGTGGATGTTACTAGTGATAATGTAAGCAGTATACTCTATCCCTCTGATAGCTGTGATAGCCCTATTTCTTAAGAAAGATAATTGAAGGCTATAGTTAGGAAAGATGGCAGCGATGGCAAAATGGCTAGGACACAAGTCGTGAGGCCAGTTCTCATCTTAGTCGCAAGCTTGTTTGTGCAAAAGCTTAAGTATTCATTTTAGTGTGCTTCAACTCCTATCCATAAGAGGAAAGTAGAATACTTGAAGCAGCATTTAAGACTGCCTACAAAAGTGTCAGGTACTTGGCCGTTATTTAAATACTTGAACAGTCATAAATACTTGAATAAGGTTATCAAGGAGTAGCTGAGCTCTGCAATTAATATCTTATATTTCTCTTGTGTGTCTTCTCTGCCAGGCATCTTTGCACCTCTCTCTAAAATAAGTAAAGCTTCAGAACACAAAAAGAATGCAAAGGTTTCTTCCTCGCGACCTTCTCCCGCTGTCAAGTCCAAGAAAATTGATGTAACGCACATAACGTCCAAAGTGAATTCAGGTAAGCATGGTAGCATCAAAGCCAAAAAACATGTTAGGAAGATGACCTATTTTTCAGTCCAAAATCACAACCCATTGTTTGCAGGCAAGTGCTGTGTTGTGTCAGAGGTTAAGTAATTAAAAATTGTATAATATTTGGTAGGTTTAGGTCAGATCAGGGATAAACTTGCTTTCCCAAGATGGTTTTTAACCTCTTTTCCACATGTTATTGTTTTGAGTGTATGTATTGTGGTACTTGTTTTACTTTTCGAAACCACCTTGAAATTTAGTTACACTTACCTTTGTTAAACCTGCGAACCCGTTGATGTACCTGGGCTCCTTTGTTGAGGGAAGAGTCAGCCCTAGCCCCCCACCTGCTGGAGCAAACAGGCCTTGCAGATGAGGAGGAGATGCAGCTGCGCTGGCCTCTGTGGATTTGAGAAGGCAGGAATTGTGACTCCTCCCCTGAAGGCAGCATCTTTTGTTGTGGTTAGCTCTTGGTTGTGAGCTGCAAAATCCTTTATAGATCATGTCCTCATAGAACATAGACAGCTGCCTTATACCAAGTCAAGTGTTTGGACATGTGGCTTAGTGCTGTCTGCACTATCAGTGGCCTTCCATTGTTCCAGGTAGGAGTCTTGGAGTTGCTATGGACTCAGTTGGTGTGCATTGCATGTGCTTCACTCACTGAGCTAGGATCCCATCCTTCTCATATGTTTCTGTACACCCTCTTCTGTTTTGATATTCTGTTAGTGGTGCAGATTTTAAAAGATTATTTTTTTTAACATTTAAATTGTGGATTCCTCAACCTCTCACCACCTGTTCAACACTGTCCTTTAAAATTTCCATAAAACCTGGGGACTTCCGGGTTGGCGCCATCGCCGAATGGCGGACTCCCTCCGAGCTCCGGAGGGAGTCTGCTCGGCAGGGGCTGGGTCCTACCGCGCCGGCGACGCGGGGACCCTTAAAAACCACGGGCACGGAGTCCGTGGACATGGGTGACTCGGCTTGCACCATTAGCGCCCTCCCGACTCGTGAAGGAGCCTTTTAAAGGCTTCGGATCGGGTGCCGGGGAGCGGCGTGGTGCTTGAGTCCTCTGCTTTCCTGCCGAGCGCAGCCGCATGCCATTCGACGGAGAGCGCTGACTTCTTCCATTGAAAATTTGGACTATTAACAACAACCCGTGAGTAATTGGGAAACCGGGTTTAAAATTTCGGATTTGGCACGAGCGGGGGCGATTTAAAAAGGAAGTCAATCCCCCTACTGTAAGCATTCCAAAACAAGGACTGGGTAACCAAGGTCCAAAGGGAAGTATATTCTTGATAAAAACCATTAATTTCACGATGGGAAATTATAAGAACTGTGCTGGAGGAGAAGAGTGGAGGGTGAGAAGAAAAATGCAACCCCCTGGGAACCGGGCGATTCGTGGAGCCTGGTGAAGAGAGACGGAGACTTTGACAGCTGTCAAAGTGGCTGTCAAAGTTGGAGAATATAAAGAGGACTTTGTTATGAGGACTTTGCCGGTTAATTTTGCTACAATTTGCTACAATATGGATATAAACTGTTGGAAAATAAGCAACAATTTGACTTTTGGATTAGAGGATACAAAGTTATTACAATCCCCCTAGAGGGGTTTCGGGATATTACAAGAACGGTCGTAAGTGGAAAAATACTCTGGGATTCGCACAGGACTTGTTATCTTTTGGGAAAGCTGCAAAACTGAAATAGTATTTTGTCTACAGAGGTATTTACATTAAAGGAGACAATAGAATTTTCTATTGAAGAAAGGAAGGGACTGGACGTAAGTTTTGTTCCTGAATAACAAACCTCTGCAGAGATACCAGATTTCTGAATTAGAAAGTTTTAGCAGCTGAACAGGACAAGAAACCTGAGAAAGTGAGGAAAAGAAGAACAAAGGACTGATTACGACACGGAAAGAACAACGGGAGGAGTGGTAAAGATCAAGGAAATTAAAGGCCTTTGTTAGATTGGACACTTGAAGTTACATAGTATTAATAAATTAAAAGAAAACCGGCAAGATGGTATCGGGGAGTGATTTGGTCATGAATTGTGACGGCCAAGCGGATACTGCATAGTCTGATGGATATGGGAATTCAAACCGGGAAGGGGGAGATTTGAAATCCAAAGGCTGTGTAACCATCTTTTGAATTTTTCTATATCTTTTATTTTTATTTTTTACATAACTTACGCATGTCATTTTATTTTGATTGGACGTGTTTAAAAAAGGGAATTCGTGGAAGGAACTGGGGTGGATCTTGGGAAAATCTTTTTCTTTTCTTGTTAATGATGTGGGACGGTGGTAAGATTTGCACAATTCAATTTGGATAGTGGGTTAAACAAATTAAGCTTTAAATTGGGAGTGAGAGCTTGTAGAACTAAATTAAGGAAAGGGGAATACAGTCGGGGGGGGGGGGGAGTCCCAGAAAGTAGATAATGAAAGTAAGGTTTTTAAATATCTTTTTTTTCTTTTTCTTTTTTTTCTTTGTATTTTTATATTTTTGGAAACTTTAATAAATATGATTTAAAAAAATAAAAAATAAAATTTCCATAAAACCTGTCCCCTCTTATAAAGACTTTGGCTCTAGGACTCTAATAGTTAAGCCTGTCCGTTCCTCAGGAGGTGGGGGTTTTGTAGTTATTTTGCTTGATGGGGAAACTGTTCCCCACCTAACCTTGACTCAGTGGAGCCACTGGTGAGAGAGACTGTTCTAATAGATGTGGCAACTAAGCATAGCTTTTAAAAATACTGTTTTTTCCTGTTGATACTCTTTTTAAAAGGAATGACATGGTTTGGGGCATTGGGTTAAATTTTAAAATTCAAATTCTCTGAGTAATGGCTGTTTTGTCAGATTTTCTCCCAGAAAAGTATTCATAAATTGATATGTAAACATGTTTGTTCTTGCTCGTCATGCTGGTCTTATTGAGGCTGGTCTGATAAACATCTAATAATAGAGTACATTTATGAATTAGTACAAAAAGCAGCTCAGCAGCCAGATGAAGCCAATAGATATGCATTTAGTTGATAAATAATAAATTTCTGCCCTTTATGTTTTCTGCCAGAAAAATCAGCTGCAGACTTGTTCTCTGATATTAGTAGCATGTCTATCAATGTGGAATAGAAAACCCATGGAACATTACTAAGGCTGATTACTATTTTCCATGCATAGATTATGAGGGATGCTACTGTTCTGACATAGGCTATTCTCTTAGGAAAACAACTGATTCTATTGTAAAATACTTCTATAGGTAAATGTATTCAAAAGTGCTTCAAAAGTTGTTGGTGCTAGTACAAATAAATTTGGGGGCATAACTTTATGTGATATTGGAAATCTGTGATTAGAATACCTTTGTGATTGAATAAAGTAGTCATGCTGTTTTGGGGTATTTTCACATCCTTTGGTCTCATGAGTCTGGCATGTCAGCTTTTCAGCCAGGGCTGTTGTCCATGCTCTGGAGGTACCTTGCTTCCATGTTCAAGCCCAAGGCGGTGTGCCCTCGCATGACTATTTCCATACATGCTGATGTCAGGAGGAATGTTAAAAGTTCTTTAGGAGCAATTGGTGGAGTAGACAGGTGCTTTATTCCAAGTAAAGCAAGTTGAGGACCGGGTTGTAGGTCTGTTTTGTATATTAAACTGAATACTTTAAATTCCAAAACCCAAAATGGGTAAAGAGATTCGCAATACCACCACATATGTATGTAATATCCAGTCTCCCCACATGCTTTCCAATAGGTTGATGTTGCTCCTGGTATCATGTGGGATATTTGCACATGCATAGCATTTTAAAGAAGTTCTGTAACCCTATTAATGGGTGATAAAAAAACTATATAAAAAAAATAGCAATTAAGTCCTTTTTTCAATCCTGTGCTGAAAAGGGGCAAGAAATAAGAAAGACACCTTAGTTCTGAATATTCTTGTTTGTTCAGATTGTTATTGTTTAAATCAGGGCTGCTGAGCCCACAGTCCACATCTGGCCCACAAAATAGTTTCTAGTAGCCTAATAGCCCACTGCAAAAAATAGGCACGACTTCTTTCCATAGAAAAGTGCCTCTTCTCCCTCTGGTGCAGTGCCATTTGAGTCAATGTCTTCTGAGTTTCCGTCAGAGGTTTTCTCAAAGTCTGATGCCTGAGATCACTTAACTTGGAATCAACTTGGGAATCCTCTCATCCATTCAAGGCATAAGTTGCACTACTGAACTTTTCAGTATTTTGTCTTCTTGTGGGGAAAATAAGACTTGGTATTCTTACTCATAGGTGTTTTACTCATAGGTGTAAAAGGATGAGGGAAATCTCTTGATACGACTCACAAATTTTGTAGTAGTAGTTGGATTTTTAGGTGATCTTGTTCTGCTGCCTGTTTGCTGTTTGGAAGGTAGAAGAATTATTACTAGACTACGATGGTTTCATTGATTTGGTTTGGCTCACAGGCTTATCTGCACTGAAAAAAGACAGCACCCCAGATTCCACATTTTTGGGCAGCAAAGAAGGAATGAAAACTCCACCTGGTAAAGAAGGTATGCGTTCTTTAGATATTTTTGGCTTCTGTACTTGGCGTGACTTAAGAGAAATCCCATAACAGTCTCTCCCAAAGAGAACCGTAGAACTATGCCACTTAAAACTATTTTGTTCCTGTATTCTGGCTCCATAAAGCCCTGTGATCACTTCACTAAGGTCTTATCCACACTTACCTTTCCTCCACTCTTTCTAGGCATGGCCTGTAATTTAAACTTCCATGTCCGAGTGCCCCATCCCTCTGAAGCTTTAACGGAATAAACCCCAAAATCAGCGCAAACGTCAATCTGCACAAAACCCCGAATTGACATTTGCTCTGATCCAGCTTTGGAGAGTGAGTTTTCACAGAGAAAGCTCTGGCAGGGGTGGGGAGCCTGCTCTGCCTGGAAAGAGTGGGGCAAAAAGTAAATGTGGATCAACCCTAACAAGGAGGAATGTGGTGCATGTATGGGGTGTAGGGAATGGAATTGAGCAGAACTAGGTGGAAAAGCTCAACTCCTTTGATGCTTAGTCCCTCTCTGCTGGCCACCCTTCCAGGTCACATCTCTAGATGCTGCATCCCACAGACCGCATTGCCACTTGAATCAGTTGCATTCCTTAACATGAGAGTCTCATTGTTATTGGCCAGAAGGGGATTTTTATAATGAAGATGTGCAATCCTTCTTTGCAAGTTGCACTGCTTATGGCAATCTTGATAGGCCTTGCAAAATTCAAGGGCTTTCCCCCCCATATGATAGCCATGGACACGCTAAGGTCACACATTGTAAGATGCTGTAGCAATTTAGGAGCTCTTTGTGATGTCATCCCGCAATGATACAGGTCCACGCTAAAGCTTAGTACATGCAGCTGCCCGCCCAAACTCACAGTTTCCAATACAGGTAAAAGGCTGCAATCCAACCTCCTCCCCTCTGCTGCTGTGGCTTTGCAGAGCAATAGCTCCACTGTCGCACCTGCATCCCTGCAGCATGTGATGGGTGGAGTCAAAGATGTTGGGGGCTACGCCATCCTGGAGCTGGTGCAGTGATCGGATCTGATGCCTTCATGTGATAAGCAGTGAGACAGGCTTGGGGTCAGACTCAGACCAGGCTGGATCAGTCCTTCTGTGTGACTGCAGCAGCCCATTTCAGGGGCCTTCCAATGGCTGTGACCTGCTAGCATCCCACCAGCAGCACTCCCACTTGCAGGTTTGGTGGGTGGAGGGGAAGGGCAGCACTGATGGAGTGATGCTTGTGCTGGCTGGTGGGAGGCCAGCTTAGATGGGAGATCTGAGCAGAGCGATATCTTCGCCCAATCCAGCCCTCTCCCTCGCCTGCCAGCCTGGCACAAGGGGGATTTGGACTGCTCTGTTGCCAAGATATCCAGTTTCATGGTTGAGATACACCAAGGGTCAAGATCTTAACTTAGAATAGGGCAGGAGAGGAAGCCATACGAAGAGAAAAGCTAGAGATAAATCTCTTTAGGCAGCTTGAACATCAAGATTTCACAAATTGAAATGAAAGTGATTTACCTCCCAATCTTATTTTATAGACTGGATTTTAATATTAATACGGTGCATAATAGCATGCAGTAGGCACTAATCCACGCACTTCATAATTCACCCGCAAAATGTCACACTCCCTGTTTCTCATCAAAGATTTAATAGATTGGCTATCAAAAGCAAAAGGCTGGTGTCTTTTATTACTTGAGGCGGCATTATTTTTACAATTATGCTCCCTGCTTACAAGTATTACACAATATTAAAGTGGGTTTGAAAGATTGTTAAGTGGTGTCCATCATGAAAAGTTAGCTTTATGCAGATGGTTTCTTTTCTTCTCTTACTTGGGGGAATGACATCTTTGACATCTCCTGTCTTGTATGCATCTTTTTCTTTATTTTGTGTGTCTGAATAATTCTTTGGTTTCTTCTTCCTTTTTTTTAAGAAAATGCAACTTCCCTTGGATCCAACAGCTCTTCCTCTTCCACTACATCTTTAGACAGCAAGCAGAATTGCTCAAAGAAGTGGAATACCGCAAGGAAAAATAAGAAGGAAGACTTGAAAAGCCATTCTGCTGCAACGAAAGGTATGCTTTCTCCACAGTTGCTTTTTAAATAGTTATGTGAAGACAGTGGTGGCACTAAGAGGTCCATTTCCTTTAAGTGTAAATCTGGGCTTTTCTTTCTGCAGCTATTAAGATAAAAACAAGTCATTTGCAGACTTCTAGATGAGTTTTTTGTAGTTGGAGTATGGGTGGGATTACAAGGCTGAATTAACCATTTTGGCAAGTGCCACCTTGTGGACAGCATGAACAGGTCCTGTTGTGGCCAGATCTTCCTAATGTGGAAACTGCCTCTCCTGTTCATGCATCATCACATGGTGGTAGGAGAGGCCGTGTTCCTACCTGTATGTGTTTTCATAGCTCTAGGATACTCAGATACTTGCCACTCATAAAACTACTATGATGTGACTTTCTATAGTACTTATTTGAGTAGGCTAACACGTTTCATACAGTTCTTAAGGTGTGTGTATAGACATGCCTAAAAATGAGAAGTGAAGCTGCTGTGGAAGTGGACCTGAAGTGTTTAGGTCAGATATAGACCTCTCTCCAGCATTCAGCTTAGGGGAAGCCACCTCTACCACTTGTCAGAAGAAACCAGCTGTATACAGCACTGATTGGCTAGCATTTGTGTCAGTAAGAACTGCCCCTCACAACTATCCCTGGAATACTTTTTCAACTTTTAGAAACACTGGCTTGATTTTCTATAATAGAAAGTGCTGAATGAACTTTTCAATACCCATATATGTGGCATTTTAAACAGTTAGTTAGAAAGGTAGACAGCCCAGCTCAACCACTGAGTGTGAGTGAAAAATGCACACTTGAGAGTAAGCCCCATTTAATTCAGTGGGACTTATTTCTAAGTAAACATGCATATGTTTGGCTGTCTATTAATTAAAAATCCAAAGCAAGTGCATCTGTCATTTGCAGTGGGAAGCTGAACTCACCCTGCAGGAGAAAAAAAATGCATCATCTTCTTGATTTGAAGTAATGTCTATACTTGGCCGTGAGTACTCCATGTAGCTTTCTAAATTATTATTCAGTCTTCCCCTGTATTATACTAAAATTAATTTAGAAACTCCCTTTTTCCAAGATGCTAGCCTTTTGTGGCTTCATGAATTAACCCCACAAGTGAAAGAAGGAAATAAATTTCCCATTGCAAATGGGAGCAGAGATCTGATTCCCATAGCCTGCTACAATTTTGCTCCTAGTTCTTAGTTTCTAAAACTTTTTGGGTATGCCCATCTTGATTCCATATAATTTGTGTATTTTAACTTAGCCTGGAGACCGCATAGGCATATTTGATTAGCTCTCTGGACTTGCTGCTGAGATCTTCTTTAGTTTTATTTGAGGCACCGACTATATTGGTTCAATATACGAATAAATATTAATGGTCCTTTTCTCTTACGTTATTCAAATATCTTCTCCATTTCCTTAAATCTGGTTGAACAGGAAGAAACAACACTTTTCCATCTTCAAGAAGAAATCCTTTTGATGAAGGGGAGATTCAGATTGGAGACAGGGTACTGGTGGTAGGACAGAGAACTGGAATAGTTAGATTTTATGGGACAACTAAGTTTGCACCAGGTAAGCTTTCTGCGTGAACATTTAGGGCAGAACTAGGATTGCCTAGTGTATTTTAGATCTGTGACTGAAGCTAAGACTTTTGTCAGAGAAAATAAAGCATTTAATTTGTTTCCTGGGCTTCATTTTTCAGAAGAATTTACATTATAGCTTCCAGTAAGAAACAATGTAAAATGTTAGTTAAATACTATAAAATACCAATTCAAAACAAATAAAGTGAACAATCCATGTAAAATAAAATCTTAAAGCAGATTCTTGTAAACAGAGATGGCAGAGATGAAGTTGGAATTTGAACCTGGAACCATCTGCATGCAAAGCATTGCTGAGCTATGTGTCCTTTCAAAAGCAGTTGTGTTGGCATCATAAAAATATCAGCCAGCATAAAACCAAAGATTTCATTTTTTGCTGAAGAAGTCTGACCTCTAATAACTACATACACAAATTCAATGGCATTTGTTCAGCCCACTCAGTCAAGTGTATAGTGCTTGCAGATAAATAATCTGAGTAATTTCCAAACTGTACTTTAGTATGCAAGGAGCAGGAAGCATAAGTGATCTGCACTTCCTGTTTTGGATATTTCCAAGCTGAACTACCAGTCAACAGATGGTGCAAAGCTCATTAACTATTGTATGCGACTCTAAAAACGGAACACATTTTACTTGTCCACAGGGCATTTAGGGACTATTAAACTTCGCCTCTGCACGCTGCTCTGCACACACACATACCCCAGTTATCACCCTGAACTTGCTTGGATTCGGGGGGCGGGGGGCGGGCGGTGGCATTTATAGTTTATTCAGAACTGAAAACAATTATCCAAATAGCACCACTATTTGACACTGGGACTATAGGTATAGTGCTTATTTTGGTGTGTGAGACTTAACTTTACTACGTATGGTGCTTATTCTGTTAAAATAAATGGTATGGGTGGCTGGGGAGGGAGGAATCTATCTCAGAAAACCTCTGATGTGTGTTTTGACCTCAGGGAAAGCTTGCTCTTTTGCAGAAAAACTCCTCCCTGTAGCATCTTACTTCAGATGACAGCTTTCAGTAGTGAGCCAAGGCATATTTAGTTGCATAAGTGTTGCTGCTGATAAACTGGCAGAGAATCTGTCGCTATTTCTTTTGAAGGCAGGAAGAAAACAACTCTTCCCCAGCCGAGCCTTTTAAATGCATGATGGAGTTCTGGCTGCTTCAGCTTGTAATTAGCATTGCCCTTAAAAACTGCACCCTAAGCGCCAAATGACTTGAATTTTAATGTTGAGTCTTAATGGAGTTGGATAGCATGAGAAATAGGGCATTATGGAACTTTCTTCAGAATTAGCAAATGCAACACAGACTGTAGTGTTTAAATGAAAGTGTTGCTGTCTGATGACTTTCTCGGTGCCCTGTGAGGAAATAACTTTTCAAGAAAGCTCCATAAAACAATTTATTTGCTTCTTACAGTGCACACTAGAAGGTTCTTATATGTTGGAAGACAAGTGAATGAAAGCAGCAGCAGTTCAAAGTATTGCTTGCACACTTTTGGATCAGGACGAAGAAGGCAGCCTTGACCGTGTACATTTAGAGGCCCACAGTTCTGAAAGCTTTATTGCACGGTCTTACTTGGATGCACGGCGCTGTGGGTTAAACCACAGAGCCTAGGACTTGCCAATCAGAAGGTCGGTGGTTCAGATCCCCACCAAGGGGTGAGCTCCTGTTGCTCGGTCCCTACTCCTGCCAACCTAGCAGTTCGAAAGCATGTCAAAGTGCAAGTAGATAAATAGGTACGGCTCTGGCAGGAAGGTAAATGGCGTTTCCGTGTGCTGCTCTGGTTCGCCAGAAGCGGCTTAGTCATTCTGGCCACATGACCGGAAGCTGTTTGCGGACAAACACCGGCTCCCTCGGCCAATAAAGTGAGATGAGCGCCGCAACCCCAGAGTCATCTGAGACTGGACTTAACTGTCAGGGGTCCCTTTACCTTACTTGGATGCACAACACTTTAGAAGCCTCTCCTCCCCCGCTTTCCTTGCCTTTCTAAAATCTTTATACAGAGGAATGAGATTAAGTGCTACTTCAAAAGTTGAAGCAACATTTGGAGAGAATGCTTATTCATCTTGATAGCTTCTTCAAGCTGATCTATTTAAGAGGCGTTCTTTTTTCTCTGCTCTCCATTCCTACTCCTTTTTTTTGCTAATTGTAGATTTAAATTTGCCAAGAGCAGAATGCTTCTGTGGCATACAGGTAGATAGCTGTAGTGAGCAACAGCAAAACTGAAAAGAGTGCATCTTTGCCCTACCCGTGACTCTCTTAAAACATCTGGTTTTGCAGGGGTTTGGTGTGGAATAGAACTGGACAAACCTCATGGCAAGAATGACGGTTCAGTTGCAGGCATGCAGTACTTCAGCTGCCTCCCCAGATATGGTGTCTTTGCACCACCATCGAGAGTGCAGAGGTAAGTGCAGAGTTCATGACATCAGGACAAAATGGGTTTGGCTTCACAGTTTGACCCAGACTACGTCCGTCCATTTGGAGGGAAACCCAGAGGAGTCCCAGCACAGGTCTGCTACCAAAATATAGATCATCTCTGTTCTTTGACTAGATTAGTTGAGGGGAGCAATCTGTCTTTGGAAGGCAAAACAACATATATGCAAAGGAGATTAGATGAGAGCACACAGGCCAGAGGAAATAGGAAGTTGAATTACAGCAGGTGGTGTGTGGGGAGTGTCCTGGAGATTGTGAAGTGGAAAGAAAATGAGCTGGAAGCTGATGGGGAGAAGCATAGAAGAGTGGCACGATCGTAGCAGAAGAAATGGAAGGAGACTTTGGCAGTGCGTTCTAAATTTCCAGAGCAGGGAATGGAACAAAGGGAGAAATGACACTAAATAAGCATTGGACTGTTCTTTTTCTTCTTCTTCGCCGCCTTGAGAGAGAGAAGTGTTAAACATATTATTTCATTTGCAGGCTAGTGGGATCGCTAGACTCCCTCACAGATGTTTCATCAAGTAAAATGAATCATTCTCTCCCCGGTAAGAATTTGACAAGTACCTGATTTCATTGCTTCATATTACCTGTGCAAATTGCAGCAACTGTAGCTACTTGGGGATGGTGGGAGTGAGAGTGAAATGGGAAGGCCTCAAGGCAGGAGCTTTTTCCATTTCTCTCTTCCCTCCCATTTCGCCTTGTTTTTCTTTAAAGTCTGTAACCCCTCCTTTTTGAAACAAACACAAAATGATATTTTAAAAGGCATTTTATTATTATTTTCAATATTCCTGCTCGGTTCTCAGAACTTCGTAGTGTGATTGCAAGGGGTTGGACTAGGGGGTCCTTAGGATCCTTTCCAACGCCAAAATTCTATTATCTTTCTCAGCGAAATATGGGCATAACCTTGCCTACCTGTTGTGTGGTTTTACTGCTGTGTTAAGTTGCCTTTGTTTGTGGACTTGTTTCCTAAGACCCAGGCTCTGGGGCTGACTTGGCAAGATTTTGAGCTAGTCATTCTAGACACAGCTCAGCAATGCTGTGCAGTGTCCATTACTTTCAGTGGGACAGATTACAGCTGAATGGAGCCTGAGAAAACAGCACTGTAAAAAAGGAACTGAATAAATTGAGGAGAGGTGAGGAGGAGAGGTTGAGGAGAGGCGAAAGACTTTGATTTTTGTGTACTCTATGGATATTGAGGGGAAATAGGCTTAGATATTTATATACTGGTATGTATGCCACTTAATAGACTGACTTGAAGTTTGTTTTTCTTATCATGTTCAGGTTTCCGACGAAGTTTTAGCACAACCTCTGCGTCTTCCCAAAAGGAATTAAACAGGAGAAACTCCTTTGTCAAGTGAGTGGCTCTTAGAAAAGGGAATGCATGTGTTGTCTGCTATGATTAGATGAATTCAGCACTCTTTTTGTCTCTGGAGGCATGCATCTTAGTGACTAACAGTGCAATCCTATGCATGTTTAGCCAGAAGTATGTCTACTGTGTTCACCGGAGATTACTCCCTTCCCAGTGTCTTTAGGGTCGTAGCCCACAGAGTCATTTTGATATTGTTGAATAACTCCCAACACTAATCCTGAATGGTTATAGGAAGTCTCAATGGCAGTGATGCTTTTTTGCTTGCCTGCAAGTCTTGTTCCTGCACAGTGATGGCTGTCAGGAAAAGCTGGCTGTACATTTTAGAATTAATAACTGAAATCAGAATGGTAAAGAAATAGGCCTGCGCCAGGATCTCACTTCTGAGAATTATCGTGCACATTCCTTGCCAGCTCAATAGCTAGGCCAAAACGCTCCAGCTGATACACACACACCAATTTCCCCACTACCTTTTAACAGGAGCTGGCTTAGGGCCAAACTAGACAGGACATCAAATGTGTTTTTGCATTTAACATACATGCTTTTAAAAATGAAAATGGTAGGTGAGTTGGGTTAATAATTATTGGGATCACAGCAGGCAAAGAGGAGACTCTTAACCCTTTCTTCCCATGCTGCACCCCTGCCAAAAATAGCTCTTTTGGAGCTGCTATTTGCATTGGTAGGAAAACTTCACCATCTTATCGTTTTGAAAAGCTCGTTGACCTTGTGGTACAAGGATACACAGGCTTTTCTCTTGGGTTGATGATGAGCGTGTTGCGTGGCCTTTAGCTGAAGGCATGTTTTACTGCCATTGCCAAATCAGAAGCAATCTGGTCCATATCGGGAGGCCCTGAAGTCTTTATCTTAGTAAGTCAGTGGCAGATTTCCTCTGTGTGCATATGTAATCTTAGTATCTTGTGCATTTAACAAATGGTCCACCTGTTGCCTCCTTTTATCTGCCCAGGTCAAAAAATGCTTCCCTGCGACGCAGCTGGAGCAGCACCACTACGGCCAGCGCTGAGGGGCCCGTCAAGCTTCACGAAGGCTCCCAGGTCCTCCTGAGCAGCTCCAGTGAGATGGGCATCATTCGCTACATTGGGCCCACAGACTTTGCTCCAGGCATCTGGCTTGGCCTGGAACTCCGAAGTGCCAAAGGCAAGAATGATGGCTCTGTGGGTGACAAGCGGTACTTTACTTGCAAGCCAAATTATGGAGTCTTGGTGCGGCCAAGCCGAGTCACTTACCGAGGGATCAACGGTGCAAAACTTGTGGATGATATCTGCTGAAAGCAAACTCCTCTAGCTCTTGAGATGAGGGCATAAGAAATAAAGCACACAAGACAATCCTGCCATCGCCTGCATGAAGTTCTGCCTTACCCAAAGTCCTAAAACTGCATTTGTATAACACTTGCACAGCTCTAGCCAGATTGGAGTTGCATTATGACTCTTGAGGAATGAAATCTTAATAGCTTCCCCTACAGAATGGTCCTCACCCGAAAGCTGCTTACATACTAAAAAAACAACTTGGGGTTGAGCAGTCCTGTTATTTGAATAATCTGTTTTTTACCTGGCTCCATGTTGACATGCTTTGCTGCTTTACAAATGATGTTTCCATCCCACATTCTAATGAAGCTGTAAAGTGACTTGAGATCGCAGAGCTTGTTAAACAAGCAGCAGGATTTGTCAACCTGCTAAACAGTCTTCACTTTCTTTGGAAAAAAAATAGCAATAAAGAGGGAGGGAAGTGACAGTATTTAGGGGGAAAATGTTGTGAGACAGGTAGCTTATTATCCAGACAGATCCTCCAAGCACAAAGCAACCAGTTGAAAAGAGAGAAAAAATGTGCTCCTTCCATGCTACATACAGAAGCATCCTGAATAGAAGAAAGGGAAAAAAGAATAAAGCAGCACAAATATATTCAGGTAAATAGTAAAAGCACTTTTTGTTACAGTATATAGAGATATACTGTATAATGGACATGCGTGTGTATTTTAAAGGCAGCAGCATGCCAGAAGCACTTTCCAAAAATGCCATTGGAACAAGTATTAATGCACTTTTATTTCTCCTCTCTGAAGAGTTTCCCCACTCAAGTTCTGGAGAAATTATTTTGTTAGTCAAGACTGAAGCCTGTAACACTGCAACGTTTTGCATGCATCAAATGCCCTTCAGCAAAGCTCTCCAGCCAGCAATCAGATTGGCCAACGGGTCATTTTAAGGTGAGGTAGCAGTATTGGGTTTAAGATAATGTGTGCATGGATTTACACCACCTCCTCCTCTAGGAAACGTGCTCACTCATGGGCAGGTGATGAGGGAGCCTTTCTTCCTTCTGATTTTTGACAGTGTTCTTAACCTTGGTTAAAACACCCTAGTTTAGACTGATGACTACCTTCTGGGAGGAGAAGCTGGTAGAAAGCCTATGGGAGATTCCATGATTGTTGCAGGTTCAAGTTTCCTCTTCCTCTAGAACCGTCACCTGGTTGACCTGGAACCTTTAGCTTGCCTTACTATGCCAAGCCACTGCAGGTTGAGTTAGGCCATATGGCAGCTGGCCATCTTGCCCACAGGCCACCAGTTCCTGGCTCTGGGCAGAACATTTAAGAGAGACCTATACTTCGGTGCTTGAATCCCAAATATCCCATGTGCAATAAGAATTCTGTATCACTGTAGACGCCAACCTTAGGAAAAGCTTGTCACAGTGCTAGGTGTTGAAGCCCTTGCCATTTTTATATAATGTAGTTGCTACATTGTTGCCTAGAAGCATGATGTACCTTGAAATTAAAAAAAAAACTTTTAAAACATGATTATTTTACTGCACTATGCTTCTCTTTAAATAAGTGAGTGATTATAAATTTATAAATTGTATTGTTAAAAATATATCTTAATTGTTATGACATATTTTGAACCCTTATTAAATGGATTCAGATAATTTAAAAGCCACAGAAGCCACTAAGTGGCTTCATCCTTGAAAATAAGGGGAAGAATTCAGTGTAGTGTTATGGTAACTGCCTCCCTTGTGCTAACAGCAGTTCTTGCACAGCCTTCCACTAGTGGGACTCATTAGTTGAATTCTGGCCAAGGTATCTTGTCAAATTGCACTCAAAAGTAAAACTACATTCTAGCTGTCTATAAAAGTGTATAGATAATATTTTTAAACATTGCTAGAACCATTTCCCCCTGATCTACATTAAGCACGACGAAGCTGCAATATTGCTTTATAGCTAATGGGTATTTTTAAACTAAGGGCAATGGTTGTAAACTGTGATTATAAACTTGTTCTTAATTAAAAGCCATCTGAAAACTGCAGAAATGCATTTGAGGATCCAGATGCACCTTGATGCACTGAATCTTGCCATGTCTGACATCTGTTTCCTTGGGTGTTTAAATGTATTTTTAAATGAGAGTGCTGTTAATGGTCGTTTGGTTTTAACGATGCCCGTTGCTTTTAAGAAAACTGAGCTATCACTGACCGAATATCCTTTTTTTGAATCGCTTTCTTATAATGTTAACTTGCACATTATGCATTTAGGATAGAAAGCAGCAGCTGTAGTATAACAAAACAGATGTTTTAAACACCTTTTATGTTTGTAATATATTGATGTACTCTACAGACATGCTGATTTTGAACATAAAAATGTTTTGTGCATTCCCTATGTATTGGTCGGATGGTATCTTTCTTTTGCCCTCCTCTTCCTCTAGGGATTGTGACTTACAAGGTAAACATTGGTACCATTGAAAGAAAAATTCTTGCGCTAATATGAACTGCCTCATTTTTCCTATTTGCTCTTGCAGGTGTGTCTTAAGATCATGTCTGCCCAAACTATCAGCATAAAATCTACATGGCTTCAGTATTAAGAAGGACTGCTTGCAGAATGAGTTCTGCTGTATATTAGAAAGGAAATTAATATACCAGTAGGCCATGCATAATCACCAAGGGATAAAATGAACTGAATATAGAAAAAGGTAACTAATTTATTAACCCAGTAACCCGGTGCCAGTATAATGTAGGGCTGTTTGTTGACAGGGCCCTCTCAGTGGCAGCTCCCCGTTTGCGGAATGCCATCCCTAGTGAGGTGTGGTCTCCCTGATGATTAACTTTCAGGATGATCTTAAAAACACCCCTGTTCACCCAGGTATTTGATGGGTGAAAGATACTGTTCCTGGCAACCTTGAAAATTATTGCCTGTGAAGCTATGTGGCTTTTAAAATGTTTTTAGATAACAATGTTTTATTTTTGATTGAATTCCTTTACCACTTTGGGGGTTGATGTGCTGGGCTCCTTTATTAGGAAGGGTGGACAGAAATATTAACAAGAAGAGCTTCTCTGGAGTGAAATCCAACTTACCCTAATGATCAGTCAGGCCTTAAAAGGACATTAGTGGTGCATTTAGAAGAGCTGTACCTCCCCATCTCAATTAATTGTTCTGCAACCAGTATAGGAAATTTGTCATCTCCGCCAGGTAGCCTGGGTAACTTTCATTCTAGTTCAACGAGAACTTTGCATGACTTTGGGAGTCAAAATGGGACTTTAGTTAATCTTGTCGTGCTAAATGATCACTTGCATTTTACCCCCTGGCCAAGCTTAGCAGTTCATGTGCTGAATTAAAAGCCTCCTTGGTTTGGTGAGCCATTGTAGAGAGAATACACAGCCAGGCGCATGCTTTCCTTTACAGTCATTTTATTTTGTCTTCATGCCTTTAGCTTCACTACACTTGATTACAATACAAATACAATACAAAATACTTAATGATCATATATTAGCAATTTATCTTGAGAAGGATCCCTGAAACGCATAGGCCCTTGATTTATGAGCAATGTTGCATAAGCTTCTGTACAGATGTGACACACATTCCTAATGACAAAGCCTTGATACAGAAGGAGAGGCTGGGTACAGAAGGTTCAGACATAACTCCGTTGAGACTTCCGTGGGTGAGGTGACGGAGCTGTGAAAGGACACTGAAAAGGTAGTACTTGCTCAAGGTTTAGACGTATCTGGTGGCCTCACCTATATGAGCAGACACATAAAAGGAAAGTCTTGGCATACAGCTGCCGTACCTAGTCATGCACTGAAAAATGACTGGGAAATGCTCCACCAAAACCACTTCATTTTGAACTTCTGCATCCTTATGGGGAAAGGAAACAAGTGTGAGGGACGTTCGATGGTGCTGCACTCCTATGCTCACTTGGAGGCAAGCCCCACAAAAGCTGAGTTGGGGGTTGCTTTTGAGTCCTCCTGCACTGGATTGGGTGAGAAAATGCACTCATTGGCTACTCAAATCAACGGACAGTATTTTGCACTCGAGCATATGGGACTCTTCCCACATTTCTAACGTCACAGGAAGCAGAGTCAATTCTTAGATGAGAGTTGGCCTAAAACCTCTAAGAGAAAATAATTTTCTGACAGGTTTGTGGAGAGTTGTCTTTTGCAGACTCCCCTAAACCATGACGCTTGAAGGAAGTAATGGGCTGTCTTCCAGTCCTCCTCTTCTAGGGTTAGGGTTAGGTGAATGAACCAAACCAAACCTTTTCCTTGCATACCCTTTGATACCTCCTGGGCCATTTCTACCCCCCTGCCCCAATTGCTTTAGGATAAATGACCTTCCTACGTTTGCTGCCCATAAATAGGGTAAATAACTTTGGGAGGCAGTTTTTGCTCATAGTTTTCTTGTCTCAAAAGCTCCATTGTGTCTCCTGGCTAATCTCTGGTGCTATAAAAGGCCAAACACAGACGCTGAAGTGAACATTGCACTGGAACTGCTGAAAGCCCGTGATTTTGCTCTCCTGTATAGTCTCTATTAAGATTTTAATGTTGTGGAATCAATGTGAGTCTCTGATCAGGCACTGGGAAATAAAAATACATTTAGAAAGCAGCGATGGTGCTCCAGCTGTTTCATACTCCTTGCTGCCTAACTCATGGTAAAGTCATGGAAACGGCTTCTGCCTAGGTGGTGTCGTTTAAGGAGCAAAGCCTGCCTCTGCCAGTGTTTCCATTTATTTCTGGTGATACGGAAACCTCCGTCTGTGCCTCGGCTAACAAAGCATATGTGTTGGTAAGCTTTATCTCACCAAGTATAAATACTACGAGCTATTTTACAGTATTGTGACTGAAATCCTTTATTGCACACCTCTGCTGGGTGTGTAACAGGATTTAGTTTCATTTCCCTAATGAAAGACCCTGGATAAGTAGCTCTGCTGCTGAGAGTTGTGACATGCTACAAATGTGGCATAGAACCTTCACAAACAAGTAATGGTATAAGACATAGCTCATTCTATGCTTCTAAGGTTGCCATTCATATTCCTCTACTTTGGGTGGTGGTGATGCGGGGGGGGGGGGGGAGAGGCCTGTTTTTAAGGAAGCTTTTCATGAGCTTTCCCCCACAGCTGTAACACAAAAGGATGCTGTACTGGAGAAGCTCCTGGCTAGTGCTTTTTCTTCCAGGAGTGGGTTGGACTGCGAGGCTCTGCAGTGTGCCTTGATGCTAATCACACACATGAACCAGCCAATCTGCAGTGGATTGTAATAACAGCACAGGAACTTGGCTGTTTTAGCAGATGACCATTCTTTTAAGCTCAGGTATCTTACAGCGTGTTAAGTTGTACTTTTTAATTGCCCCTTGGGGTCATCAGAGACAGTATAACATGCTCCCTGCTGTGAGCAAGTGGGACTTTCAGGCACAGCATCCACCAAACTATAATGAACTGAACACTGCCTCTGATTCGGTGAGCAAGCACACTTTTTTCAAATGAAGCATTTTTTATAGCTGCCTTATGAACTCAAGAAAAAATATATAAATACCTTCAGTGGCTGTGACGGCTGGAAGTAGGCCCAGTACTTTTATCTGTTTGAGCTGCACTTCAAAGTTCTTGGTTGTCCCGTGATGGGAGCAAGACACATTACTGTACAATGGGGATCCATGATTAGATTTGTCCAACTGTAATTTGCAGCTAAGGATTCAAGGCCATTCCCCATTGATTTACTGCTCCTCCAGAAAACAAGTATCTGTGGAAAGTGGATCTCTTTTCTCTATCACTCAGGAAGGTCAGATTTCTTCATTTATACATCAATTCCAATTGAATCGATGAGCCTTATGCAGTGCAATCGTGCACAGGATTGCACCTGCATTTATTTAATAGCTATAAGTTCTTGAGCGAGGCAAGAGACACAAACCAAGCTTCCTCCTCGTTTGCTCTGCTCATGGGAACGAATGTGAGCACGAGGTTTGTATGCCCATATATACAGCTTCCATGGGGGTGATCTATTGCCTCAAAGTGTCAGTGGGGAAACAAGGATTATTAGTGGTCAACTGCAATAGTGGTGTGGTCTCCTAATTTGTAGCACCATGGTTATGCAATAGAATCACAGGCATTACCCTCTCCACTAATGCCTTTCTTTCTGCTGCCTGTGCTCAAGCAAGAGCAATTCTGGGCCCCAGTTCATTGCAGGATATTTTGACAGATTGTTTCAGTTCCGATAGCATGATAAGATAAGCTGTGAAATATGCTGAAGCATGGATTGATGGTATGTTTGAGTCTGAGAATGCACTGAAGTTGGCAAGTAATTTTTACATCATATGCTCAAGTCCTGATTTTTCTCTGTGTGGATATTGACTCTTGTCAAAACAATGACTTAGAGAGTTGGCTACTGTGGTTGTTCTAAAACGTTTGTTAAAACACACTTGCTTTGGCGCATCTCCTACAGTGCCATGTTCGGCAATGCAATTCTAATACTAAATAAAATCATATCCTTATTCACTGGAAAAAAATGGGAGTCAGCACATACCACGGCAATCGACTACTTTCTGTTTGTCTAAATTCTGCCCCATAGTATTAACTGAAGCATAATAGCGGTGATTTCATTGTTGAACAACCTGACTCTTACCACCTCGATAATCTTATCCTCTAGCATGTGGCATAACCAACTACAACATGGGGGATTAAGTATTTGACCCTTGGCGTCCCACAACCACAACAGAGAAAAGGGGGAGAGGGCATCACCTTTTCAATCAAACTAAATCACTGACTTTCACCATGCTCCTTAAATTCCTGCAGTTTCCATCTTGTAGACCAAAGGCGTGGAAGCAAATGTGTTTCGGCTACCCTTAAGAGTACCACAATAGTTGTGCATGCTTGTGGAAGGGCCATGTTGGAGCTGAGTTACTGTTTGGGTACATGCTCCTTGGGAGTCCATGTTTATCTGATTTTGAATTTCAGCGAGAGTGCAACATTTCCCCATCCTCCTCAAATCTCTGGCAGCAAGAGGGATTTCCCTGACGCTGCATCTGGCAGTACAGGGAAATCCCCGGACATTAAACTCTCTGACAGTGAGTCTTGAAATGGCACATAAACAACAGAGAAGAAAGCAGCGCACAGGGAAGGGCACAGAGAACAACCATGCAGATGACTTTATGCAACTGAGAGCGGGGCCTTGCAGATAATACTGTTGTCCTTGGGTGTTTCGAGTGTGTGTGTAAGGGGTGTGCGCGCTCTGACAAACAGAAGCTTCTTGCAGGTTCGAAAAGCAGAGCTTCCAAGGGTGGCACTTCAGAGCGCATTGGCACATTACAGAAGGGCATCTCGTTCTGCGCTCGTGCTTGTTTGGGTGATGCCGATGTTTGCACCAAGGCTTACGAGTCCCACAGGAAGAGAGTCAAAAGGATGGGATGTTTTCCGGGGGCCCTGGTGGGGGGAGTTGGCCTTGTTCCTAAGGGGAGGGCCCTCGCAGCTGCTGGCACAAGGGTGGGGCCGAAGTTTCCAAGGGCAAGCCCTGCTGTTGGTATCCATAGTTAACATTTCCACAGGGGAAATGGCGGAGCCTGAACAGAGGCACTTCCTTAACGCTGGCTGTCAGCGAAGATGGTTCTAGAAGAAGGGAGGAGCTTGGCAGCCTTCCAGTCACAATGCTGGGCCCCAAAGTACAGTTCCCTTCATGCCCTGGACCTTCCCTCTCAGTTGCCTCTTTCTCCGCCTGTGAAGTGTTTTTGACAATGGGCTTCTCTGAAAACCAGGAGCCGTAGGTCGGGTTCCAGAGGTTGGTAGGCTTGTTTCTGGACCCTCGGCCTTTGTGGAGCTCAGTGGCCGGATTGGACTGAGTGTACGCCATGTTGACATGTCCCCCTTCCAGGGGGGCCTGTGTAGTAGCACAGACTGATGGATCGACACTAGCTGCTTTCACCAGAGCCTTCCCTGTAGCGATGGCTAAGGCCAAGGATGGTGGGGAAGGCAGGAGCTGCTCAACACCTTTTTTCTCTTTCTGCGGCAAGACTAGCAACGGAGGGATTGCTTCGGGGTCTTCAGGGCGCACGGGGACCTTTTCTTCCTCCTCAATGCAGGGGCCATATTCCACTGGCAGAACTGTGTTGATCACATCAGGATCCTGCAGTAAAAAAACAAGGGATTCAAAACATGCTGCTGCTTTCTTTAACTGCTTGACGCTACAGAGTGCTGCTGGAGAAATCTACCATTGCTTCGTGAAAAGATTTTCTCTCTCTCCTAATGGACGCATGCCCAATCACCCAATAAAATTGACTTTCAGGACAGCTATGAGGAACAACTACTTCCACACAGAGTGCAATTAATTTATGGAATTCACTGCCAGAAAGCAGTTGGACAAATCTACAGAGGGCAAGTGCATAGGCCAGGTAACCTCCATACTTGGGTAGAGATGGTTGAATCGGTCAGTTTTGGTTTCTCTTAATTTCTCATTTTTCCAATCTTAAGTTCAGCTTGCCACATTTTCAGATCAGTTTGCAGTTTTCTTAAAACCTTCATGAAATTTCACCAGCATTTCACACTCTTTGGGGCAGGAGTCAGCTATTGAGTCCTGTCAACAGCAGCCTTGTGTCTGCTTCCTCCCCCTTTCTTCCACCCATGTGCCTCCATGCCTCCCAAAAGGGGCTCTGGGGAGGTTGGGAGAACCCCCAGAATAGCGTACAGGGTGAGGAGAGAGGAGGAAAGCAATCGGAAATGCTTTCCATGACAAAATGCTTCTAACAGCAAGTCATTGAATTCCACCCTTGTATGCAATCTTGCCTACATATTTTTGCAAAGCAATTTCCCCGAAAAAACTATGCACTAAAAAACCCAAGAATATATGCATTTTTATTGACATTTTATCCCAGTATATGAATCTTGATGCACATTACTTACCTGGAGAACTACATTACAAAATTCAGAGAAGTGCACATTTAAAAGGATATATGTGTTTCAGTTCTCATATTGTTTGGGAAACTGTGAATTAGGTAGGTTCGCCTTTAAATGTGGACTGAATTGCTCAGTGGCTCCAGTTGCTAGAGGGCCGGTGCAGGCGGGGGCAATTGCCTTCATGCTCTGCTTGTGGTTTCCCATAGGCATCTGGTTAGCCACCGTGGAAAAGAGGTAGCTGGACTAGGTGGACTCATGGCCTGATCCAGCAAGCCTCTTTGAATGGTCTTATAACAAACCAATACTCTAAAATTTAAGAAATCCCTCTACAGAAAGGAACAATGGAGGCGCCGGCCATGAGTCAGGTGCGAGGACGACAAAGTTCAAATAATTGCCCAGGAGAGTTTCGCAGGAAAATTGGCTTAACAGTATTTCATCTAACCTTAAGCTCAACATTTTCCCGATATATACAGCTCAAACATTGCTAAACCAGAGCCAGTTTCCTCCTCTTACTTGATCTATTAATGGGCTGGGATCCTGTTACCGAGATCAGAATGTTTACAGCTAGTCAAAACATAAGAATGGCAAAGCTCGGTGAGATATGATTCCTCCTGAGGTGTTTAAGCCTAATCCAGACTCATATTTTATTTAACTTTTGCGGTAAATAAATGATATATGCAAAATCCCAGAAAACTGGAAGCTGAGCCTGGTAGCCCCATCTATAAAGGAAGGGAGGCCCCCAGGGCCCCTCAAACTATAAGCCATAAGTCTCTGGACATTGTGTATAAACTTTATACTATGCATATACAAATAAACTGGTTGACTAGATGACCACTCAGCCTTCTCCAATCCGGAACAGGCAGGGTTCAGAGAACCCTGATACAACAGACATTGTTTGGTACTACAGACAATGATAGATAAGTATACAAAGTGCATGAGAACAAAGCTTTTGTGGCTTTTTGTAGATCTCACATCCGCTTTGATTCAATCTGCAGGGACAAATTATGGCAAGCCAGAGCAGATATTGATAGGCTGACCTCAAACTGCCAGAGAGTTCATTCCAGACACCACAGTTAAAAAATCAAGAACTGGGATGTCAGGCCTTCTCTGACCCACTGCCACTGGGAAAAGGGGTTAGAAACAGGAGCTGTTTGTTGTGGCGCCGTTCCTCTTCAATTTCTATATAAATGACATTTGTTCAACATATGGCAAAGTATAAGTCATCAGCTCCTGCCCTGGAAGGCAAACACCTGGAATATATTACTATATGCTGATGACATGGCTGTCATAGCCTTACTCGAAGAGGGCTATGGCATGCTGGAGGGCTCGCAACAATTGTTTCCCAAAACTCTGCAAGATAATTATGACAAGCAAAAATTCATTGAGTATTTACTGATACATACACATTTAGATGGTCTTTAGATGAACACAAAATTGAACCAGTGTCCTTTTTTAAATATGCTTGGTATCACTTTCCATTACATCTAGCTGGCTTGCCCTTCAGACTGTAGCCCTTCCTAACACGTAGGACAATCGGTGCTCTGCTCAGCTTTTTATTAGGGAGGGCAACTGGTGGTCTGACACTAAAAGCTTTTTTGTTGGAAAAGTGATTCCCCAGATGCTATATGGAGGTAGAACTCTAGGGATGGGTCAGAAGCTGTTGAAACGGCTTGGAAATCTTCCAAAATTTTTACCTCAGAAGAATTCTAGGCCTCCCCTCCAAGTGCTCCGGCAGCTCTCTAGGTGGAAGTAGGATTACCTTCTGTGTCTGCCAGGGCCCACTTAAGATTCCTGTTGCACCACCAACCTCTGGTGCGAACACTTTATTGGCTAAACAAGCCTTTGTATCATTACAAAATAATACTGCGCATAAAAACCTACTAGATATCCTATCCAGATACAATCTACCTGAGTTTATTACCCTTAGGTGTGAACCTGATAAAGAGTTCGGAATGGATCTTTGAAAAAAGCCTTTTGGACTCACAAAGATAAAACTCTGGGTTTTCCTACTGGTTTGACAGCAGTCAAAGTCGTGCTAACTGCCCAGTGGAGATCACTGATCCCACCCTTCGGAGCTTTCACTATGTACAGGTTTCAAACACTGCCAGCTGCATATCTGACCGGTGGGTTCACAAAAACTGATAAGACACCGTTTATGCCCTTGCCTTATGAAGAATTAGAAGATCTGACATTATCTCACTCTGTGCCCCATCTGGACTAGAGACGCATTGCTGCAAATTTATGCCCAACTCTATAACCAGTCCTGAGATGGTAAAGTGCTGTTAGTTGTGCAGGCCCACCCCGCATGGTGGCGGTTTTGTGATGAAGGCCCACGAAGCCAGGAAGATTATGGATGATAATGTTAAGACCCCTTCATCGTCTGTTGCTTCTCGTTGCTTGTTTTCCCTCTCTTTCTATTTTGTAGGATGAAGGTTGTTGCGTGGTGTGATTTTAATGTTTTTAACTATTGTTGTGTTAATGTTTGTGTACAGGCATGGTCCTCACAATAAACGGATTTGATTGATTGATAACAAACCTACTATTGAATAATATCTGTTATTATGCAGCAGAACACTTAAATGTCTTGCAGGTCTGGAGAAAAAGGATGACCTCATTCAGACATGTTAGGGTGGGGCAGAATATAAATTTATTGAGAGCAAAATTATTTTTTGTTCCCAGTGGCAGTGGACATCATACTTGGATGGAAACATTTTACAATTCAACAATTCTGGCATTATTGCATTGATTGCTTTTCTGTTGGCCACTTTGACTTTCGTTTAGGGAAGAAAAATGGGTTATAAATATTAAATGAGCGCAATATTTCTTCATGCATCTGATTCTGGGATGTATTCCTTCAATGCAGGGTATTCTAAAAAAGTGTGGATTTACTGGACAGCACTAATGGCCAAGAGATCGGTTTTGAAAGCACTGAAGGCTCTGCTGCCCCTGGATTTGCTGCAATAAATCACAGAGCAGTGTCGGCTGGATATGCGTAGAAAGGATGGATTAGAAGGATAGGAACAGCATCAGCAGTGAGGATCATGGGGCACTTGCTATTGCCACAACAATGAAGCAGGCGCACAGTTTATTTGGCCACGTGCTATTGCTGTTGCTCCTTCTCCTTGCTGTTGCTGCCTATTCAGCTACCCTCTAAGCATGCAGACAGTAACCAGAACAAGGAGGCAGAAGAACACAGCCTCTTCCCCTTGCCTTCCTTGCACTCTCTCCTTCTGGATGATCATGTGGATTGGACCCAGAGGAAGAGGGCAAACAAATGGGCACTGTAAAGGTAAAGGTATAGGGACCCCTGACCATTAGGTCCAGTCGTGGCCTACTCTGGGGTTGTGGCGCTCCTCTCACTTTATTGGCCGAGGGAGCCGGCGTACAGCTTCCGGGTCATGTGGCCAGCATGCCTAAGCCACTTCTGGTGAACCAGAGCAGCGCACAGAAACGCCGTTTACCTTCCCACCGGAGCGGTACCTATTTATCTACTTGCACTTTGACGTGCTTTCGAACTGCTAGGTTGGCAGGAGCAGGGACCAAGCAATGGGAGCTCACCCCGTCGCAGGGATTCGAACTGCCGACCTGATCGGCAAGTCTTAGGCTCTGTGGTTTAACCCACAGCGCCACCCGCTGTGACAAAAAGGAGATGCTGTCCCACCAGTTTGGTCATTGGACCTGCTGGCACGTGGCTTTCCTTTTCCTTTCCCTCTAGTGGGGAAAGAGAGCAAGCAGATGAGCCTGGAGCAGCTAAGGCGTGGTTTCTTGCTGCCATGCACTTTGCACAGAGTAGAGCAAGATCCCCCGAGAGCAACGGGACTCGAGATCATTCCACCACTCTCAAAGGGAATTGCACAGGGGAGAGCAAGAACATCAAGTCCCATGTGCCAGCCAAGCCAGGCTTTGGGTGTCTGGAAGACCCAACTTCTTCAAAGGAAATAAAAAAATTACTATCAGAGCAGAAGCCCTCAGACTCCTTGTAGCAAGGACTGCAGCTTTTGAAATGGATTCATGATCTGATCCAATTCAGAATCTACCTGGATCAAATCAGGTGAGGAGTCTGCTTTGCAATCCAACCTATGGATCCACACACACACACACACACACACACACAAACCCACACCCATCGCTAATCACCATCACACCCTGCCTCAAGGCAAGTTCTGAAAGGATCAAGGGCTTGTTTTCTGGCTGGGCACTTCACATTTGATCCATAATAACTCTCGGATATAGCTTGCATTGCAACTGAATTCACTTCTTCAGGTGGTCTGGGGAAGGGTTGGGCAAGAGTCAGAGACACTGGCACCAGGTTGTGCTCTGGTTGTCTTGGCTCACCCATTGTTTCTTTTCCATGTGCCCCTTCTGGCATTTCTTAGAAGAAACAGCATAAAATAATTGCCCTGAGAAGTTATAGGTACCTGAGTGCAGTATTCAATCCTCTCCAATATTATGGCAAAGTTTGGCCGGTCTTCAGGCTGGTGTTGCCAGCATTGTGTCATTATTCGATACCTGCAATGAGAGCAGAAGACCAAATGGTGAATGGCAGGAGAGTGGGTTAGGATGCTGCCTTATTTATTATACAGAATCAAACCGACTGGTCTAGTAGCTCAGTATTCTCGACACTGACAGGCAACAGCTCTCCAGGGTTTCAAGCAACAGTCCTTTCTGTAGATGGCGGGGCTTGAATCTGCAAGCCCTCTCATGCAAGACATGCACTCAGCCACTGAGCTATGGCCCTTTCCAGGCTAAGGGCTAAGGCAAACAAGACTAAGCTGCTATAGGGCACTCCTGGCCACAGAGGACATTATTGTGAGTTAGCAGTGGGACAGGCATTGCTAAACATAGAATGTCTGAAGCTGGTGTTTTCTCAATGATTATTTTATCCCACTATCAAATCAAAAGTAACATTGGAGGGAGGGGGCTTAGTTCATAAATAGAGTTCTGATTGTGTCCCTGGGAATAACATAGCTGAAATTTGGCTGAACTTAGTTCAACCGAGCCACACCAAAAATTGGCTAAAAGTGCTTGAGATGGAGCAGGTTACCTATTAACTTGTTACTCAAATAATGCCCACCTGCGTAAGGGGGAAACACTGCAGGGTCCTTGATTCATTTCCTGGAAGCATCAGGACACAAATTGTTATGTGAATTAAATTTAATTTGAGGCTCTTAGGCCATTTGTAAGAGAAGCGAAGGTGAAGACTGAATTATTACAAGAGGATGAGGACTCTGGACATGGCATCAGCTGGTAGTTAGTACCCACCAAAATGACAGTGACTGCAAAGTTAAACCATTACAGCTAATGAAAGAATTTATCCTACAGAAAATAGTGAAGCAAATTTTTATGAGGCTAATGGCACCATCCATGAAAAAGAGGGACATATCAGAGGCTTGGGGGGACTTCAGGGTTTGCAGAACTCTCCCACTCTCCAAAACAATCCTCAGGGGAAAAAACTGAGAAGCATGGTCAGTGGTTATAGAATGCTGCTGGTTTGTTGTGGGTTGTGGTGTGCAAGATGGAATACAGGGATGGGGGGCGGCAGGATGCAGTGGAATGGCACATCCTGGAAAACAACTTGGCTGGCTGGAACTCTGAATATGCTGCTCTGCAGCATTTCATTGCAGGTTCCAGTCGTTATAGCAGATTGGTGAAATATATGAAACGGGAAAACAATCTTTGCAGAGTAAACAGGATGAGAAGAGATGCCAGAACATGACAAGTTGAACCCATGAAGCAAGCAGATCCTTAAAAGTTTCCTACACAGGGCCGGGGCAGTTTTTGGGTGGATCCATCCTTCCTCCACTTGTTACAAACTCCAAGACCTCCTGGTTACTTTTGCTGGGATAGGGCATATATCCGAGAGAGAATATTTCCCACAGCAACACTCCAAATGACCTGGACACAAAAGAGAAAGAAATACGGTCACGGATAGATACAGTGAAAACTACGCAGATATACTTGGATTGGGGCCAGTACTGGCAAAAAGCCTGTCATGTGGCACACCCATTCACGACTGATTTTGTTGACTGTGAGATCCTTCTGTAGCGTCAGAGTTATTATGCTGTCTCTTCTTTCCACATAGGATCAGAAGTCAGGTCACATGAGAAGCGTTTGCAACACGTCGTGATTACTGTCTAAGTGCTTCAATTCCTGGGAAGGGCAATGCTGGCATTGGAAAGGAGTCGTGATATGGTGTCCTTCCATATGACTTCTGATGCTACTTAGCACTGCAGGAAAGAGCCACCCTACATGGCTAAATGTAACGTCGGAAGGATCCTTGTGTTTTTGAAGAAAGGACATAGGTTGCTGCAGAAGAAAGGTGGTTGCTACATTTAACCAACTGTCAGCAGGTGGCTTGAAAAATGGATGGAAAATATGGAGCAGGCTCACCAGGTATCCGTTTTGGACGTAAATATCCCTTCCATGAAGGCCTCGGGGGGCATCCACTTGACAGGGAGCATTGCACACCCTCCTTTTCTGTAGTAACTGGCTCTGTTGAGAAAGCGGGGGGAGTTTAGAAGAAGAAATCAGACATGAGTGCACAGTCATGTGACCATTGGAGGCTGACCCTCATTGTTCTGGAATTGACTGACTGGGTGAACTTATATGCCTCTTCTCCACAACGAGCAATGCTCAAAGTGGCTTACAGCAAACATTTAAAACATCTAAACATATGAATTACAGACCATGGCAGTAAATTAAAAAATGACTAGCATCCAACAATTTAACAAACACAGAATTAATTCAATATTTGCAAAAAATAAATAAATCACAACAATCTAGGTTTAAATACAAGGCACAAAACTAGCATTAACTGACATTAAAGTTTCTGATACTGGTCCTTCCTGCACTCCAAGGAGAAGAAGAAGAAGAAGAGTTTGGATTTGATATCCCGCTTTATCACTACCCAAAGGAGTCTCAAAGCGGCTAACATTCTCCTTTCCCTTCCTCCCCCACAACAAACGCTCTGTGAGGTGAGTGGGGCTGAGAGACTTCAATGAAGTGTGACTAGCCCAAGGTCACCCAGCAGCTGCATGTGGAGGAGCGGGGAATCGAACCCGGTTCCCCAGATTACGAGTCCACCGCTCTTAACCACTACACCACACTGGCCTGGCTTAAATACAGTTCAGAGGGCAGGAATTTCCTCACCAGGCTAAATGACATAGTTGGCTTCCATATCCTTTCTCCAGAGGAGGCTGGCAACAGCAAAAGGCAGTGATGGTCAGTCTCTATCCCAGCCTCCTGGAAGCACCAAGTGCTGATGCAGGGACGTTTGTGGTAAGGTGATCCCACAAGTAAACTGGTTCCCACCCTGTTGGCTGTTTTTAAAAAGGCAGTGCTCCCCCCCCAAAATAAAATGTTTAGAGGCACTCTCATTTTCCTACTCATATTGAAATACTGCACCTCAATGAGGTCAAGCTTAGATTCACAAAATGTTTAGGGATATGCATACCCCTGTGTCCCCCCAGAAAAGAGCACTGTAAAAAGGTATCAACTGTTCAAACCTTATGCCACATTTTTACTATAGCAAATAATGTTCTTAAACAGCTAAGTTAAGTAAAAGGCCAAAGGGTAAGTCATCTGTCAAAACTGTTGAGTGGCCCTTCATTGCGTCATGTGATGAAGCAGTTCTCCAGCCTGACATTAGAGGGCACTGTGAGTGTTGCTTTTCGGATGAGATGTAAGCAGAAGTCCTGACCACACACACAGCCATTAAAGTCTTCCTGGCACTTTCAGTAACTGCAGAATCATTAATCCCAACCGCCCTGGATAAATTCCAGGTTGGGTAATTACATTTCCCTGACCTTTCCCCCTCTTTTATATGTTGTAAACTAGAGAGATTTACCAATGACGCTGACATAGAAACTGAAAGTGACGGGGTCAACACCAAGGAGTATAAAACAGAACACAAGAGTGGAGGGGGGGAAAGGGAGAAATGGGAGCGTGGCTGAAGATGCATTCACAACAGAACGCAGGATGGTGGACTCTGGACGTGAATTGTGGAAGTTGGGGTTAGTCCCCAGTGTCACAGCAAATGCTAATACTGTCTGCAAGTTAGGATCTGGAAACATCACAAGTCCCCTGACCAGGGCAAAAATATAAGATCCTGCAAAGAAGTTAAGCCAGATAAACCAACCCCTTTTTATGGAGTAGGCTTCTACTAGATGGGACTAATAATAAGCTGTGTTCTCTTACCTGTATATGTCCCGGGCCATCCCAAAATCTCCAATTTTAGCTATTCTCCCAGGGCCTTTACATGTAAGGAGGCAATTTCGAGCAGCGATGTCTCTAAGAAACAAAAAGGAAAGGAGAATAAGCATGTGAAACTGCCCTTGGAGGAGCAACGGCTCAACTCATTGGAAAAACTAAGGACAAAACTAATTGACTATTGAACATTTTCATTCATTTTTTTTTTTTAAGTGGTACGGGAGACTCAGCAGCACAAGATTTAAAGCTCCACAGATCACTCCAGTTGATGAATTTGAGAGCCAGTGGGGCTAGCTTTAACACACACACACACACACACACACACACACACACACACACGGTACATCATCATTAATTTATTATTTCTACCCTGTCCATCTGGCTAGGCTTCCACAGCCACTCTGGGCAGCTTTTGACAGAACATTAAAAATACAACAAAACATCAAACATTAAAAACTTCCCTAGACAGGGCTGCCTTCAGATGTCTTCTAAAAGTCAGATAGTAGTTTATTTCCATGACATCTGATGGGAGGGCGTTCCACAGGGCAGGCGCCATTACCGAGAAGGCCCTCTTCCTGGTTCCCTGAGACCTCACTTCTCACAGTGAGGGAACCGCCAGAAGGCCCTCAGCACTAAGACCCTGGTCTTCATGGTCTGATGGGGGACAGGCAGCCATCTTTAGACAACCATGTATATTGCTCCTTTTGTGAAGCACACAACTAACATTTCTCATCTCTCCTTCTCTCTCCTCCCCACCATCAGAGGCATCCCTCTGCTCACTTCTGCTGGCTCAGCCACTGTCACTCCACCAGTTCAGACCTTCTGCCTGCTTGAGCCTGATGGATACCACTGACCGAGGCATCCCGAGAGTCGGGAGGGGCTGACCCAGCCCAGGGTCTGCTGCATCCCAAGCCAGCATTGGCCAGTACTGATCCAGGCCCGATTGCCACACAAGCCTGAAGCTAGCACAGGGATTGGGTGCCCAATCTGCCTGCCCCCCCTCCCACCTTCTGCCATGCGAGTGGCCAGGCTGTGGATGCGGTGGTAGCTCCACTGCTTTGCAAAGCCTGAAGTCTAACTTGGGAGTAAGCATCATTTTGTATGCAGAGAAGGACAATGTGTTTTTAAAACGAACACCTGTAACCATGCCCTTGCCTGCCCAGCTTATGTTCCCTGATTCTGTTTTAAAACCAATCAGCATCAGTCCTAGTGACCCCCAATGTCCCCATATTAGCATAGGTCTGGTGCTGGGCCTCTATCGTCCGCTGCTCTCCGTGGGGGCATTTGGTCAACTCCTTGGAATTGGACCCCACCTGCACCTCTTTGACTTTAGCTGCACCACTGACCCCAGAAGCTGAAGTAGAAGGAATGGCTTTGTCCTTTCTTCTCCACCAACTGGTTTAAACACACACAGACACACAGAGCCCTCCTTGGCTGGGCTCTACCCTCCCACCTTGGCTGAACAGCGAGATTAGAGCTACAGTTATTCAAACAGTGCTGGAAATGCCATATATGAAAATGCTTTCAAAAGCTTGTTATGCCGCAGCGAAAATATAATACCTAATTTGCTCCTCAAACTTCCCTTTTTTATATATATATAAAATGTTCTGAACCTCTAGGGGGCAGTAGTGCACAACCATCCTCGCCCGTTTCCTGCTCCTATTCTCCCGTTAGTCCTTTTGCAAGCTAAGTCAGTCACACAGGGCGTTTGGAAGTGGTCCCTCAGCAACAACTGCTTCTGCTACTTACCTGTGAATGAAGTGATTTTCTTCCAGATATTGACAGCCGCAAGCAATGTCGCGAGCCACATGTAGCAAGTCCAGCATGCCTAGAGAAGAGGGGTGGCTCTAAAGAAATAATGCAAAGTATGACGCTTCAGAGGATTATCTTCAAAACCTGATCACTTTAAGCAAAGAGCTGCGTGGCTACAATAATAGGTGCTGAATCTGTTTCCTAACCCTTTTGGAAACTCCAGTTTGCATTTATTTTAAAGGCACACATTGAAGCTCGCACTGTTGCAAAGATAGTGCTGCTTTTTCACTAGCTGGAGCACGATCACACTGCCCTCAGCACCTCCACAGAACATCCTCTTGTGTCCTGGGCACCCATTTCACACCCGTTTAAACCTTTTCTCCACCATCCCTCACCATCTGCAACCTGCATGAAAAGCATTTTTAAAGAGGGAAATTATCCTAATTGAGACAATTCATATCAAATGTACTAATAATGGCACTATGCTGGAACTAAGCGTGAAAGTGAACGAGGGCTGCTATTCTCCGATTCTGCTTCTGGGCATTTTACAGGCATCTCTTTGGCCTTTGTATGAACAGGATGTTGGACTAGATGTAAGGATGTCAGAGAATTCTGACAAAAAGTTTCAAGTGTTTGTCTATGACCAGGAACAGAAATCAGTCAAGTGAATACGATCAGTATTCAATCACATAGTTTGTGCTTAAATCAGCAAACATGACTTTTCATCACTGTTTTAATGTTTCCTTTACACTGAAATGAATGTAAGTTGCATAAAGTATGTAGAATAGTGGGCAGCAAGTATTGGGTGGAAACCAAACTGCAGTGGAACAGAAACAGCACTGATTGTGATGAACACAGGCCAGAACAGAAACTGCTGTCCAGCTAAGGTGGGCCTCTGGCCTGTTCCAGCAGGACTTTTCTTGTTTTCTAAGTTGGTGAGAGGGAGATTTGAAGTGCATATTGTCTTCTAATCTGCGTTTATGTCCAGGAGAGAGAGACCGCACTGATTACAGCGAAAATCAGGTAAGACAGGCTTCCAAGAACCTAATCCCAATCTAGTGCAGCAGCAGAGCAGGCACTTCTGTAAGAAGTCAGAAAGCTTTGTGGCAAACATTGGCTTTCCCTTCCAGAGTGTTTGAGAGGGAAATTCTATAGCTGAAAGTTGTAACAATCCCCAGCTTCGTCCAACTATTGATTCCCAAGAAAAGCAAAATACGAACAGATGTGACACAACACTCCTGTCATAAGCACCCTCTTTTGCTCTTCTTCCTTACCTGCCCTACTCTTTGAAATTGGAGAGAGCAGCATGCATGGACCTGTGTAAATCTTTGTGCTGTCCCTTCATGGATCTCTGTGCAATCTTGGTACAACAGACCCAGGTGATGACATTAGGATTGCACTCGCCAGGTAGGCAAGGCTACTGCTAAGTTTTATGTAAAACTCTTAGTTGAAGAAGAAAAGCGCTTCTGCTGCCTTTTATTTGGTCTCCGCTAAAGTAGAGGCTCTTCTTTTGCCAAGGGCAATTTAACAGGGTAATTTGTTTGAGACATGAAGCGTTTGGGCCCATTTTGTACAGAGATGCAGTGCACTGGAGTAGCCTTGAAATGCCAAGGAAATTCACTTTGCAGCTCCTTGCTGCTCTTGCTCCCCAGATGAAGGGATGGTGCAGCCAGCTGGAAACCGTGTGGTTGTGGCTCGGAGGGAGGGAAGGGCTGGGAGCATTAAAGCAACGCATCCCCTTGTTAGGTCAAACCTTCCGAAAGGTGACCGCAAAACAAACTGACTCCATTGTTCAGCATAATCACTGCTTTGAGCAACATGCTGCAGGACACAAAGAAGGGAAATTACTGCTTATCTACCAAAAACCTCTCCTGATTGCTTTTCTATGTGAAAAACCCTTGAGCAGAGAAGTCTTTTAACACCTTAGGAGTTTGTTATGTTCAGAGTATTTGCACATTTCAATTTCAAGAATCTGGACAGCTTTGGGTCTCTGCCTTTATCAGTCTTATGTCATTATTGGAGAAATAATGACCTTCCAACAGAGAATTTTCTGAATTAAGGTGAAATGCAAGGGAAGGAAATCATATTCAATGAGTATAAAATATAATAAAACATAAAATAAAATAAAATACAGTCTTAGCAGACTGTCGATTCAGATTGCTGGTGCAAGTTTACACAGTCAAAGAAGTCTCTCTTATCTGTATTCCACAAGGGTCTGTGTTTGTATTAAAACCCACATGGATGCACATTTTTCCTGCCAGAGCTTTGAGGTCTCATTTATTTTTCCAAAGATCCTGTCATGTGTTTGTTTTTTTCCTAGTTTCCTCCATGGTGCTTGCTTTTGTACATTATAGTAGGAACTGCTGTGGTCTGACTTACCCTATCATATTTGTGTTAAGAAAGCTAATGCAGTGCTCTATGACTCGCTGCCACTCTTTGTAGCTCAGGTTGGCTAATGCTACGTTCTGTCACTATGTGTGTCCCTGTTTCCTGCCACGTGTTTGGCTGTAAGGACTCATGCTGCACTGCGTTGTGACCCGCAACAACCAACAATACAAAGCATCTTGCCCTCCTAGCTAGAGAGCATGAACATTTAAAAATGACATCTACAGGCCTGCTTCTCAATCCAAGAAACCAACCACAGAAAAACAGCCACATATTGATTGTGTAAACTCACTATGAATAATTCTAGAGGGATAACTGTGTTAGTCTGCTGCAGAAAACACGTTGTGGCTTTTTTCTTGCGTGGGAAGGGATTGGACAAGGGGACCTATGCCACTTTCAATTCCAATTCTATGGCCCTGTTTTTGTGTAACATTAAACCATGGTTTATCACTACATGGATGAGTGTTGGACTCTCATGTTTCTACCTCCCCTTCTTCTGCCCAGGAGGGCTTCTGCCAAGTTTAGTTTTGCTGTCAAAGAATCTTCATCTAGTGTTACGTACAAGCCAGGAATCCTGGTTTACAACAAACAATAGTTGTTAAACAAGTCAACTTCAAGAGAGGAGAACTAGCCCCGCTAGTTCAGGGAGGGCTGTGTGGAGAGAGTCTCTTCCTTTAAATTCCTAGGAGTTTATCTCAGTGAAGACCTTACTTGGAAAATAAATACAACCCAGGTGGTTAAGAAAGCCCAACAGAAACTCCATCTCCTCAGAGTATTGCGGAAGAATGATGTCAATCAACATCTGACGATCTCCTTCTACTGGTCAACAATAGAAAGTGTTCTTTCATACTGCATCACGGTGTGGTACGCTGGTTTGACATAATCTGATAGGAAGTGCCTACAGAGGGTGGTGAATACCGCACAATATATTATGGGCTGTCCATGGATGACATCGCGGAAGAACGTTGCCTCAGGAGAGTGAGGAAAATTCTCAGGGATGATTCACACCCTGGCCGGCACTTTCTTAATCTCCTGCCCTCGGGCAGAAGATAAAGAAGCATGATTAGTCGCACCAACAGGGTAAAGAACAGCTTCTATCCATGGGCTGTTAGGCTGCTGAATGAAAAGATAACAACAGGGCAAATGACTTTCGGGTTTGGTGTGTGTGTGTCAGTAAACGAGGGGAATTAAGACTAAGAGAGCTGAGTGGGGGGTGCTCGTGTAATCTCACTGTATGCAAGTTGTACAAGTGACAATAAAGTATTTCAATTTAAATTATTTAACTAACTGTTGCAAACCAGGTTTCCTGATTCTTCTGGCCACGTAGGAGGAGGAACACACAAGCCCTATGCTTTGCTCAGGCCTATGGAGGCTCATCACCATCTCCCTAGCTGCTAAATCATACTGTAAAGTTTTATGCAGATGTCGCCAACAAGTCCTTGAAAGCTAGCACATTTTTTGAGCCACAAGCTTTTATGGGCCAGATATCTCTTTTTCAGATGCACGAAGTATCATTATCAGTTGTTATGCGGACCATGAAAGCTCATTTTGAGCAGCCACAGGGATAGCTTTGAGTAGCCAAATGTTAAAAAGCAGAATATTGGGTGACATTTTGTACTTGGTATTGGAAACAAGTGTTGAAACCACATCAAATATAATACTGTAAGCATTCAGAAGAAAAAAATAAAATACTATACACAGCCTTGATTCCCTATGGTGTGCATTGGTTGACTTAATCTGAGGTGGCTAATTTTGCTGGTGGCACCAATTATTCAGGGTGGTAAAAACAAAACAAAAACGGATTGCTAGTAGATTAAAAAGGATGTCTCTAAAGTGAGTGAATGGGGATTAAAGTGGCAAACGCAAGCAAGTACAAAGTGACACATGCTGGGGTGAAAAATATACATTAATTGAGATAAATAACTGGCAGGGAGAGAGGGCTCATGGAGAATAGCTCAGTGAAAAGGTTGACCCAATATGCAGCAGCTGTAAAAAATAGCTGAATTTCATGTTCAGGACTGTTAAGAGAGGGATTGAAAATAATATTTCCAATATCATAATGCCTTTTTACAAATCTAAACAATGACCACATTTGGGGTACCTTGTTCAATTCTGTTTGCTGCACCTCAAAAATGATAGTTGTGCAACTGGGAAAAGCAAACAAAGCAAGCAGATTGAGGAAGGGTTCCAATATTTGGGGTGTTTTGTTTTGTTTTTAAAAATGTGAGTTTGTGTGGGGATGTAATACAGTTATACAAAATTATGCTTGGTGTTTAGAAAGTGGAGACAAAGAGGTTTTCCTCACATATTAGCACCTAAGGTCATAAAATGAAGCTGAAGATTGGGAGATCCAGGACAGGTAAAAAGAAGTACCATATTTTTTGCTCTATAAGACTCACTTTTTCCCTCCTAAAAAGTAAGGGGAAATGTGTGTGCGTCTTATGGAGCGAATGCAGGCTACACAGCTATCACAGAAGCCAGAACAGCAAGAAGGATTGCTGCTTTCACTGCGTAGCGATCCCTCTTGCTGTTCTGGCTTCTGAGATTTAGAATATTTTTTTTCTTGTTTTCCTCCTCCAAAAACTAGGTGCGTCTTGTGGTCTGGTGCATCTTATAGAGTGAAAAATACGGTAATTCTTCAAATAGTGCAAAGTTGAACTACAGAATTTGCTTCTACAAGATGTAATGATGGTGGCCACCAACTTTAAAGGAGGATTTAAAAATTGATGGAGGATATCAATGTGTGCTACAAATGGTGGCTATATTACATCATGCACAGGAGAGAGCTATTGTGCTCAGGTCCAGTTTGGGAGCTTAGCAAAGCAGAATGCTGAACTAGACGGCATTCATCTGATCAGGCAGGCCTCTTCTTATATTCTTCAGTTCCTTTAAATCAGCTTTTATTTAAAACGGATTGTGTCTTTAATAATAATAATAATAATTTCAGCTTCCCTAAAGTTGGGTGCTATGTGAGTTCATTACACACTGGATCTGTTCTGACATGACAGTCACTATTTAACAGTGGCTGCAATTTCTCTGCATGACAGGAGAAAAAGCAATTATACGAAGTTATCTTTTTCATGAAGTCGGCGCTGGTCAGTAATGGGAAGACTCTCTAGTGATTTGAAAAACATGTTTTAAAATGAAAGAACTACGTATGCTGATACCTGAGTGTCATTACCGGGGAACCCAGGGGAATGAGACTCACTGGGGTCAACACAGCAGACAGGCATTTCTGCACATACATTGCTTTCACAGCACTATTATTTCTGGTTTGAGTCAGTTTCTACTGAACAATAGCTTACAGTCCGCTATCAGCAGCTAGCAGGACACCAAGGAGAGGTTTTGCCGATTCGGAACGCAGGAGAGCTGCCAAGTTCCTTCAGGCTAGCTGGAAGGTGAAGTACAGAATACCCCTATACAGTCATGCTCTCACCCTGTGTCACAGAACATGTTTCTGATATGCAGCTGACCTCAGCCTGCTAAGTGCTGAGCCTGCATAAACATGTACTCAGTCACAACCACAGTGTATCTGTGCCATTGTCTGCATAAAAGTATATTACCTAGCTAAGCAGAGATTTTTAATCTCAACCTGTCTTTTTGCTAATAAGCAGAGCGTCGCTTATCAGCTTCACATACCAGAAAGGTGAAGTGGCCTTCAAGAGACTAGAAGCTCCAAACTGACAGCTTCATGTAACAGACTACCAAAAATGCAACATTTTGCATGAGACAGAAGAAGAGTGAATTTATAAACTATCTGATGCCATGGTACAGAGCGTATTTTTTTGTAAACCAATTAGAAGTGAACATGAGAAGTCCACAAGCTGTACACGCATGTCGCTGAAAGGGATCGTTCATGAGCTAACCATGTAAACAGAATGTTGTAAAAGTGTCTTGAATTTTGTATTCAGGGTCCAGAATTTGGAGAATTCCTCTGGATCATTTATTCTTAATGCAGTCTGCAATAAACGTGAACTCTTTCCATGACGCTGCTGTCTTTCTTTGGCCAAAGGGAACCGGCGTATTTCCAGACCACCTTTATAGGGTAACAATGCTATTAGCATCCTCAAACAAAGACTCAGACTCCTTGGTGCCCTTTTCAAACATTTCATTCCTGTAACACCAGAAGAGTTTGGATTTGATATCCCGCTTTATCGCTACCAGAAGGAGTCTCAAAGCGGCTAACATTCTCCTTTCCCTTTCTCCCCCACAACAAACACTCTGTGAGGTGAGTGGGGCTGAGAGACTTCAGAGAAGTGTGACTGGCCAAGGTCACCCAGCAGCTGCATGTGGAGGAGCGGAGATGCGAACCCAGTTCACTAGATTACGAGTCCACCGCTCTTAACCACTACACTACACCAGTTCCTTGTTCAATATTTCTAGCAAGATTTCTATTCTCAAAATTACGCAGCAGCACTTCAAAAAATGAATGCATAAATGTTATTTATTAATGATTGAGGTAGAGTGCTATATACCTTGAAAACTTGCAAATTTTGAAACAGTAGGAACAGTCTGATCTGTACCTTTCGTCCAGTCCAGAACTGAGAAACCGGTAGAGTAACAACTGCAGCTTTATCATGCTGATATTTAGAATGGTGGTAGATTCTCTCTTAATGCAGACTCCCCTACGTTCAAGTGAAACAGAAGATCAAAGATCTCGCTAGGAGTGCCAGCTTGGCCCCGTGACCGTGGGTGCCGGGGGCCATGGGTGCCATGCAGCATGCATGGCCCTGGCACCAAAATTTGTGGGTGCCTGGCCCCTTCATGGGGAATTTTGTGGGTGATCGGGCACCCAGGGGCCCAGGGAGTTGGCACCTATGGATCCTGGTGCAAGCTGGTTGCATGGTGAAGTGTTGCTCAGCTACCCCATCAGCACAAGACCTGCTTTGTGTTCATATATCTCCCCTAACAGCTCTAAAGTTCAAGAAAGGGTGGGAGAGGAAGAGCCACAAAACCCCCACAAAGATTCTTTTAAAGGAAGCAGTTGAGATATGTGAAGAAAATTAAGCTACATTTAACCAAGGGAGACCTACTTGGAGACAAGGGCCCAGCATTAAGCAACTGTTTCCTCCTTACCGGCCTAGGCCGCGTCTCCCTCAGAAAAGATTTCAAGTCTCCTCCAGCCATGAGTTCCAGCAGAATAAAGCGTGGCAGAGCCTGCAAGCTCACCCCAATGCAGCGCACGATATTCTGATGGTTGAACTTGCTGAAAAGGAGATGAAGAAACAGCTTTTAAATCAAACGGTAAATACTTGCTGGGCAGATTTGAGATCTTGATAGCTTCAGTTATTGATCTAGCCCGGCATCCCCAAACTCGGCCCTCCAGATATTTTGGGACTACACCTCCCATCATCCCTAGCTAACAGGACCGTGGGTCAGGGATGATGGGAATTGTAATCCCAAAACATCTGGAGGGCCAAGTTTGGGGATGCATTTGCTTTGGAAAATGTTATTCCTTTTGAAGTGGTGTCATTCTTGTAAAACAAGGTAAAAACATGATTGTGTAGACAAGCCTACCCAGATACTTAGAAAGCTGATGTGAATTTTAACCTCTTTTAATACTGTAACTTTCTGAATGCTTTAAGCTATTGCTGTACTTTTTTTCTTGATTTTCTTCTTTTATCTTTTTGTAAACCGCTTTGTTTGTTTGTTTACAGACAAGCATGTATAATTTTTATGAACTAAATAAACATAGCGGCCAAAGAGACATTGTGGGAGAATCTTGTTCCTGCCATAAACTCACTGGCTAGGCAACCCAGTCAGATGGGTAGGTTACAAATAAAACAACTACAACAACAATAATTCCTAGGCAATGCCCTCTGTCTCTCAGCTTCAGTCCCACCTCAGGTAATTTGGGGATAATAATGCTGACCTACCTTAAAAAGTTGTAAGAAATACAACAAGAAAAACCACTCTGAACACTCTTAAAGCATTATATTAATGTTATGTATTACTGAGATGATTTTCACCTGCATAAAAGCAGTCCAACCATCCCCCCCCCCCGCTTTTAATTCTGCTGAGGTTGAAAGGCCATTGATCAACTTGAATTAACACACCTGATTATTAGAGCTTCCATGAGGAAATCCAGCTCGTCTTGCTCTGAACAAACCTCTGGCAAAGTCTAGACAAGAAAGAAGGAAGCAAGAGGAGAAACATGAACAAACTGTCTTTCTCATGGACCTGCACGGACCTATTATAGACTCCATTCCTCTCACAAGGAAATTTTACAGTTGCTGCCTTTCTTATCGACAGAGGCACTCTGTATTTAAGAGCTGTAAAACAGGCAGAAACCTGTTTTCCCATCACTCTGTCTCCAAGCAAGAAAAAAAACTCCAGTTGTCTGTTCTAGTAAACCTAGAAAGCATCAGAATGCAGAAGGGGAAGGGGCTGGAAGGCAATGGGAAATCATGCTATTGCTTAGAGCAGGCATGGCCAAATGCCCTCCAGATGTTTTGGAACTACAATTCCCATCATCCCTGACCACTGGTCCTGTTAGCTAGGGATGATGGAAGCTGTAGTCCCAAAACATCTGGAGGGCCAAGTTTGGCCATGCCTGGCTTAGAGGATCCTTTCTAACACCCAGAGATTCTTCAACTAACTGGAGTTTTTAAAGATGTGCCTGGGAATTAAGAATCTGCCATTGTGCTGAACTAAAAGTGATATTGATTTCTGAAGAGACATTCTAGATTCTTCAGTTTCCCCAACCTGCCATAATCAGGAGAAACCAAAATATTGAACTCAGACATGCTGCTTTCATCTGATGAAATATGGCACCTAACCACCACCACGGACACTCGTCACTGGTTTCCCCACTTACTTTTACAGCCACTTGCAAGGGACTGGGGTCGCTGGGGATCCCAACCACCTGGCCTTCGTACACCTCCCCAAAGGCTCCATGGCCTAAACCCCTGGACAAATCAGAAAAGGGAAGGAGGATTAAAATACCACACATATCTCAATATGTCAATTTCATACAAAATGGAGAAAGGTTAGGCCTATGTAAATCCATTGAATGCACACTGTCAAATGTTCATTTAGTGAAAATTCATTTAGGGAAAGAGAAAGAAGTTCTGCACCCCTGACGGTTTGTGTTGCTCATGCCTGCTTCCCGCTTTATGGCATGTTACAAACTGGTTACATGGAGTACTGTTAACATAATGTTATCATTGGCACTAGTAGACACTCCACAGAGGAACTTGTCATTAGCAACACCCTCAACTCCCTTGTTAAGTGGCACGGATTCTGATGAAATATTCAGAATTTGTATTTATGCATAAATTTGTGATGTTCCAACACCCCAGAACTAAATCACATTGTAAATGTTTTCACTGTGAATTAATCATTTTTGGCTCCTAGAAAAAGGAAAGGTTTTTTAAAAATAAAAAGAATAATCGCATAATGACACATTATACATTATGTTGACTTGCTGCTTCCAAACAACATCTCTGACCATTAGCTACTGTGGCAATAAATCACCTGTACTTGGCCAACCCCTTAGTTATGCAAAGGCCTCATTAGTGCAATTTACCCAGAATACATTGCTGCTTAAAAACAAACAAATAAACCCCAAACCCCAACCATCTCTAACTATGGTATCTACTATGGCAGCTGATCACTTATACTTGAGTTATGGGAAGGTCCATTCTCCCAACAAAAAGGGAATATGCTGGGCTGCCTTGACTAAGATTAAAATGGCCGTGGCTTGATCAGGATTCTTTCTGTAATGAAACTGTAATGTTGTGGGCAGGATTCCTGCATTGCAGGGGGTTGGACTGGATGACCCCTAGGGTGCCATTCAACTGACTCTAAATGTAAGCAAGATGAACCATGCCCCCCCATCCCCACTAGTATAATACATTGTGCAGGGAGCAGGGAAGCAATATGGGCAAAATCCTACTCTCATATGCAGTACAGGACAAAGTGAGGGAAATTTGTAACAGCCCTGCTGGATCAGCCAAAGGCCTATGCTAATCTAAGGTCCTGCTCTCAAAGTGACCTACGGGAAGCCGGCAAGCAGGACATGAGTGATCTCCCCACTTGTGACTCCCAACAATTGGCAATCAGAGCCATTCTTCCTCTGACAGTAGAGGTAGAAGACAAGTCATCAGCTTCCGACAACTACTCTTCCCAGTCTTCCTCCTCTTTTCCCTCTTACCACTCACTGTTGCCCCACCACCACTCCCTGGACTCTGAGCCTTCTTCCCTTGGCAATTCCCCAGCTGGTTTCTCCCACCATTCTTCTCCATCCAACCAGTCCATGACACTGGTTGACTGCTTCTACTGCCCACGAGAATGAGATGAAAAGGGGATGTAGAGTTGGGTGCCACCTCACTCCGCATCTTCAGATGATCTCATTCAACAGCTTTGAGTAGATGTTGACAAGCATGGCGGACAAGATGGAATTATTCTAGGGGGCCCAATACCAGCCCTTTCTGGAACTGGCCATCCAGCTAAAAATTAAACCACTGCAGCATGGTGCTCCCAGTTCCCAAGCCACATAGTCCAATCAGAAGGGTTATATGCGAAAATTTGCTCCGACCATAATGCTGTTAAGATGGAAATGAGATTAACACCAACTGGCTCCTTCAGATGGAAGATGAATGACACCTTATTTAGAGATGAAGAATTTCTTAAGAAGGCCCAAAAAACTCTAAGAGATTACTTCGAGATAAATCTTAGTTCCAATGTGGAGAAAAGAGTAATCTGGGACGCAAGTAAAGCTGTTATGAGAAGGTTCTTAATACAACAGAATGCGATAAAGAAAAAAACTCAAAATGAAAAGAAGGATAAAATTATGAACAAAATGAATGAATGTGAAAAAGACTGCGAGTAAATCCCAAATCTCAAGAGATTCTGACAGAGTTAAAGTTATATCAAGTACAATATATGAAAATAATGAATCAGGAAATAGAATGGAAAATTAAACAAATGAGACAAAAGACTTTTGAATCGGCCAATAAATGTGGTAAATTGTTGGCATGGCAAATGAAAAAGAGACAAAAATTAAATACGATTACGAATTTAGAAGTGGAAGGAAGGAATATACAGAACCCTGCAGAGATTAGAAGTTGTTTCCAGAAGTATTTTAAAAGACTATATACTCAAGGGCCAGTGAAAGAAACAGATTTAGACCAATTTTTGAAAACAAATGGACTACAAAAATATCTCAAGAAAAGAGACTAATTTTGAATGACAGAATAACTGAACAGGAAATAGAAGGTGCCATTCAAAATATGCAACTGGGTAAATCTCCAGGACCAGACGGCTTGACCTCTAGATACTACAGATCTTTAAAAGAATGGTTAATTCAACCATTGAAAGAGGTCTGTAACGAAATTATGGAGGGGAAGAGGGCACCAGAGTCGTGGAAAGAAGCATATATTACACTTGTACCAAAAACAGAGACTGAAAAGACACAACTTAAGAACTACCGCCCTATATCATTACTTAATGTGGATTAAAAAATTTTTGCAGATATTTTGGCGAATAGATTGAAAAAGTGCTGTTGGAAGAGATTCATAAAGACCAAGCGGGCTTTCTCCCAGGAAGACATTTGTCTGATAATTTGAGGAATATAATTGATATCTTGGAAAAATTAGAAGTGAATATAAACACTAAAGCAGTGTTGATATTTGTAGACGCGGAGAAAGCCTTTGACAATATTTCTTGGAATTTTATGAAGAAGAATCTTCAGGGTATGAGGGTAGGCCAAGGTTTTGAGAATGGTATAAGTGCAATTTATTCAGAACAAAAGGCTAAACTAATTGTAAATAATGTTGTGACGGAAGAACTTAAAATTGAAAAAGGGACACGACAAGGTTGCCCAATTTCCCCACTTCTTTTTATTTCGGTCCTGGAGGTTCTGCTGAATATGATTAGAAGGGACCAGATGGTTAAAGGTATACAGGTCGGAATTAAACATTATAAATTGAGAGCATTTGCAGATGACTTAGTATTGACGTTACAGGAGCCAGAATCTAGTACAAAAAGGGTTTTAGAACTGATTCAAGAATTTGGTCAAGTGGCAGGATTTAAATTGAACAAGTCAAAAACCAAGGTTCTAGAGAAAAATTTAACACCGTTTGAAAGAGAGAGGTTTCAGAATGAGACAGGTTTAACAGTGGTTAAGAAAGTTAAATACCTGGGGATTAACATGACAGCGGAATTTATTTAAAGATAATTATGAAAAATGTTGGTCAGAAGTGAAAAAAGATTTAGAAATTTGGTCAAATTTGAAGCTTTCACTGCTAGGCCGTATTGCTGCGATAAAGATGAATGTATTGCCTAGAATGTTGTTCTTGTTTCAAACTTTGCAGATCGTGGACAAAATGGATTGTTTCAAGAGGTGGCAGAAAGATATCTCTAAATTTGTCTGGCAGGGCAAGAAGCCTAGAATAAAATTTAAAATACTAACAGATGCAAAGGAAAGAGGTGGATTTGCCCTGCCAGACCTTAAACTTTATTATGAATCAGCAGCCTTTTGCTGGTTGAAAGAATGGCTACTTCTTGAAAACACTGACATTTTGGACTTGGAAGGTTTCAATAATGTATTTGGATGGCATGCATATCTATGGTATGATAAGGTCAAAGCACATAAAGCATTTAAAAACCACATTGTCAGGAAAGCGCTATTCAATGTTTGGTTAAGATATAAGGATTTGTTAGAAAACAAAACCCCAAGGTGGCTGTCACCAATGGAAGCGAAAGCCTTGAAAAGGTCAATATGGAGGTCAAATGGCCGAAATATTGGGAAATTTTGGAACAAGACGGAGATAGACTGAAATTGCAGAGTTTTGAAAAACTAAAAAACAAAGTGCGAGACTGGCTTCATTATTATCAGATAATGGAGGCATTTAAATTGGACAGGAAAATTGGCTTCCAGGTGGAAAGATCCAAATTAGAAACAGAATTGTTAGAACCCAAAACTAAGAATTTGTCAAGAATGTATAACTTGCTGCTGAAATGGAATACTCAGGATGAAACGGTAAAATCGGCTATGATTAAATGGGCACAGGACGTTGGACATAACATTATGTTTGCTGACTGGGAACAGTTATGGACCACAGGTATGAAATTTACGGCATGTAATGCCTTAAGAGAGAATATTATGAAAATGATATACAGGTGGTACATAACCCCAGTCAAGCTTGCGAAAATCTATCACTTGCCCGATAACAAATGTTGGAAATGTAAAGAAACTGAAGGTACATTTTTTCACCTTTGGTGGACGTGCCCAAAGATTAAGGCTTTCTGGGAAAAGATATATAATGAATTAAAAAGGTATTTAAGTATACCTTTCCTAAGAAACCAGAGGCCTTTCTCCTGGGCATAGTGGGCCAAATGGTGTTAAAAAGGATAGAACTTTCTTTATGTATGCAACAACAGCAGCAAGAATACTCATCGCAAAGTATTGGAAGACACAAGAACTTCCCACGCTGGAGGAATGGCAGATGAAACTTATGGACTATATGGAATTGGCGGAAATGACTGGCAGAATCCGTGACCAGGGAGAAGAGTCGATGGAGGAAGACTGGAAGAAATTCAAAGACTATCTTCAGAAACACTGCAAAATTAAGGAATGTTAGAGTGATGTTGGATTGAAAATAAGTGGTTTCCAGCTGTACAGGTTAAAGTTAAGGATAGATTAAGATTAAAGATTAAGATTAAAGATGTTTAAAGAAATGGAAATTTGATAATAAAAGGGAAAAATTTAATGCTATATGACATTAAGAGCAAGGATTAGGTTTAAAAAAGTTGAAGTTATATATTTTAACATTTTATTAAATTAAAGATTGGGATTAAAAAAGTGGAAAAGAAACTGCTGGACAAATAATGTGGATTGGAATACAAAAGAGGGAGGTATGAGGAAGTCCAGAAAATAAGTAATTTAAAATTGGAAATGGAAAAGAGAGTTTGTTTTTAATTGTTATGTTTTGTGTTTTTATTGTTAAGTTTTGTATTGTTTTTGTGTGTGTGTTGTTTTTCTTTTTTCTTTGTTTAAAACCTTAATAAAAAATTATTTAAACCAATCAGAAGGGTTATATGGTTGATGGACTCATAAGGATAACATGGATGATGGTATTGAAGGATGCTGAATGGTCCAAAAGAATCAACAATATCACACCCCTCTATCTTTATTCTGGCATAAGTCATCTACTGGGGATATTAAGGTGGTTTGCAACTGCTGACTACAGACCGTGGCCTTAGCATGTTGGAAGTGTACAATGGGAGTAACAAATTCTGCATGGCACCCCAGACTCACAGCAGAGTAATTGTGTGCCAAAGCTAAGCATGATTACTGTAGATGTTGAACAATTTTTATAAAGTGGGTTTCGGGATTAATTATTTAAAAGAATACAGAAAACGAGCAAATAAATAAATCATGCACCCTGTTAAGATAGATTTTCTCCTGTGTGCTCATTACACAAGTTTTGTGTCACTGCTCATTCCAGCCTTTGATTAATAAAAATATAAAAACGTTGTATGTGCAGCAGAGAAGCAGGCAAATCTCAGGAGGGCTTTGGGGGTCCAGAGGCAGAACACGGCCACTGGGGCTCATTGAGTTGAAGGCTCAGCGTGTTTGTATGTGGAGGTAGGTAGAGGAAGAAGAGGGGAAAGGCAGCTATCACTCAATGTCTCACATGCACAGAGAGTTGCAACTGATTGGGTATATTTGTGCAGAAAGGAAAGCATTGAAAGCAGGCTTGAAACACCACAGGAAACAGCAAGAAAAATAAGCAATAAACATGAAGCACAGAACAATGTAGACAGTCTTCTCCTAGGGAAAAGACTGCATCAATAAAACAAATTTCATCTCAAAGAACATCGCCAATTACTATTCCAGAAATCAACATAAAAAAGTAACTAAGAGATGGATTTTATTTTATTTTATTGCACCTTAAGGGGCCATTAGGAGGAGATGACAGATTTCTGACAAGTGTGATGGACTGACTGTCTTAGAAGGAGGGGCCTTGCAAAACCTGTCTAACTGAGTTTTAAAAGCCAATACTGTACACAATAGTGGAGTCATCAAATTGCCAACAGACTTGCTTAGGACTTTTCCAGGAAACTAATTTAAAACTGTAGGTAGGTTTTGCACAGGATTTTCTTTCAATAGCAATACTTTGTTGCTGGAATATTATGGTTTCCCAGGACCCAAACCATGATGAGTAAAGTAAGCCAAACCCCCCGCCAATTGCTCTTGCAACAGCTGGTTGCAAACCCATAATACACAGAACAACTGTCCGGGTGGGTGGTCTGATGGAAAGCAACGACGGGGAGTCTCATGTAGAGAAGCCAGGGAGAGGACAGCAGCCTTATAGAATCAGCTGGAACCATACGAGCCTCTTGCTTTGCCTAATCCTTGTAGGACTGATAGCAGCAATGCCTCCTGCAAGTCATCACCTGTGGTGGTGTCTCTGTAGAGACAAAAGTTCTCTTCTCCATGAAGCTTCTATGGCAGCACAGGCAATAAGAGTCAAGCAGACATGGCGTGGGAGATAGGTGGTTGCATCCCCCCTGAGTTTTTCTTTTTACCTCTGTTTTCTCATGGTCTAAAATGCACAATTCCAGCTGGGACTAACCTGGTAAGAGCTTGGCACTTGGATCCTGCGACATTATTAGACCTTTGGTGCCTGAGCAGCAGCAGCAGCAGTACATCTAAGCCAACAATTGTTATAAATTTTATTTTTTGGCTCTTTGATGGATAGTGACTGGTTCTAGTAAATGTTAGATGGCCTGTATTCTGTTCAGTTGGTAGCTTTATTTCAAGAGTGCCACAGCATGTGCTGTGAGGAAGGCTGCCTCACACTAGGGAATCTGAACCGACAATTTAGAGATTTGCCCCCTCAAACATGGGAACAAGATCCACTGCAAAGCTGTTTCCCCACTCCCACCCCCAATGTGCCCTCTGTGCAGATATAATAAATTAGGAGCTGCTTCTGCCTTGTGCTTTTCAGATGCTTGATTAAGGCTCCTAGCTAGTTCCTTGGCTTTTTGTAGTGCGCTATAATTTCTTACTACACTAGGATCACACAGCATGTCATGCTCTCCAGTGAACAGGCATCACCACCTCACAGCTTTACAAGCTGAAATGACATTGTCATGATAGCAGCTACCAATTACTCTTGACACAGGAAAGTCATTCTTACTGGCACAGGGCCGCCATTTTTTTAAAAAAGCCAAATGTAAAGTGCAGCACTCAATACCCTCCCCATTACTTCCTTCTTTCGCTTCCCTGGGTTCTCTGTCATGCTCCAGATGGATTAAAACTTGGTGATTTCCTCACTGCCAGTGTAGGGCAAAGGCAATGTCAGAATGCAGTGCTCCCTGGGGCCCATCTGGTCCTAAGATTCCTTACTGCAGCCAGTGTGCAGGGCGGTTCACAGAACAAAATCAAAATATCAAACCACTATATATATTCAAAATAAAAACAACAACCCAATAACACCCTCCTCGTCAAAGGGCTGGGTGCAGCACATGCCTCCAAATTCAGACTTTTTCTTTGTTGCTCCTGTGGGTAGGGCTGGAAGCAGTGTGTGAAAATTTCAGGGAAGCAGACTTTGCCCAAACGTTAGGAGAAACTTCCAAACAGTAAGAGTTCTTTGACAGTGGAACAGAGTGCCTCGGCGGGTGGTGTGGGCTCCCCTATGATGTATCCTGAAAGGCCATTTATCAGAAATGCTACAGTGGCATCCTGCATTGCAGATGCTGCCCTGAGCAACTATGTCCAGTATCCCTTCCAACACTAGAATTCAATGAATGTACAAGCCCTCTCTGGTCAACCTTTGGCATCTTCAGAACAAAGACACTCAGATATCAGAACCGGCGAAGATCATCCACTGCTAGCTCCGATGGCATGATGTTGGATGGACTAGCTCTCTGCCTAAGAAAGTACCATTGTGTACCCACCTGAAGGGTAGATTTGCTTGCCTAGTGTAGCCTCACTAGGTGGGGCTTACTGGCACCTCTATTGGATGAAGGCAGGAGTAGCTTTCACAGGAAACAGACTGGCCCCTCTTCAGTTTGGCATGCTCACCGAGCATGAAAAGTCTGGAGCTAAAACTCAGAACAGTGTGAACCTATTTCCTACAACAAACCATTAACTGAAAGCCAACCATGCAAACAGAGCTGGAGAGTGGGAAGAGATGTTGCAGGCCATGTAAGGAAGTAGCTACACCCAGCCTGCAGAGAGGAGGGAAAGGATTCTCTGTGTGTTTATATACAGAGAAAGAACAGTAGAGTGAAATCACAGAAGAAGAACATTGCTAAGCAAAGATGAAGGAGCACAAGGAGCCAAAGGAGAATGTGATTGCTTTGTTGAGGCAGGAGCAAAAAATGGAAGTGACACCAGCCGATTTCCTGTAAAAGCTACTCCTGCCTTCATTCACTAGAGGTGCAAGTAAGCCCAACCCAGTGAATGCTACAGTGGCAAGTGAAATTTAGGCACCCCCATCCTCCTTGAGGTTGGAACACCATTTGAGCATTTTAATTAGTTAGACCCAATTAATTCACAGTTCAAACATATGTGTTGGACACATAAAGCTTCATTAAGGATTGTTATTTATAACTCAGAAGTGCAAGAGAGATAGTGTACCCATAGACTGCAATGACTCTCATGTAAAGCATAAAGTTCAGAAATCTTTCTTCCCCACCCTCCCTGGCCTCCCCCGCCACTCAAATTCTTCGGAATGTGTGTATTAAAATATTAACAACTTTTAATTCTAACTGCTTCATTGGCATGAATCAGTTGTTGTATTAAGTGTGAAATCTGACCATATTTGAGATCTTTTAGACCCCAACATATTTGATGGGCTTAATTTTTCTGCCTCTCTTTCAGTGAGGAATAGCCTTTTAGTGAAATCTTCAATTTGCATGTGTTTTTTTTTTTAATGTACACAGGTGTGTGAGCATATGAAGCAACAGCTGAATGTGAGGGGGCACACAAAGTTAGGGGGGGAAATATACACCCTCCTTTCTATACCCTTACAGGGTCAGCTACAACTCTAAATACAAAGAGAAGGGTTAAAATTAACTTTCTCATACTGGAATTTACCGTAACTTGCTAATGCTTTCCCCCCAAATCGAGATCCATGTTAGACTGGCACTGCTATATCTGGGTTTTCTAGTGCCTGGCAGAGCAGATGCCTTTGCTGATGTCACTTTTATTGCCAGAGACCCAGTCACAAGCCCTGCCAGAACCTCCAAAAGGTCACTGCGCCAGATGTCAGTGCTGTCTAAGAGAGCCTGGGCAAATTATAGCCAGTGCCTGAGGAATTACAGAGCTTTATATATAATAGCTCTTTGGATCATCCATAGGAAGCAGGTGCCGAACTTTTCTCCCTACCTGTCAGGCTGAACAACCTGAGGGGAGGGCAGAGATCCAGCTTCCATCCATTCTCCACTATCTTTACACCCAAAAGACCATTGCCACAGCCAGCAGTGGTCTTGCATGCTTGTGAATAAAGATGAGTGTGTGGTACTGCCAAACAAAAGGAGAAGGCGCATGTGTGGATCTGCTCGTGCACATTTGCCGCAGAGCGCATCCGAGCATAAAAAAGTCAGAGAGGCTGGTTTACCTTATCAAAGAGATATTTTTCCGGGGCACCTCTTTGAGGTCACTAATGGATGTGGTCTTCCCTGCAAAGCAATAATTGGGGTTGTAGTCAGTCATAATGGTGGAGGTTCGCAGCTTGCTCAGTTTATACTCAGGGCTCTGTAACTCCATCTGCATAGCTTGAAGTTCCTGGTGTTTCCGACGGTACACTAGAAACAGAGCACAGTAAGTTAGGGGTGTGGGCTTTCATCTGAGTGCACCTTGAAAAGCAATTTGCACTAAGAGCTCTGGTTACTTCTACGCTGCTCAGTATGAAGCTGGGGTTTCTTTTCAGCTTTGAGATTGAGATAGGCGGCGATGTAATACTTGTAGTTCATATGAGGCAGACAATCAAGTGCTGACGGATGGTTAGGGCCCATGGAGGTCTGTGCTGTGCTGCTTAGGCAGACCACCACAGAGTGACTGCCAAGGCAAGGTGTATGGGAGGGGTGATGTGCACACACCAACAGTCGGTGACTGGCCAAGTGTCAGTCAGGCTGGAATCCACTCTCCAGGCCGGCACGAGGCCAATTTGGTGTTGCGCTGGCCTGGGGAAACACATGCCGGATGTCCCATGTCCCATGTCAGATCACGGGGCACAGCAGGCCCCATCCCACAAAGGCACCCAACCTCAGAGATAAGTGTCACTGTTGAATGATATCACAGCTTGCCACAACTAGAGGCATCCATTCATGTGGTGCCCGCCCTGTGGAAGATTGGAACTGCCTCACTCCTTGGTGCACCATCATGGATGTTATTTGCAACCACATTTATTTTGGAATGCATGTGGTTCTTCTTCCTCATATCTCTCTCTATCTACACACACACACACACACACAGGCCCAGTGTCAGCACCCAACTTTCTCAGAGAGCTGCCAGGGCCACAGCAGGGCCCACACTAGTGCCAACCCTGGGTGCTGGGTCTGAGAGCCTCCCAGCATGTAAAACTTCCTCCAGTACTCCAGAGTGCATGATCGCCGATTTAGTTGTGAAAGATTTTAAATTTCAACCAGGAGCCCATGGATGTAGGTAGTGGCCCCTGCCCTGTGGAACACCCTCCCATCAGATGTCAAGAAAATAAGCAACTATCTTACTTTTAAAATACATCTGAAGGTAGCCCTGTTTAGGAAAGCTTTTAATGTTTAATGCTGTATTGTGTTTTTAATATTTGGTTGGGAGCCGTCCAGAGTGGCTGGGGAAACACAGCCAAATAGGTGGGGTATAAATAATAAATTATTATTATTATAGGTACCAAACAAAAGAAAAGAAAAGAAGAAGTAACCATCACAAATACTCTTACAGTGCATTTCTTTTTATACCCCACAGGGCCAAAGCAGATGTGGCATTTGTCAGTCACTTTCCGCTTCATGTAAAGCTGTTGTTTGTTATACAAATGAGTGGTATGCGCTCTCCCCTGAGCTGGATCAAGAGCATGACATGGGAGGGGGGCTTTAACCCTTTCCCCCTGCAATGGACCTGATTAGATTCCGCCCTCACTTGAAGTTTGCAAGTGAAGGAAAGGCCTCATTAGTGTCAATAAGGGATTTCCTCCCATTGAAAATACCAAGTGCAAGGCTATAGACTCAGGTCCCTATCAGACTCAGGGTGTGGGGTAGGGTTTTTGCCAGCTATTTGCAAAAGAAAACAACAACAACAACAACAACAACAACAACAACAACAATGCAGGACCAAACTGCGTGAAAGTCATGTCTAGCCCTTAATTTGCCTTCCACAGAAATGCCTTTGTTCTCCCCAGTGTAGAAAACTGAAATGGGGCTCTTGCAGAAAGTGTGTGGACTCTAGTGCCCATCAATATTAGTGACACATGTGATCTGATTTACATGGAGCACAGAATAAATAAATATTTGCAAGAATAATTTTGGAAGGGTTTTAGACCTAGTTTTCTTTACTAATTTTCTGGTCCTTTCCTGCCCTTGAGAGTGTTTTAAAGGGGGCAACTAACATTTTGTGGATTCCAAACTCATCCATCAAGTCCTTGTTTTAACCTTTCAAGTTCCTGTGGGAGCATTACATGCCTAGGGGGGAAAGTACAAGACTAGAATTAATTGGACATGCAAAAAGTTACTTTGAAAAAGTAATTGGAGCTGGGCATGAGAGTTCCCACAGCATGTTCTTGACTCTGGGCAGATTAACACAGTACTGCAGTACTTGTACTGTAGTTTCAGCTCTATATCTATTCCAACAGATAAGTTACTTTGCTGTGTGCAAGGGGTGGAGGGAAAGCTGATGGAGTGAACCTGTTGTAGTAATAGGAGCAGGGATTTGAGAGCCTATTATCACGCCTCCACATTTCTCCTATCGCAAGACTCTTGCTTTTAAGAACTATGCAAAAGACTCCTTCAGGATTCCAAGGCAGAAGTGCAAGATGTGTGTGTCCAAGAGGGGAAATTAGTCCTGCAACACAAACATGCAGCTTCTTTGTAATTTTTAACAAAGTAATGAAATTTAATGTGTGCTTGATTAGTTGGTTTGTTAAGATGAGGAATGGCCATTTGGTTGCTTGTGGGCCTGATCTAGTCCTTGTTGTTGTTTAGTTGTGTCCAACTCTTCATGACCCCATGGACCAGAGCACGCCAGGCACTTCTGTCTTCCACTGCCTCCCGCAGTTTGGTCAAACTCATGCTGGTAGCTTCGAGAACACTATCCAACCATCTCGTCCTCTGTCGTCCCCTTCTCCTTGTGCCCTCAATCTTTCCCAACATCAGGGTCTTCTCCAGGGAGTCTTCTCTTCTCATGAGGTGGCCAAAGTATTGGAGCATTAGCTTCAGGATCTGTCCTTCCAGTGAGCACTCAGGGCTGATTTCCTTTAGAATGGAGAGGTTTGATCTTCTTGCAGTCCATGGGACTCTCAAGAGTCTTCTCCAGCACCATAATTCAAAAGCATCAATTCTTCGGTGATCAGCCTTCTTTTATGGTCCAGCTCTCACTTCCATACATCACTACTGGGAAAACCATGGCTTTAACTATACGGACCTTTGTTGGCAAGGTGATGTCTCTGCTTTTTAAGATGCTGTCTAGGTCCTAGATCTAGTCCTAGAGGTTCCTTATCTAGTCCCTGGAAGCAAGACCAAATTTCATTACTGTGATGAACTCAACTAGATGGCCTTAGGCCAGATACTCTCTCTCACCCTCAGCTCCCCATCTATAATAGTAATAATAATAACTTTATTGTACTCAGCCCATCTGATTGGGTTGCCCCAGCCACTCTGGGTGGCTTCCAACAGAATATAAAAAACATATGATGCATCAGACTTTAAAAGCTTCCCGGTACAGGGCTGCCTTCAATTGTCTATGGAAGGTCGTATACTTGTTTATCTCTTTGACATCTGGCAGGATGGTGTTCCACAGGGCGGGTGCCACTACCAAGAAGGCCCTCTGCCTGGTTCCATGTAACTTCACTTCTTGCAATGAGGGAACTGCCAGAAGGCCCTTGGAGCTGGACCTTAGGCTGAAGCCCTGTATACAATACAGTGTACTATAGTGCTGGCCTTCTTTACAGGATTATTTTTTAAAGATTACAAACAGCACAATGTATTTGAAGGATGCATTTGTTGTTGTTGTTTTTGCACTTTTAACTGTGAGGAAAACTGGCATCACCCGCCAACTAGCATCACCCAGGGGTGTGATCTGAACATACACACCAATATCTTTGAAGTAATGATAATGATAGCGATTATGATCGCACCATCCAATGTTCATGGCACTTCACAGAATGCAGAAGGAATGGTCCATAACCAAGAATGTTTAGCCGTCTATAATTTGACCCAGAGAGACAAAAGAGAGCCTTTTAGGGAAGCAGAGGCAGGGATAAACCGGATGGGGTGGGAGAATTACAGCAATTTGCCAAAGGCTGCTCAAGTGATTTTCTAGCTGAAGCGGGATTTTAACACAGGTCATATACAAACAGCCTACTTAACTAATCTATAAGGAGACAGCCAGAACACAACATGTGTGCTATTAATAACTTTAAAAAAAACCTGAGGACTGCAATAAATCACTCCATCAGTCAATAAGCCAACCAATCGATACATTTCTCACTCCTTTAATTTAGTCCATTCCCTTAATTCAGCCCACTATGTGCTGCGTTGGTTGTATGTGAAACTAGGATATTCTGCAGCCCAGATAAAGCTCACTTCTATAACTGGGCTCCTCTGCTGTATCAACAGCCATTTAAAATGGTCACAACGGCAATCATTCTTGCTATGCCATTCCGGTGATTAAGGCCGGAGGATGTACCACATTCAGTGAGTATTGCTGATTTCAGCATGTTTTGGGTCAAGAAGGAACTCACCTATCATGATCCCAGAAAAGGCTAGAATCAGAGCAGCAACGAGGGCAGATGTCACTACAGACAAGACCAAGGAGAGGGAAGGATTCTTCGTAGGCAGTACAGGCTCAGCTGGAACAGATGTGCAAAGACAGAAGGCATTAAGTTGTTCTCAGCAGCCTGCGGTAGTTGCAAAATACCTTAAAAGAGATATACACTATTAAGGTCTCTTCATACATTCATTACATTTTTGGAGTGTAACAAGGAGGTTTTTGGTTTTTTAAAAAGAAGCTTACACCTAAAAATGCAATGTGCAAATGCAACAAACAGGTGTTTGAAAACACACAATTCATACAAGAATGGGATTGGCTGCAGCGCCTACTGAGTGCACATTCAGTTGCAAATCCAGCTTTGTTACTGTATCATGCATGAAATTGTTTGGTTAAGCCAAACCATGGCTCAGCGCAGGTACATGAGCATGCATACTGCTGGGGAGAAGATCGCCGCTGCTTCACTCCTGCCTGGTCGTTCTGCTGTTGAGCCACATTGAGCTAGACCATGGTTTGGCTTGGTGTGCTATCCAAATCGAAGCTCAGGGTTGGCCTGCTCATGAAACAAAGTGGTCAACTCAGGTGGCGGATCTGGGCCCCAGGAGTGTGCTGCTCATCACTGCTGCCTTCCTACATGAGTCTGCCCCCACCTCCTCCTCTTCTGTGGTGATGGGACATTTTGCCTCAAGTCTGCTGTTATTGTTGCTATTGTGTTATTTTGTATTTAAATTGTTGTTTTATTGCAAACCGCCCTGGGAACTTCATGTGATGGGATGGTACACAAATATCAATCAATCATCAATCGGAGGGATTTTTTTTTTTAAAAAAATAAAAATAAAAAATAGTGAACAATCTTCCACTTCCACTGCTGTATTATCTAATTTAACTCAGAGCTGAAACTGGCAGCTGCTTTGCATTTTGGGCCTGCCAATTTAACATTTTCTCCCTCTCAGCTTTTATGGCTTTTCTTTCATATCCATTGAGTGCCAATGTTAATTTC